AATGACTGAAGTGATGTCTTCTCAATTATTATTCCACTAGGAATGTGTTACAATCTGTAGAGATAATTAAATACCCAAGAAAACACATGATACCGTTTATGCTTGATCACAATGCATTCATTACTTAGAATCACCCATCATGTAGTCAGAGATTATAGTTTATCAATGTAAAATGGAATGTATGCATTAGCCATCCTCTAGCTCTTTATAACTGGTCAAGTTTTTAATAATTTTGAACAAGAACATTTTTTGGATGGTGGACTATTCTCAACCCAGCAGTAGTCTTGAAGTGTAAAAATCCAGCAACACTGTTAGTGCCACCATACCTGTACCATATCAGTATATTTACTGTACTGATCTACCACTGTCTGGTCAACAGCAGTACCAGAAACTGACCAATAATTACAGGCGTTAAAGACAGCTGATAAATTGTGCATGAAAACATATAGCTATAAGCTATAATGGGCATGTAATTGTACACCTATATGGTGGGCCTATAAAGTGAACTTTATAAAGTACAAGGTAAGTGTCTGTATTAAAGACATGTATAATAAGTGTATAAATTCATGTCAACTACTCATGACGAGAACTTCCAAGATAGCATACCTTCTTTGTGAAAAAGCACCCTCCATTGATCTGCAAAATAATTTGCTCACACTTTATAGTGATGGTCCCCTATAGATGATCTACAGATATATTTAATTATTAACAGACATTCTGGTCATACCTAACTGATTATCAACAACATTATGTTTAGGTGTAGGAGTAGGTGTAGGTTTAAGGTTGAAGTTAAGGTGAGGGTTTGGTTTCAGGTAAGGGCAGTATGCATATTCTAAATAAAAAATGCTTTGGCTGGCACCTAAACCTACGTATGTTTCCACTATGATATAGAAACAGGTTTATAAATATTTTGATGTCGACAAGGTTATTTTTATTATATTACTATATTATTTATTGGAGTTTAAATTAAATAATGAATATGAGCTCAAAGTGCAGACTTTCAGCTTTATCATTTTAGCTTTTTTGTCATTTTGATACTTGGACGCAAATCATTTGATCACCTGAATCTGGAACCTACAGACATCACCAGATGCTGAAAATCAACACTTTGAGCTCATATTCATTATTTAATTTCAACTCCAACAGCTGTGTGGTAGCTGTGGTTCAGCTAAAATAACAATAACTTAATCGAAATCTGAATTTTTATGGACCTGAACGTACAGGTTAATTGACATAGGCTGTATATAACACTTTTTAAATCTGATTTGACCTTGTGCATATATCCATACTTCAGTTGAACTGATTATTCATGTTCAACATGATTATTAATAACTCCCACTGACCATGAACATGCATAATAAATACTATTAAGAACTGGAATAACTAGTTACTTTGAAGAAGATTTAATGGTAATCCAGGACCAGTACTGTTATAGGAGCAACTGGGTATCTAGGATAAACTTAACTGTAAATCGTATTAACTAGCGGATTAACAGCCAACGCAGCATCAATATATGAACAGGTAAAACTATCTAGGGTCAACAGGTGTCATGAGCAGGACTGACTAACCAGGATGAGTAAAAGTCATGGTTAGGACAAACTGGCATTTCAAGATTGATACTGTCAAACTGTTAATAATTAATAATTAAAATTATTAACTAAGGATCAACACAATCAAAGAATTGATTAACTTTCTATCCAGGAAACAGTTCTGCTAACTATCCAGCACCACTACATGAACAGATTAATTTATCATTCAGGTAATACACACATAAGATGGACTAACTGACTGTTTTGGATCAGTGCAGTCAAGAACTGGACTAACTCAATCAGCATAGTCATTAACCGAATAAACTGGTTTTCTAGGATCAATACACTCAATAATAGGACAAACTGGCTATCCAGGATCAATACAATCATGAACTGGATTAACTGACTTTCCAGGATCAGTACAGCCAGAAACTGGATTAACTGGCTATCCAGGACCAACACATTCATGAATTGGATTAACTGACAACCCAGGATCAATGCATGCAATAATAAAGTCAATAGGTTATCCAGAATCAATACAGTCATAAACTGGATTGACAGGCTATCCGGAATCAATACAGTCAGGGACTGGATTAACTGACTATCCAGCATTAATTCGGTCAATAATAGGTCTAACTGGCTATCTGGGATGAATACAGTCAAGAGCTGTGTTAACTGACTATCCAGGATCAATACAGTCAGAAAATGTATTAACTGACTATCCAGGATCAATGCAGTAAGTAATAGGACTAACAGGCTATCAAGCATCAATACAGTCAAGAACCAGATTTTAAAAAGAGCTGAATTTAAAATCCAGCATTAATATAGTTAATAATAGGTCTAACTTGATTCACTTCCTATCCAGGATCAGTACAGTCATATGAACTAGATTCACTGACTATCCAGGATCAATACAGCCAATATTACAACTAACTGGATGTCCAGGATCAGTACCTCGGAAACAGAATTAAATGGCTAGCCAGGGTCAATACAGTCATGAATTGTATTGTACTGGCAATCCAAGATCAAGAGTCATCAGATGGATTAGCTCACTATCCAGGATCAATGCAATCAGTAATAGGATTAACAGGCTATACAGGATCAATACAACCAGGGACAGGATTAACTCTTTAACAAGGATTAAAAGATTCAATAATAGGTCTAACTGGCTATCCAGAATGGATACAGCCATGAACTGGATTAACTGGATAACCACAATCAAAACAGTCAATCATTTTACTGACTGGTTATCCAGGATCAATACATGCATGAACTGGATTAACTGTTTATCCAGTGTCAGTACAGCAATGAACTAGACTAACTGGCTATTCAGGATCAACATAGTCAATAAAGCAAGTAACCGGCTATGCAGGATCAACACCATCAGTAACAGGATTAAATGGCTATTCAGGATCAAAAAAGTCATGAACTAGATTAACTAGCTGTACTGGATCAACACAAGCAATAATATGACTAACTGGTTATCCAGGATTAATACAGTTATGAACTAGATTACCTGGTTGTCCAGGATCAAAACAATTGATAATATAACTGCCTATCCAGGACAAATACAGTCAAGAACTGGATTAACTCATTAACAAGGATTAAAACAGTCAATAATAGGTCTACCAGGCTATCCAGAATGGATACAGGTTTAATGGATACAGATTAACTGGCTATCCACGATCAAAACAGTTAATAATATGACTAACTGGTCATCCTGGATCAATACAGTCATGAACAGGATTACCTACATATTCAGGATCTGTACAGTCATGAGCTGTATTAAATGGCTATCCAGGATCAATACCATCAGTAACAGGATTAAATTGCTATCCAGGATCAATACAGTTCTGAATTCGATTAACTGGCTGTCCAGGGTCAATACAGTGAATAATATGACTAACTGGCTATCTAGAATCAATAGTCATTAACTGGATCATGACAGTTTATGACTGTGTTGACCTTCCAATTAATCTAGTCATCAACTAGATTAATCCAGGCAATCCAGGTTTAATACCATCAGTAATATGACGAATGACTTTCCAGGATCAATACTGTCAATAAAAAGATGAATTTTCTATCTCAGATTAACACAGTCATTAATTGACTATCCAGGATATGCAGCTATTATGAGCTTTAGTTAGCTAATATGTCAATCTGTTAGGTATTTGTTGTCAAACTTATCCTTAAAAATTCACACTTTTCTAAGTTTTACTGTTTGCTAAACATAACCTAACTAGCCAGATAGCTGGTTAGCAATGCTACTTAGTAAGATAACTGACTAGCCTATATGAGAGACTCAACATTATCTATCCACACTATCTGTCAGTTGATAAAATTTTGTACCCATTTGTTTCATGCTAATACATTTCAGTATGAAAAAAGCTCATAAACAGTGTATTTATGGTGTTACCTGTTCCTCTGCATGAGCAGGAGGTGCACTGCAAGGAATTTGAAACATGGCTGAGGTGCAGCCTGATGATGTCACAAATCGTTGATTGGAGACAGTAGTGTTTATCCAGGAAAAGAAAATAAATGTTGATCCAGGATGAGGCACCACTTATGAAAATCACATTGTGCCCCAAGCCAGTGTTTGTTCTCACAGCTGTCGAGTTGGAGAAGATACAAAAGCACAAAGCTCAGAACCAGCCGGTTCCGAGACATTTTCTTCCCCCGGGCCATCAGGCTGCTGAACAGCCAGTAGTGCTGGTGTATCGGTCTATGAGCCTGTCACTACACTTCTGAATCTCCATGGACAAGCCACACTGCATCTACACCTCAAACAGACTCACTGTGATCTCACTGTGACTTCAGTCTAGCAAATCTATGCTTGCACATCTACTCATATCTTGCATAATCTGGATATGTGGACATATGGAAAATATGTATATTAATGTGTATATTGTGTATATGTATATATATATTGTGTATATATTTAGAGTCTAATGTGTGTGTGTATATATATATATATATATATATATATATATATATATATATATATATTTATTATTATTATCTTATAATTTTTTTGTATTAAAGTTCTTCAAAGGGCCTACGCACCCAAGATTTTCACTCACCTTCACACCTGTGTAAATGTAATGTGACAATAAAAGGTGATATGATTTGTGATTTGATTTGATGAAAGAACTCATTCAAAAGAATGAAATTCCAGTATTAGATGTCAATTCACCGTGGCGGAACTGCTCGGGCAATATTTACTAATATCTAAAAAAAATTACTATAACAACATATGAATAAAAGTAAGTTCAATATAAAATAAATGATAACTTATTTAGTTTCATTATAAATTAATAAATATATTTATTTTTTAGTACTATTCGCTGTTTTGGATTTTGTTAGTGGAACCACTGAACCTAAGCGCGGCCTTTATAAGCTCGCTTCATAGAAAACCCCACAGGGTGCGCTCTAATGCTGCTGAGGCTCCTCAGTGAAGAAGCAGAGAAGCCGAAGAAGCAGAAGGACGGATGAAGTGCTGCTGTGAGTCAGAGAGAGAAACCCGGATGTGTCGGAAACTGACTGTGTTTATTGTGTACTGTTGCTTTCTCTCAGTCAGATCGGCACATACCGCTTAGTTTAGGACTTTTAGACATTCAGCAGATAAACTGAGACTTTCCGGTGCTTTTTGCGCTTTTTCGTGCGTTTTCGTCTGTTTCCGTGCTGTGCTGAAAGATGAAGACGCACACTAGAGTTTCACTGTTGTTACAATTCGGAATTTCTGCAGTCGGTGAGTTTGTGGGTTTTATTAGTATTAAAACGTTATAACAACAACAATGCTAATAATAATAATAATAATAATAATAATAATAATAGTAAATCAATCATGTAGTTAATAATCCTGGAGTTTAACCTAACCTAGGCATTTACGCTTTATGACTGACAGACTGAAAACCCAAACAGGGATGTGAAGATTACGAGCTGCTGCTAAGTGCTAATAAAACTGAAAACATCAACTTATATATCGAGAACACTGTACTTTTGATATATTCTAATAACTTAAACAATGGTAAATGACTTTGTATAATCAGTGGCGTAGTGACTGTCCAAAGCTTCTGTTAGCTTAGCTTAGCTCCGTTAGCGCTGACGAATAGAGGACTATTAGCATGTTTGATCCTCATATTTTCATGTCGCATGTAGAACAATTCAGGTTTTCTAATAAAATTATTTCTAATACATGCCCTATTCTGTTAGTTACATTCCTGCCACTACAAATAAAACACCTGATTATTATTTTTTCGTTATTAAGTGAATCGCTATTCCATTATTTTAAGATGCTATGTCATTGTTTTGAGATGCTTTAAACTTTTGAGATGAAAATCTAAATAAATATAAATTATATAAATATAAATAATGAGAGTTTCTCAAAAAACAAGAATGTTTCTCAAAAAAAAAATGAGTATCTCAGAATAATAGTAAAGCTCTTTAAAATAATGTGATGGTATCTCAAAATAATGACTTAGAATCTTAAAGTAATGTCTTTGTATCTCAAAATAATGAAGTAGTTTGTCGTGTTGGCATAGCAATTTACTTAATAATGAGAAAATGCCAATTACATTCTGCAGTTTTTTTATTTTAAGTGGCGAGTATGGGCTTCAATATTTAGTTAAGTATTATACACTCTTGTGCAAAAAAAGGGCCAACCCCAAAATTAAATGGTTTTTAATTGATGTTTTTGGCTGGTCAGAATCCAGATTTAAACTGAACAGAATATTTAATCTCACAGTAAAAACAAACTAGCTAGTCAATGTTTTTCAGCTGTGGAACTACACTGACTCTTTTTTCTGTAAAAGGCCATCTCCAAGTTTTGATTGGCTGACCTGTCTTCAAAAATCAGGTGTAAAGCACTTCTTATAACTTTAGCATGAACAGGCAAAAATATTAATATGTTTTTGTGAGTGAATAGTACGTTTTGAAACTTTGACAGTGTTAACATACTTCATAAAGCTCTTATTTCACAAAAGTGAGGACCATTCATTTTTCTGTGATATGGGCTGTTTAAGTCCAGGCTTTTTCTTTTTCAATTGGCTGACCTCATCAGCAATGTGTGTATGTGGTATAGACTGACATCTTGTTGCTGTGTGTTGTTCTGGCTCAGCTTCAGTGATTCTGATATCATATTTGAAAAATCATGGCTTTCATCAGCCAGTCATATAAAACTAACTGTATATTTTGAGGGTATTGTCAGTGTTTATTGTTTAACAGCAAGCATGTCATTGTCACTATGCTATAGCACTAAATCAGATGTTCCCCTGAAGGGTTATGAAGTGTTTGTTGTACTACGGTGTGCTCAGCTGCACTTTGCTTTTCAAAGCCGGGGTTTGTTTATGAGTTTGATGTTTTACTAAAAATATAGATCTGCGCTTGCAAGACTACATAACATTTGCTAAAGAGTAAAAAGTATTTGTGTCTCAGTGAATTGATTTGCAGTTTATTTTCATATCGGTTCATTATTTTCATTTTTTCAGTCTCTGTTTGTAACTAAGCTTACATAGTTACAGAAGACCATAGATGTTTTACTGCGGTTTCGATCTCTGTTTCAGCATTGTTACACCCCTAGTATGTAAACTAGGAGAAAACTGGTCATACAGTTGTGGTAACCAGTGCACCAGTGACTGATCACATGGCTGGCAGATATCTCCCTGAAGTATTCATAATCTGTGTCTCCAATAGATACACGCATTGCTGGTCATATGTGTTTTTGGCTCACAACAGACTGTCTTTCATAGATGTGCTTTGACTTGTATGTGTTTACAATAGGATGTATGTTGTCATGACATGATCCTTAGCAGATGAACCAGTAGCTGCAGGGCAAATACTCAGTATAAAGTCCTACATGAAGACCTGCAGGCCAGACTGGGTTTCTGCAGATGGACAGAGAGTTCTCTTTGAATAAATACATCATTCCTGCAAACGCTGCCCTCCTAAAATCTTTGTCATTGGCACAGAAAAAGAATGCCGACAATAAGAAAGTAATTATTAGTTTATTGTGATGTATGTGTTCGAGAGACGTTTGTAGTTTTGTGCTTGGATTTGAATAATTTAACTGTAAGTTTTTCATGTTTTCAGTGTTTTTCATAAACAAACACTACCTATGTGAAATGCTGCATAAACAAACACTACCTGTGAATGCTGCAGATCGACTAGGCCTGCCAAACCACCAGAGTGTGTGTTTTGGATGGGAGATATGAGTCAAAAGGAAAAGACAAAAAGAGAGAAAGCTTGTCAGGAGGAAACTGTAAAGCTGTGATTGTTTAACTCCTAATGTGGAATCTTGAGGTCCACCAAGTTGTTTCAAACCCTCACGCTCAGGGAGACTTTTTAAAATTGTTAACTCTTCCCCTTTTTTGCTTTTTCTGGCTAAAAGTTCAGTGAGGCATGAGTTATCTCTCTAAACAAGCCCTTTTGTGTTTAGTCTGAAGTTTCAGGACATTGCTTAAGATCCCTTGAGGCTCTATTATAAAACATTCTGTTCCTCTTGCTTAGATGTTTAGAGCTTATCCTTTTTGAGTTTTTGTCTGTTGTCTGAGGATTGTTTAAAGACTATTTTAACCCTTAAAAGTCAGTAAATAAAATGTTGTAATTTGATGTGTTTTACTCCATGAAACAAGTGAAGAGAACAGGCATACCAACGCAGACAGGAAACCACTTTTTTACATTTTTGCCAGATTTTTATCTTTTATTTTATATTGAAACAAATTGAAAAAGATTGCATGTAAATATAATTCAGTATATGACTGTGTAAATAAACATATTTTATGCAATTACACTTAAATAGTTTAGCAGACTGCAATAATAACTGGAAAGGGCTAAGCGTTAAAAGGGATCGTTCTCTGTCATATTTATTCATATGCACCACAGTAGAGGCCTGCATTGTGGGTAAAAAGCCAACAGGCTAAGGGCTTGTGCGGGCAGGTATTATGACTGAGTGGGGCGGGATTTAACACTTATTGGTTGCTTGTAGAAGTGAACAGTCAAGCAACAAATGAGCTGCAAGTGTACTGCAGAGAAAAATAAAGCTATAGAACATCCAGTAAATATGCATAAAATCAAACTGATTTTTTCCACAACGGTTGTTTTGGCTTTTTAACCTTTGCTGCAGCTGTTATGTTTTATGTTTTTTTTTATGTCTGTTTATTTATTTATTTTTTTTTTTGGCTGTGGTGCTGCTAGCTTGTCTGACCTCACATGATGTGATGCTTATTATGTGGTGCCATGTGCAAGTTCACATGGCTTTAATTAGCCTGAAATAAAATATTTACTTTTATTTTGCAACATTGAAACGTTTATTTTGGCTGGGTGTGTGGGGGTACAATGGGAGGCTGGAGGCTGCTCTGCCGTGTTGGGTGTGATTAGTTGTTGAATCAGGTGAGTGCTCAATCCTAGCAAGACTGAGCTGCTGTTCCTGGAACTACAGGTTCTTACCATGGTCTTGCCATCTCATTTGAGAACTCTTTGGTCATTCTGTCTGCAGATGCAAGAAGTCTTGGTGTGATTCTTGATGACCCATTATCGTTCTCAGCATATATTCTGAACCTGACTTGGTCCTGCAGGTTTCCCCTGTGCAGCATTCTGAGAATTCGACCGTTTTTCTCTCGGAAGGCCACCCTGGTGCTAGTTCCATCTCCTGCCATCTTAAGACTTGTCTATGGCAACTTGCTTTTGGCTGTCTTCTTATGTGGGCCATCAGGCCCCTGCAACTCATCCAAAATGCAGCAGCAAGGCTTGTCTTCAATTCAGTTCACTCATGTAACTCCACAGCTGCGTTCCCTTCACTGGCTTCCTGTAGCTACCCGCATCAGTTTTAAAACCTTGATGATTGCCTACAAAGCCAAAAATGGACCAGCTCCTCCCTACCTTATGGCAATGGTAACTTGATCTGTACATTGAGTTCTTTGAGCTTCAAGTACAGCTTGGCTTGAACTGCCATCCTTCAGGCACATGGAAGACAAGCATCAAGTCTCTTCTCTGTCAAGGCACCCAGGTGGTGGAACGAACTTCCACAGGCTATCTGAAAAGCAGACTCTCACAGTCTTCAAACACAGACTGAAGACCCATCTCTTTTTATAGCACTAAAGCAAGCACTAGTCTAAGTACTTTCTAAAATGTTCTGTATTGGCCCTATACTATGTTTATTTCCATATCTTTCTTCCAAGGTATCAGAACTGGCTTTTGTTTCTAGCAGTATCTGAACTCAAGGGTATTTTGGACTCTAACCTATTTGTACAAACTAGGATACGTTCTCTGAGTGGACAACAAAACACTTTTGTAAGTTGCTCTGGATAAGAACATCTGATACTGCTGTAAATGTAAATGAGATGTGGGTTTTGTTCTGTTTTGTGTTTAGACTTAAGCTCTTTTAATTCTTTATTTGGTTCAAGTAATCTTGATTGTCTTACTTCCTTTTGAAAAGTGCAATGAGCTATTATTTTCCTGCTGATGATGGCTTTCAGTGTGTCCCTAATGATCTCCAACCCACTTCCCCACTGAGATTCTTTTGCAAAAACATTTACAGGGCACTGTATCTACTCCTTGTCAACTAAACAAAAGTCTATCCACATTTCAGTCCTCTGAGGGGAATCTCCACCTGAGCTCCTGCAACTTATCCCTGTATGATGGCTGGGGACTTCTGTCCACCTGTGCTGATGATCTAAACACAGTTTGGCTTTGGCAGTCAGAGCAGCTGTCAACCACTTGCCATGCAGCTAAAAACTGCTTCTATTCTTGTTCTGTCTGGGCGAAGGCTTTACATCTAGAACTGGGAAACCCTACAAATGTCCTTCATTGCCTCTGCCACCGTCTGATGCATCTGGGTACCATCCTCGGAGAAGACCTGGAATCTTGCTACATGAGGAGTCTGGAACCTGATTTTCTTTTCTTTCAGAACCTTGTTTGCGTTGACATACTTCTCCAACCACATTTCTTAAGGACAGCAGCATAAAAGTGAACATTGTTAAGAAAGACTTCTCTTTGCCAGGCTTTGTGGAGCACCTTCTTTCATTCTGTTCCTTGAAAATTTTACAATGATGAACTGTGGCCTTCCCTGTGGACCACTTGGTTTTGGGGCCAGTGCTCTAGTGAGCTGTTCATCATGTGCAAACACAAATTAAAATTTAAGAGAGAAATTCTCCAGAAAGCTGATCATATCCTTTCCTGCTGCTCCTTTGGAATGCCATACATGTGGAGATTCTATTCGATTGGCCTTCTTCTTGATCAGTAAGCTTAGCCTTCATATCTCACATTTGGTTCTTGTTGATGTTACTGTGAGTCCGGTACTTCCTGAGGTGCTCAGTGTGTGCCCAGGCCTCCTGCATGTCCATTGGCAGAAGCAGGTTGCTATAATATGTACAACCACAAGTTATTTTCTACCATAACAAGTGACAAAAAGTTATTGGACGCTTCAAGTGTGTGAGTAGACAAAAAATTATGTTCAGTGATTAAATCTCTGAACATACAGCCTTGTAGCATTCAGTTTCATCTTCAGTGTACAAAATGTATGGTCTGTTGGAGTTAGGTAAATGATTTTATAGCTGAAATGATTTCAAGTATTTCTTGTTTTTTGAGTGTAAGAAGTCTTCTGGGTTGCTAGGACATGTAGGATTGTTTTGGGTAGTTGTCTCGCTGGATGATGCTTTATATTATGTTAATCTCACTCTCTCTTTCTCTCTCTCACTCTCTCTTGCTCTCTCTCTCGCTCTCTCTTTTCTTTTTCCACAGTTTTTGCTGAGTTACCCAGTCCTAGGAACATCACTGTTCAGACCCTTAACACAAATTACATCCTGAAATGGGACTGGGATCAGGGACCACACAGCAAAGCCGTTACGTTCACTGCACAGTATCTGGCGTAAGACAATTCTTGCACACAGTACATAATGGATAAAAAAAGCCAATATTTTTTTATGCAGAATTTCAAATGTCAGCTTCATATCGATTTTAACTGTAATTTGCCCACATTAGCCCTAAAAAACCTACTAAGTGCTTACTTTAAAAGCTTACCTTTTCGGTTATGCATTTTACTCTTCTTGGAGATTTATGACCAATCCCATTTCTTATATTTACCCCTGCCCCTTGTTTTCGAGTGTCACCTTGTCCCTTAACTGAGTTACAAGGGGTAGTGGTTAAAATCTTTCCCTACGAAATGGGACAACCCTCAAATAAAAAAGAACATTACTTCATTAACAGGCTATTAGCGGTGCTCTGTTAGCAACGCTGCCAGGCTGTAGTGTTAGCAGAGGAGCAGTAAAGTTTAGCAACCTTGCTGCTGGTCTTTAGTTAAATTTAGGGAATCATATGCCTTCAAAGAAGGGGGATGCAAGAGTTATTTATTATTGCCCACCCCTAATTTTTCAGTGATACGAAGCTGAAGTGAGCTATTTGCTAGCTTCTTGTTTGAATTTTTCCATTCCACCTTAAATGGTACAGCCGTTCTGATGCCATCTGATGCACCATTTAAGGTGGAACGGGAAATTTAATTAGCTAGCTACCAAGACAGCATACTACCGAGCATACCGAGAACTTTTTTATGTTTGTTATGAAGAAAGGGACCATAATACATTGAAACAACATTTAAACTTAAGTAATACAGTGGTTAGCATATTTTTAACAGAGTGGTTCTTTCGTAGCTTGTGCAGCCATCTTAGTGGTGTGCCTCTGCAATACCCCATCACCCCCCCCCCAAAATGTGCCTCTGCAACTAAATTCATGGACCTTCCCATGGTTGAATAATTGTGAACCTCTTTTACCTAAATAAAATAATTAACATAAGGAAGAACAGGCACAAGTATAATTTTTATTCAGTACACAACTGTCTGAAAGTTCAAACTCTTTCCTGAACTTTCAACTATCCAAGCATTTCATAATGAGACGTTTCAAGATAAGTACGAAAGAATCCTAACTAACTTGCTTTGCGATGTCCGAAGCCTGTTTTTCCTATACTTGGAAATGCCACTGTGCCATGAGCAAGAGGCTCAAACTATTCAGTCAGTATAAGGCTGGACAAGAGCTCCTGTCAAGGTAATCATTGTTGTCCTGTCCTGAAACTTTGAAAACATATTCTTGGTTGACAGTGGTCACACATCACAAATAATTCTTAGCTTCAAGTACAGTATCCCTGACTACAACATTAAAACTGAAGGACTTTTTTTAGAACAGATTACAAATTTTATCTCACACTTTTCCAAATCATCACCGTTAAATCAGGCTGTTCACATTGTCTTGTCATTCCACTTTCCTACGAGCCTATTTGCACTTTAATGTGTGTCATGTCCAGACAATGTCAACCACGTTTACACCTGGCCACAAGCTCCTTAGTTACACAGCACCTTCTCACAATTAACTTTTGGCCAGGTTACCTCTGCATGTTATCCCTTCCATCTGGGATGATGAAGGCTAGTATGTGTTTTCTTTCCCTCAGCATCTTTTCAAACTGCCACTATGGCAAAGTCAACAGACATGTCCCTCCCAGAGATTGCGAGGCCAATTATACTCTCTTGGACACGGATGGCAGTGGCATTGCTGCGCCCAGTTTTTACTATGCTTATAGTGTAAAGGCCCACAGGAGCTGTTTGTAAACAGTATTTGTTTTGTCGTCTGTGATTTTAATTTCACTAATAAATAGGCCTGTCAGGATCACAGAATTTTAGCTGGCGATTAATTGCCAAAGAAACAGTTAAAACAATTTAATTGGCTTAGAAAAAACAAACATTACTTACCACTGCTCTTATGTGTTAAAGCACCCAGTTGGAAGCTTGTTGTTTTCATGAAACTTGTGATGTGGATTATCAGCATTACATATAAAAACTCTTTTTGAATAGTAAATAGAATTGTGTTCGCACTACAGACTTTGGAACCCTGATTCCTATCACAATCCTTGTAAATAAAATCTCTTCACATCAAACAACTTAGAATGACTTTATTTACATTGCAACTATTGAATTATGCAGAAATTTTTAAATGTCTTTGTACATTTGATTGTGAAAGCTAACAATTGTCCTCTAGTCCTTCATCAGTGGTCACAGGACGCTGCCCACAGGACGCTGTTGGCTGGATATTTTTGGTTGGTGGACTATTCTCAGTCCAGCAGTGACACTGAGGTGTTTAAAAACTCCAGCAGCACTGCTGTGTCTGATCCATTTGTACCAGCGCAACACACACTAACACACCACCACCACCACGTCAGTGTTACTTCAGTACTGAGAATGATCAACCACCCAAATGGTACCTGCTCTGTGAGGGTCCATGGGGGTCCTGACCACTGAAGGGTAAACAGGGTAAAAGGGGGCTAACAAAGTATGCAGAGAAACAGATGGACTATGGACTACAGTCTGTAATTGTAGAACTACAAAGTGCACCTATATAGTAAGTGGAGCTGATAAAATGGACAGTGAGCGTAGAAACAAGGAGGTGGTCATAATGTTATGCCTAATCAGTGTATGTAGTAGTGACAGGCCTACTAACAAAAGAGCTCTATGTAATCCTAATGTTTTGGATAGGAGGAGTGAAGGTTACCTATGTAACAACAAGAAACAAATGTTTACACCCAGCTATATTTCCTGTGCGTCCCTCTCCCAGCAGTAGGTTTAAAATCAAGGCTCTTGGGAAGTACAACTGGACAACAGTGTGTGAGGCCACGTCTGAACACCACTGCGACTTCACAGCTGAGGACCTGTATTACTTCGGAATCTGGATTTTGCGCGTAAGGGCTCAAAATGACTTGCTTGCATCCTCCTGGATCCAGATTCAGTTCTGTCCCGACAGAGATGGTAAGCAACCTAGATCAGCAATTGTTTGACAAAAATGGATGATCAGCCAAGACTGGTTTTGTGTATCAAATAAACAAAATAAAACTCTTTGTTAATGAAAAGACTTATATTAGCGTATGGCATGGCTTCTAACATGTTAGTTGTTCGTGGCTGCTGCAGCATTCAAGTCCAATATATGTGAGGTTTTTCAGCACCTTGAGATGAACTTGAGCTTTAACCTTCTCCAGTTTTAAACTAGAGCATTGCGGCACGAGTGGCAAACCCAAACTGCTTCCCAACAGAGGGTGGTTATTTCCATATGTCTGTTTTTGCTCACAGTGGAAAGAGCACATCTTTCTTAGCCCTCAGATTAAAGAATCATGATTTGCCACTTGTACAACATTTTTTTGATCCTGTGCATGTAACACTAATACATAATCACATAACATGGTCTTAAAACCCCTGTGAAATCCCGTGTGCTGGTGATACAGGAAGGTGGCACAGCAGCTCTGCTCTTTTGTTGTTGTTGTTTTTCTTTTGGAAAGCAATACCATTAATTGCTGATTGCTATAGGGACACATTCAGGCCAAAATATATTGTACACAGCCTTGTAAGCCAAGGAACTGGTTCTTATTCCCAAATAAAAGTAAATGCAAACATCTCTTAACTGAACTAAATTTGAGGTAAGTCTTGTCAGTCTTTGATTTTTTGCTGCTCCTTTAAAAAATGTGTCTGTTTTCTAGTAGCACTTTTGTCCTTTGACTCTATGTATGTTACTGTCCCTTTCTGTAGCTGCCATTGGCCCGCCCTCTGCAGTGGTTGTGAGTCCTGTTAAAGGTCTCCTGCAGGTTGCCATTTCTGACCCTCTGACTAACAAAAATGCTTCAATGAAAATGTTGCTGCAACATATGTACTACTATATCCAGTACTGGAAGGACCCTTTGGAGATTCAGGTAGGGTCTGCTTTATCCAGTCCCTTTTTATCCAATCCCTTTTTATTAACATCTCCGAAACATGAACCGATACACAGGAAATACAGCAAATAGTTTTCGTGCTCGTTTTTACATGCACAGAAACCGAAAAAGAGCAACTCCTGGTAGCTGCCAAACAACATCAGCCATGTAATTAGGTGTGTCTAGCTACCTTTGAGATGCGTTGCTGCCATCCAGTTCTAAGTTTTTTTCATGAAATGGTGAAATGTCTCACTTTCAACATCTGATATGTGTTCTATGTTCTATTGTGAATAAAATCTGGGTCTATGACACTTGCAAATCATTGTATTCTATTTTTATTTACATTTATTTACGTTTTTCGAATTAGGGTTGTACTTCATGCTTTTGTTACTGCCTTCCCTTTGGGATCAGTAAATCTATTAATCTGTTCCAGGAGTTCCCAAAGTTTTGCATCTCATGGCCCAAACAAACGACCACAAAACGGCCCACTAGCAGTACCTCCAGGCTGAAAAGTGCTGAACTGTTTAATGTGTGTCTTGTAAAGGCTTATAGATATTAAGAGAAAGTTGAAAAGTGATGATGATGAAGCTGGTTATTCGCTTTACTGTGGTGGCAGGTGCCAGTAGTCATTTCTTTCTTTCACATCTCAAATCTGTGGTTCCCTTTTGAGACCTATACCATGTATAACAAAACAACACCACCACACCACAGTAGACTGACCACAGCCTTTAAAACACACACACACACACACACACACACACACACACACACACACACACACACACCTGCATTCCTAGTGAGGTTAGCAGAAGTCTTCTGGTTTCTTTCTTCCACACCCTGAGCGTAGGGCAGCTGGATGCTTCATCTTTAGATATGTTGCTTTTATAAATGTGTCCTCTTTTGTTCCAACTGTCTCAACCAACAATTGGGTATCAGAGAGAGGTAAAAACAGACATGCATAGTGGCTGCAGGAAAGAACGACTAAAAACTGTGTTAAGTGTGACAGTAGAGTGTTACTGGTTGTGAAGCTAGTACTAGCTTAGCTGACAAGCTTATGCTGCTTTTAGGTGGTCTCGATTTTATCAGAAACAGAGTTTTCCATCAGGAGGCACTGCATGAACACCCTTTGAAGTCAGATGATGAGGTCAAATACATTGAAATTTCCGATGCACCCACAAACCGGCCTCCATGTTGACATCAGTGATGCTTTTATCATGCTGGAGGACCAAAGTGAACAGTCATTTTATTTCTGCTTTGAGTTCAAAATGGCAGCCAAACAGGCTAAAACTGACAGATGCCAGCTTGCTAATAAACTATAACACCCATCTCACATTCTCAGTGTTCTATTTATCTCTCTTATAAACCACATGAACACGCACCTTGGGTGAATAAGTTCCTCCGCGGAGAAAACTACCACCTCACTTGCACTTGAAACCAGCATTACAGCTAACATAATGGTTTGATTCCAGCTAAGAGTCAGCCAACTGTGTTCCTGCAGATTTGAGTCTTTAGCACTATTGGGACAGAATTAGTTTTCCATGGGGAGGTGGGTTATGCCAGTTAACCATAGTCTGAATTGTTTATGACTGACTCTGATAAGAAATCTCAGTATGAATGAGATGGAAGCAACTTCTCAATTTATGCACTGCTTTTATGCCGGAAAAGAGTAGAACACTTTTAATTTAGTTGTTATTTGATTTACCGTAAACCTACCTTGCAGCAAAGTTAATGTGTTGTGTCAATAGTAATGTCCTTAGCTCAGGAGTTCAAAGCCAACAGTTAACATCAATGTAAGAACTTAAACATTTTGTTCGGGTTTTTTTTTTTGTTTTTTTTTTTTTAATTATTGCGTGTTCTGATTACACCTGAGGAGGACTGTATATCAGTTTGCCAGTAGCCACAGAGAACATAAGTAAAAACTTCTGCAAGCCTCCACACAAAAATCCCTTTTCCACAGAATATGGTGGCATTTTTACCGATGTGCCGATTCACACAGGAATAACCGTTTTAGAAGGTAAAAGGTGTCGGAGTCTTTGCTGAGAGCTTCTGTCCTTTAAACTGGAGCATCACAGGAGCATTAGTTAGCTGGAATCAGAGCTGTACTGGTGGTGTGGAGCTGTTAGCCTACTAGCCAGGCTAACACTAGCACCACAACAGCTTTACTAACACAAGCTTAGCTACCTGTCTTATGGCTCTACTCAGCACAGAACAGGTTTGATTCCAGCTAATGGTCACTCCAGCACCAGTCACTCAACTTTATTTCCTCAAAATATTTGTCTATCGCATAAATTCACACCACAACCAACGACACAGAACTGTTTCATATTTTTCAGCCTTGTTAGATTGATAATGTAACACTACATGCTTGTTTATATGCATTAAAAGTTGTGCTTGGTTTCATACATGTGGAACAGAATTTTATTTATTTATTTTAATAGGATGATCATTGATATTGGTTTCCATGAAAAATAGCAAACCCTCGCAAGAGACTGTGTTAAAGTTTAAAACTTATCAGCAATACTGTTTTAAATTTTAACACAGTTGCAAACATTCAATTTTTTTATATTTTATTGAAAATGTTACACTCTTACTTATTACTTACATTAGCCTTGTAGTTCCAGTGTTAAAACTAAAGCAGTAGACTTTAGACACCAGACTTGTCTTGGCTGATCGACTGCATTTGAAGTGAGTAGAACATTTTGTAAATTAGATTTTTTTGCCAAACAATTTCACACACAGGAACCATGTCTCTCCCAAAGAGAGCATTCTAGTATTATATAACTAGAATATTATACTAGAATATTATATAACTAGCATTCAAGTTAAGTCAAGTCAGGTCAAGTGGTCTTTGTTGTCATTCCTCAATACGCAGCAGCAGCACATTACACAGGACCACAGAGAGTGCAGATATACAACAGTGTATGACTACCAGCCACAGATAACATCGGTCAGAGCAAAGGGAATAGATAAGTCATTTGGTTATTCAAACACAGCCTTGTTAGCATCTGAAGGCCTTCAGTCTCTCCTTAGTGCTTTCTGTTTTTCTGTCCTACTGTAACATTACATTAGTCTTTCAGTGCGGTTCCTCTGGCTTTCCACACCAGCTGGTTGAACCTCAGCAAGAAAGATGTTCATATGGTTTTGTGAAATGTGTGATTGAATTGGCAATACAGTTAGTGAAAACAGTATGTCTCGTTTACAAACTAAAAGGCTTTCAAAATCGTAGAAGAACAGAGATTAGGACAGGGTTTTTCAACTAGGAGTTTTGTGAAACCCTAGTGGTTTGTGGTGGCATTGCAGGGAGTTCATAAGACTGATGTGAAATTAAATTAGATTTTAAAAAATGTTTTTACAAGAAAAAAGTAAATGTGACGTTATTGTGAATATATACAAACAAAATGTGACAAAAAATATTTCCACTCTAAAACACATTATAGACTGTGTTCATAAATTTCCATTTGTTTCATGATGTACATTGTTGGAAATCATCTATATAGTATTTGTAATTAAACTCTTCAGTTACTGAATGCAAACATGCACACCTGGCCCCAAAACCATTAAATTTTAAGTACTTTTCAATTTTACTTTAAATCTCAAGGGATACTTTAGGGCAAATAATTTAGGATTAAGGGGCTTCATCAGACACAGGTTTGAGAATCCCAGAATAGGATGTAGGTAGAAGTGGTGAAGCTGCAGCTCAGTGTGGTTCATTGGGATCAGTGTTTGTCTTGTTTTTATATGTAAATGCTTTGTGGCCAGTTTCATGACTTCATTATTTGAATTTGCTTTCTTTCCTTGTTCCTTAGCCACTAATTTACCTACTGAATGTATAACTATTATATACCAAGTGGTTACAGACATGGAAGGTGTTAATATATGGATCATTCTACTGAACTAGTTCAAAGTCAGAGTTAAAAACACATTTGGGGCTTCTAGCTAAACTTGGACTTTAGACTAAAATCCTTTTGATTTGTGTGTCCCTATACCTTAATTATGTTTAGTTCATTAAAATAAATTATTGAGTCATTCTATTTTGTCACTTCTAAAACAATCATAACACTACCGAAACGTCACCAAACGTTTCAGTATTGACTCATAAACGACAAAATGTAGCTTATTTTGAGCAGAACACAGCTTTTAAAAAGCTGTCCACACATGAATCATCATATTTTTCATTGAAACACAAAAAATAAAATGTGTTTCTGTAGTGACAATTCTTAATGTTCCACACAGATTTTCAGACTTTGTTGCACATTTACAATTTTTAAATTAAAAAATTAACTCAGGACAAATCTAAATCTTTAACTTTCAGTCAGAAAGATCCTTTTAAAACAACATTGGGAAAAAAAGCAAAAAAAAACCCTATAAATTATAAATATTAAATAGTGTATTTTACTCTGGGACCGCAGTTTGTACTAATGCAGTAGAATGGTCCATGTACATTTTTTATAAACCATCTCAGCATATCAGAGCATGCCTTGCTGTCTAGTATGTGATCTTTCAAACAGTTTGTTTTTGTCCTTAATGTTTCCTTTTGCACAAGAGTGGATCTAAAGTATCATTGTATAGTATGAAGATAACTTTATTAACACTCACCATGTACCCTAATAATTAACTTAATGAGCCAAAAGAATTTCCCCGTCATATTATTTTTTTATGTTGTATGTTTCTAAGCACTTCTTTTGTCCTATAAGCACTCTCTTACTGTACCTCATTCTCTCTATATAGAAACCTAGCAGTCTGAGGACCACAAATAACTTGGTAATTCTACCTGACCTGGAGAGTCGGACGTGGTATTGCGTGAGAGTGCAGTCTCGCTATGACTTCTACGACAAGATCAGCGTCTTCAGTCCCACGTATTGTGAACAGACAGATTGTAAGTTGCCCACAAAGCACACAGATGAGCTAAGACTGCACTTGCAGAGATAGCTTTGCCAAACATTTTATTGTGGCAGTACCAAACGTGGCTTGACTGAACTGTGTCTCTAGAGCAGTGGTTCTCAACCTGAAGGTTATGATGAGGCAGGGGTGTCCAAAGTCCGGCCCCAGGGCCAAATGCGGCCCATGGACAGATTTTAATTGGCCCCAGTTTTTGTTTTACAGCGTATTATAAAGTGGCCCGCCAGCCAGTATGCTGCAGTTCTACCTTTCACCTGACGGTGGCAGCTGACCAGACCTGCAGCTTCATTTACTAAAAGACATTTAGTCAAGACTACAGACATAAAGCTCAAACTAAACACTGAGAACTAGCGATTTTGGCAAGATAGAAAACTTCTTATCAGAGCAAATTCAGTAGTTCAGTAAATAAAAACCCTTTAAGGTCAAACAAAAATGTGGCTATGCTGCATTTATTTGATATTTAAAGAACATTATCTAACAAACCCAAAAATGTGTAGATTTTTGTTTAGTTGGTCTCACAAAATATATTTTTCAACAAGTAAACACTTGAACAGGAATATGATTAATACATTAGACATGTTGTATTGTAAGCGCTTATCGATCCAAATTGCTCTGAATGAACAATCCAGGCAATAAAAGAAGCCTTGTGCATCTTTTATAGAGTGATGGGAAACACGTTAGCTCACAGAAAGCTCAGATTCTATTTGCTGATATTTTGAAAACTTAATATTTTAAATCATTTGTGAATAACAGTTCGGCCCCTCAGATATCCTGACAAGGTACGATGTGGCCCTCTTTGAAAAAAGTTTGAACACCCCTGTGATAAGGTTTTGTGGTGACAAATAAGTATATAAATCTATAACTTTATCACGCGGTAGGATTTTTCTACCAAATCTGTTCAGAAGTTGGAAAAACCATTGGGGACTTTTAACTGACTTGGACTGAAATTATGTTGCTTTGAGTGACCCTACAGCTTAATTATGTGTATTTTATTAAAAGAGATGATTGAGCATTCTATTTTGTCACTACCAAAACAATCATAACGCTACCGAAATTCTAAAAAGTGTTTCAGTACTGACTGTGACTAGAAAACACAGCTTTAAACAGTTGTACGCATAATTTTTTTCATTAAAAAACAAAAAAGTTTACTTAACTCTAGAAAATTTGTGTTTAGGTAGAGACAATTTTTTAATGTTTCACACAGACTTTCAGACTTCAGGATAAATTTACTTCAGAACAATGGGATCTATCTGCTTACCCTGTGACCGTGAGGGACAGGGATGCAGTCTCACTTCCTGCTCTAAAATGCAGGGGTGTGGCTTAAACATAGCTGCACGTGCATACTTAAAACTCTGTGTTTCGGTATTGATGTAAAAACGTGGGGCAGGATATATATATATATATATATATATATATATATATATATATATATATATATATATATATATATATATATATATATATATATATATTTATTTTTTAATTAAGCACATGGTAAATCCACTTCTTTCAGCTGCCCTCGAAAAGAAATGTAACAAATCTTTAAAAAATATAAAAGATCTTTTGAGAAAAAAGAAAAGAAATGTAAAAGTATTATTTTCACAAATGTAAATTTAGGGGTTAGGCTTTGGGACAGACACCTCCCAGAAGAAAGTAACCTATAAATTATGATATAAATGACATAATTTAGTTGGATGCATTGTAAATGAATGCCAGACAATCACGTCATTCACACGATTGCAGTTTCAGTGGTTCAGCTGATTTGTATCCTGTGTCCATCAGCCGAGGTGCTTTGTGGGTAATTCTCAAGTTCATAATAAAAAAATGTAAAAAAAAGTAGCCAAGCAATATGACTAACACAGCTAACTAAAGTGAACTTTAACTGCAGTTATGATAAAACAATAATTCTAGTTAATTATGCACTTATTGTCTAGATATGTGATGCATAAACGCTATCTAAGTGGTAGAAGTGACTCATGAAAGCTAAATTTCAATGAGGACATTCTTTCACAGCAGTATACAGTGCACTGCAGGTGGGCTTTAGCCTGGCTGGATAAATTTGGAACTGCAGTAACTGACGTTCTTAAAATTATGATTAGCCCTAATGCAGGGAGAAATATGAAAAGATTGCTGTAGTGTTTCAAGAAGTCAAAATGGAGGTGGTCATGGACCACAGCCTACCTCTTTTGAGGGGTCTTGCATCAAAAAATCGAGATCCACTGCTCTGAATGCTGATTTTAGAAATCAGTTTACAAATGAGCTACTTATTCATTCACATTCTGGTATCTTTATTTAGCAAAAACATTCTACAACGTCCTACAACCCCCACAAAACAGCACAGTATTTGCACACAAAGTCTTCCCTTTATTGGTCAAAGTATGAGCTTATTTATTAGGATTCTCATTTATGTCCTCGACCAGAATATGTGCATTGCCCAAACTACAAAACAAGCAACATCCTTAAATCAAAGAAAGAAGTCTTGTGTGCAGTGGTGAAATCTGTTTAACTGCCTGCCATGCTGAAAAACCACCAGCCCACCTGTCTGAGGTAATGAGGGGGAAAATAAGAAATTGAGCAGCTGGGTAAACCCTTACATGAAATACACAAAACAGTGTTTACAGTTTAGTTAAGAATTAAAATTTGCTTCTGTATTGAGTTACCAAAATAGAGCCATCTGTAATTCTCAGCATGGTTTGTTCCTTTGTTGATTTATTAGAAACTGTCTGATAATTATGTCATGGCACGGAAAACCCACAGAAAAAGAAAATGAATGAAATATATTGGAAATTTTTGAACCGTCTACACACTTCATAGTTCTTCAAGGGTTTGTTAAGACAGTGGTTCTATTTACTTCTATAAGGAACATCTTGCAAGATGTTTGCAAATAGTCTAATTTAACAAATATTCTATAAATTCTATAAGGAACACTTCAAGAATCCTTTTAAGTGCGTAGGAAATCATTTTGTGCATATTTTTCTATGTTAAATATGTATCTGAACATTTCATTTTTGCTAAAACAAATGAAAATATAAACTAAAATATAAAATAAATTAGCAATGTGAATGTTTAATCATTTAGCCACTAATTGACAAACAGTTGTTTGAACCAGTGCTATCAGTCAAAAAAATAAACATCAGTTCCTATTTGGATAGAAATTGGCTGTGTTCTCTTTGAATACCTGAGGAGGGGGTCTGGTACTCCAAATTGTTGCATGCAATTACACATTTCCACCAGAGAGGTCCAAATCTTTTCTCTGGTTTTATTATGAAAGTGCCTGGAATCGCAAAGTGTTTTAGAATTCTTCTGGGGTTTAAAGGGTTAAAAAAGATTAATCAGTCTTAAAATAGTAGCTAGATTACTCAACTGCCAGTATAATTGACACTGGCAGCCTTGCTTCACGTAATGTGTGTTTTGTATAGGAATTTTGTTTTTCTATGTTTTTACACTCTAAACTGTAAGTGCAAAATTCACCCATTTGCTCCTCATGAAAGAGTGAAGGTTTTAAGAGTGCACTGCAAACCAGTGGAATATTCTGAAATGACCTGTTTTGGGTAAAGATATTAATAAACATGCGCTGTTTTGGTTGTTAAAAATTGGTTTAACTGTGAAACATCTCTGCTTGCTTCCACACTGTGGCCTGGATTTGAATAAGGCAGTCAAGCCAGTCAGTTTCTATTGCCTATGTAAATGCATTGTCTGTTTGTTCTCTCTGTTAAATGTCAGGAAGATCTCTTCAGAAAAACATTTCCAGAAATGAGAATTTGAGTTTTGAATTGTGTTGCATGCTTGTGTGGTTTCAGGTCAGATGTCTTATTGGCAGATCTTTCTGTATTTCCTGCTGTCACTGGCGTTGAGTTTCCTGTTTGTGCTCGGGTTGTCCTTTTGCTTTTTGAAGTCATTTAAGGTCATCAAGAACACCTTCTACCCCTCTATCCCGCTGCCCACCCACATACAAGAGGTACAACACCTTCATCTACAATTGCCAAGGATTATAAATATTAACAGAAATTTTAATAGACAGAATATTGTTTTCTGTCCAAACCAAAATTAGGCATGAATATGTGCATGTGTATATGTGTATATAGACACTCCTGTGCAACAAAAAATAAGTCACACTTTCAGTCCAACATGTCTCAGCTCTTTTCTGATTTTCTGTTTGCAGTACCTCTGCGACTCCCCTGGTTCGGACATGCCACACCTGCTGACCACAGATTCTGAGGTGGAGCTCTGCTGCGACCAGCTGGATGTCCTGACCTCTGATGCCCTGGTCAAGGATGTTGTCATGGAGATCCACGCCCCACCCCAGGATTCTGAGCAGGACAGCAGGAACTACAGTCGCCACAACAGTGGGGACTCGGGGGTCTACTCTGCAGAGGAGGGGTCTGGCCAGAGTGGCCAGGCCTTCAAAGGAGGAGAAGAATTGAAGCTGGAGAAAATGGGACAAATAAGCTTTCAAAAGGAGGGACGGGTGGAGCCAGACGAAAGGATACAGGACATGCACGTTTAACGCAGCCAAACAAAACGGCCTCCAGATGAGATTAAAGTAGGCTTTTATGTTTTGTTGTTGTATTTTCTTCAACCCCCCCCCAACAACCCTCCACCCCAAATCTGCTTTCTACTGTGGGCTTAGAAGAAAGCAAAGGAGGAGGTACATGAGGATGTTTTGATCAGTCACTGGCTTTGACAGTGTGTATATATATATATATATATATATATATAATTATGTGTGTGTGTGTGTGTGTGTAAAATAAAAGAATAGGATGGATTGTTGAATTTCCGTCGTGTCTGTGTAAGGTGGAGTGCACATCACATTTTCCGGTGTGCAGCTCTGAGACAATGAGGTGGCCATAGAAAAGATGGCCACCTCATTTTTTTGCTGCATACCATGAAATATGCATATATACATAGTACTTGTATGAAGTGTCCATCTCACAACAGCTTAGGACATTTGTTCATTTATCCAAGCTTTACAGTATAAGAGATTGTCTGCTTACCTGTGAACAGAATAATGTGTCTATCTGTTGGATCTGTTGGTCAATTTGGTCAGTCGTAGTGTCATTTTGGTGTTTCTGATTCTGTTTCTGGCGCGAGATCAGCACTCCAGCGCTCAATACCTCCTTTTCCACAGTCAGCCTTAAAGGAAGGTTCAGCAGAAAAACAAGAAAACACAATTTTTACTCCAGATATAGTTGACAGTCTAAGTAGGGTTGTTACAGTGTCTCTATTTCACGGTTTAGCATAGTGTGTGCTCAGACTGCTGGCTTTTGAAAAATATTGACATAGATGCATTTCTGTCTGTTGCCGACTACTAGTTATAGTTGCTTAAATCCTTTCTCAGCCTGTTTAAGCAGTCCACATCTGTTTTAAATGCTGCATTGCTAGCTTGTAGTATCACACACAGTGGCTACCAAAAAAAGAAAAACATGGTTTTATTGCCTATAAATAAACCAAGGGGTTCATGGTTTTGCAATGCTGCTGGGCACAAGAATCTAAATTTTGGATGGCAACAACAAAATCCCGGAAGTCAATAATAATATAAAACTTGAGGAGCTGAGAACTGATAACCAATTCCTTTGTTTATTTCATTTATTTAGTCATTTTTTATTTTCAGAGATTGTTCATCTAGAGCAGGGTCAGTCGAAATCCAGTTATTTCTAATTTCTTGCTTACAAATGTCAAGATAACAAATGAACGGCAACAACATTTACTTTTAAATTGATTAGTACAACTAACTAACATAACAATATAAGACACATCAAATATGTTAATGAACTATTTTACGTTGGACATACTTTTATAATCCAATTTTAAGTGTATGGAAGAAAATGGTAAGAAAATCTTAAATTAAAAATAAAATTCCATTTATATATAGAGTAAGAGAGGCAGTTCTTAGTGAGCGTTCAGCACTTTCACACTGTCAGGGAAGGATCGCTTCTCTTTCATGTTGAACTTTGGGTTTATTTTATTCCTTAGAGTGGAGTTTTGTAAGTAAATTCAAAGTGATGGTCTTGCACGACAGTGATTTTTTGAGTAGCGCCACAGACCCTGAAAAGATCAGACACATCAGTTTTAAACAGTTCTCTGTTCATTAATTTTTAAACGCTCTGTTTTCATTGACTACTTTTTAGTGAGCCGTGTTTGAGCAGAAATAGTAAATAAAATTAAAAATCTATGAAAATGTTTTTCACTTTATGACCTGATATCCGCCCTGTAGTCTCTGTTCTGTTCAACTGCCTTCAGCTAAAGTTGTTTATGTAAATGCATTTGATTGGATAGAAGCTGTGCTTTACAAACCCCCAACAGCTCTTTCCTTTCTGAGCTCAATCATTCTGAACAAAGCAACATGTGTACTTTTTATGTACTTTTTAAGTGCATTTAGCTAAAAATCATGTAATGTTTGATTTGCAGAGGTTAAGTTAGCCCCTTGGCTCCCTACATGCTGCCAGCCAGCTGTGCCAGCAAGATACCATTTTTAAAAATTATTTGTTTTTTACCCTCAGTGCGTACCTTCACTTGCCCAGCCTCTGGCCACTTACACCAAACCACTCTGAATCACTGTAGTAGTGGATGAAATTGTTCTGATTCCTTTTGTGTTTGTATTTGAAATGGCTACTTCTTGAAATCTAATGCTTAAGGTTAATGGCAAATATAATGATTGCTTAATACCATGATATGGAGAAAACGTGAAATGTTTATTAAACCATAACAACCGTAATGCGACAATTAACGTGGTGCAGATTACATGCATATATTGCGACATGCTTGTCTAAAAGCGTGTGGAGTTGTTTAGTAATCTCTAATGTTATACTTATGTGCTTTCTGATGCTGTATGAAACACTGTTATCTAAAAACATGGACTAAAATATGGCCAGACTTGTCATGACTTTTTTGCTATGTTTGAGTTTAAGGGAAAATTCTGTAAATTTAGTTTATTTTTTGGTCTCCACGCCAAGTGCTTATCTCTTTTCTGCATGTGCTTCCAGATTGGTGTGGTGCTTTTTGGTACTGGCTGTGGTTTTCCTCAAGCTGTACAGTTCCGAGAGCACTTTTGGGTTCCAGCCAAATGCTGCCAGAACACAACAGCACAAAGGCTGCAAGCTGCTATTCATGTTTATCGTGACAGTGAATGAACAATACTGATGAGTCTAAAAGCTGAAAATTGATAAGCAGACTGCTCTAATACAAGTGCTATTTAGTTATTGATCCAAGTTTTCAGCTGCTAGGACAAGAACACTGTAGCACAGGTGATTTTTTATTTTTTTTTTCCCGTTTGGTTTTATTAAATATGACATCCAACAGATTTACTGTAACAGAACAGATCTTGGCAGCTTGGTAACTTTGCTGTCCTCACTTGAAATTCCTGCAAAATTAAAGTGTTCAGATGTAAACAAAGTCATTCAGAGTGTTTTGGTGTAAAATGCTCTGTTTTAGAGAAGCTTAGAGTCAGAATTGTTAACAGTAGACATAATAGGAACCACACATCCAGCTCTATAAGCTCCTTCACAGAAAGTTTACATGAAATGGTTCGGAATACGCTGCCTGATGTCTGACACATTGTTTTTTTACATTAGTTTTGAGAAGATTTTGGCCTAAAACATATTTTTAAAAATTCATGGCATAGAGAAAGGTTAAATAGTCCCCAAAGAAAACTTTTTTCAGACTTTTTACGATTTTACCATCATAAACACTCAGTATAAAAACTCATATGTAGGTTCACTGATGGTTTTGGATAGTAAATAAAATGGCTACATTTGTGTTTTAGACATGGTGACCCCGGTTCCTATCACCACTACTGTAAAGAAATCTGAGTCTCTACAATGAACCATTTCACTCTTAATGACTCTGTTTACATCTCAAACACTGAATTATGGAGCAAGTTTGAGAATTCCCAAATGAGATGGCTTTTGCATGCTATATGTAAGGCCATTTAACTAGCATTTTCTGTTTTCTGAGCTGAAATGGCATTGTCTGCACTTTTTGCTGTATAATTGTAGTGTAATTATTTTTTAATTATATTCAAAACATACAAAAAAGAAAAATGTGACACTGTCGTCTGTAAGAATTCAAGTTGTGTGTCCTTGTGTGTGTTTTACAGTCACATCAAATTTTGAGGCTGTTTTGAAACTGTTTGGCTCATATGATTCTTATAGAATCTGAAGCTGCTAATTTTTTTAATCACTTATTCATTTTTGTCTTTAATCTTTAGTATTTTGTCTTCTGAAATGCTTTGTAAAGCTCAGTTAAGCACTTATGTTTTCTGCATCTGTCCCAAACTATCGATATATTTTTATATAAAGGCACTTTTTTATATTAATTGTTTCTTCTACATAAAGGTTAAAGTGAAATGTTTATGATTCTTAATTGTGAATATCAAGTAAACTGTAACATGATTTGGAGTGTGGAAAATGATCATTTTGAAGGAACAGTGCTGCACAAAGACAATTTCATGCTTCTGGCTGCATCTGCATCTCTCTTCAAAGTGGCCGTTTGTTTTCTGCCTTTTTATACATACAATCTATACAATCCGGAAATGATTTGGTGGGAAATGGTAGTCATATTTTTCTTGCAGTGCCATGAGGGTTGAGGTCATTTTGTAGACCACAGACTGTTGAGCTGGAATGTAAAATAAAGAAAATACAGACAAAATAATACTGCTTACTATCTGTCTTTATTATTGCCATTTTCTGTAAGCATAAGAGGATCACTTAGCACTGCAGCACTGTTGCTCTTTAGGGGAGGCACTGATGCTATGAGTGTTTTTATTAATCTAGGTATTCATGTAATCCAACAAAATTATTTTGGTCAAAATAATGTAGGCCAATATTTAAACACTTATTTGATTTACCAGAGCATTTATGTATCGATGTAATGTATTGGAAGATGTATCTTTCAATCACCATACATAGCAATTTAATCACAGTACTACTGTTTAATCTATATTGTGCAGCCCTACTGCATACAATACACATATAAAGGATGTGTTATGTTGCAAAGCTTTTGGGAAATCTTTTCTTCACAACTTCAGTTGCTGGCCTAAGCCATTTGCTAAAGAAATGGTTCTACCAAAAAAAAGCCTAATTTTCCCCTTTAAACCTCAAATTTAGTCCATCAGCTAAGATATATGTGGTGTAAGAAATTGAGTTTTGCAGTGGAGCTACAAGGCTAAGCAAACAAGTAATGGAATCTTACTTGCCACACATTAGCATCATGCTGTTATCTATAAAAATGGATAAACATGCAGAATTTAAGATGTTTTCTTTTTGTCCTTTTTTTATTTTATACTCAAAAACTACGTAAGTCAATTTGACATGACACATGATTTAGGCATGCAGTTAGCAAGATGCAGGTTGTTGAGGTATAAACGTCCATTAGCTACATTAACCTTGTGGCTCCAGTGCTAAAGCTAAAGAAGCAAACTTCAGACACCAAACATGTATTGGCTGATTCACTACGTTTGGGGTAAGGGAGGAATATATTGAGTAGTAAGAGGGCCCCCTGATGGCAAAGCTGATGGCCTAATGGCTTTTTCCACAGTGTTTTCAGATTTGCCCACTGATGGTTAAACAGAGTATTAGACAAAATGCCATTTTTCATCTTTTATTTTCCATTCACCGTGCAATTTACTCATTTCTCCTTAATTTCTTTCTTTTGTTATTCTTTGTAAATGTAGCAAATAATTTTACCAGTAATATCATAAATAAAGCCAGCTATAGAGCTTCAACCAATATAGTACAGTGTCAGCAACAACATTTTCAACAAAATCATTTTATATTAGGCGTAGTCGTTACTTTTTTTCTCTCAGCTGTTTGTAATATTTGTCTTAGTTTATTTTTCAAAATAAAAGGCTGTGTGCATTTAAAATCTTTTTGAGGACATTAGTTAGACCTTGTATGCAGGACAATAATCTTGAGCTTTTATTAAGCCTAATCTCTTTTAGTTTAGAAATTTTAGTAGGTGTTTTATTTTTATTGGCCGAATTAAGATCTTCAGTGTTTTTCCAAAGATATTTTAATGTCATTTACACTGATTTTCCACATCACCAGATTCTGCAGCAGCACCACACCAGAGGGAGTAACTCTCTACCACAGAAACTACTTTTCTCAGCTGCCTTGTTTTTTATGCCTTTTCCTTTGTTACAAGATGATGCAACACAATCTTGTAACACAATCCTTATTGCCCACCTACCAGCAAGCTTGGCACGCCCTCACACAAGGGATGGCAACTACTGGATGCCGGGAGGAGTTTATTCAGTTCTGTAGCCATGTCAAGAAGATGCTGACTGAACTCTGGCTCAAATTGTTCCAGCAGATCCGACAGCATTGAGAAAATAGCCACATCAGTGTTTACAGTTGCTCAGGAGAGAAGGGTCTGCCTACTGACTGTAAGACAGGAGTGGAGCGTGTAGGGGTGGAACTGCTTTTGCAGTTGACCAATCAGAACAGAGTGGTGAGCTGACCAATCAGAGCACACTGGGCTCATCAGGAGGAGGGCTTAAAGACACAGGAGCTATAACAAAGTGTTTCTGATGGAGGGTGAATAGAAATGTACAGTATGATAAAAATAATGTTTTTAGAACACTGAAGCATGTAACTCTATTCTAGTACACCCAAAAAAGTACAATTATGAACATTGAAAATGAGCATAATACATCCCTTTTAACTAATAGTTTCAACACATGAAATGAGAACGCAGTATCCTGCGTGGAAGTTTGTTTCATTTTTGCATAAACTCACACAGATTCTACTGTACAAATAGGTCAGCTTTATGTTTGAAATATTTCCATATATTTCTCCGCTTACTGCTGGCTGTTTCTCTAAATGTGAGATCAGTGACTGTTTAAGAGAGGCACAATATTTAAGTCACCTATAATCTATCATTCTGTTTCATAAACTAGTGCAGTTTTCCTGTTTGCCTTGTGTTTTAGGTTAAATTCTTGATGAAAAAGTCTTGTAGAAATATAAATTCTTTTTATACCATTTTTCTTTTTTCTTTGTTCAACTGAATGACTTTAAAAAGAGAAGTAATCCAAAAGTAATGGAAAGTAAACACATTGCATTACTTTAATGGTGAAATCTTTTGGATTAGGTTACAGTTACATTTTTTAACAGCTAATCAGTAGTGTTTAATGGAAAACATTTTTAAAGTAGTCCTAACAGCCCTGCAAATACATTTTAAAACGTCAATAGTTCAATGACAATGGAGTTGTACATTTCCTCTGTGAAGACTTTGTTGGATTGTTTGCTTTATACAATGCTGTATTTTACAGTGCGGCTGTGATTATAGCTTAGTACACATATAGATAAGAAAGCTGTTAAGATACAATGGTAAAAAAAAACCATTCTCAGAAACCTCATTATATCTGCTTTCTTTTTTTGCTCAGCTGGGTTTAGATGGCACGGAAGTGGTAGCATGTCTGTCAGAGCCGGTTCTGTCAAGACTTTCTATGCGCCAGCCCGCGTTTCCTGTAGACAAGGTGGTGAATGCACTCCTGGCACTGGCTGATGCTATAGGTCATTCAGGAGGATCTGGCAAATACAGCTCTGAATAATCTGCGACAGGAATGCCTCTGTACCTCCACGTGGGACTGAATCTGCTCGTCCTTTTTTCTGGTAAGATGACGAGTGAATTTGAAAGAGAAAGTAAAGTAAGAATGTCAGCCTAGCTGCCTTTCATTTCTGTTCAGATGTTTTTTCTGTTCAGACAATATTGTTCTGTAATGAGTAGAGAAGCTGCAGTTCCCAGAGCTATTTCTACTGAAAGAGCTATATGTACTGAAACTTCTACAAGTGTGTTTAATCTCATACCCTCACTGAGTAGACTTTCTGCATAGAAGTGTTTGCTAGTACGCCTGTGACTAGAACGTGCTTGGACTTGACAGTCTGGCAGGTATTTCAAGGTGCTGTTCATTCTGTTTCCAGTGTTTATTATATTCTTTGTCACGTATCTGCATTTCTATGCATATAAGTTCACATAGTTGTAGTAGGCAGCATCATTTTTACACATTTTCTGCATAAACTATAATAGACACATTCGGTTCAATAAAAGAAAGGTTTGTGTATCAGTGCAATTAAACATCCCAGAACTATTATAAATGGTGGCAGCTCTAAGCCCAAAGCTGTGTTTAGGACCATACATAAACCTCTTCAACCCCCTATGTGATCTACTCCCTGCTCCCCTGTTCAGTGCCAGCTTTTCAGGATTTCTTTAGGGATAGAATTAACAGCATCTATCAGCAGTTCCCCACTGTAGCACAGACCTCTTTCTCCTAAATTACTCAACTTCAAAATGCTGACAGTCTGACAATCTGCTTTCCACTGGATTCCACTTTTGCGTAACATTGCATGCCTCTCCCGTCTGCTCAACAATGTTGATGTCATAATGCTGGTTAACGTCTTTATTTTGTCTCACTTTTAGTCCTCCTTTTTACCAAGTGTACTGCACACATCACTCCCATCGTCCATCAGGTTCACTGGTTACCAAAATCCTCCCGTATCAAGTATAAACTTCTCCTTCTAACCTTCAAAGCTCTTCATGGTCTCACCCCTATATACCTTCTTGCTGTTCCACGCACAAGACTCTTGACAGTGGGTGACAGGTCATTTAGTGCTATTGCTCCCAAACTTTGGAACTCTCTACCTCGATCTCTTTGTAACTGCTCTACTTTCTCTTCTTTTAAAGTTCTACTTAAAATCTTCCTCTTTACTGCTCACTACTCTCCTTCTTCAAAGTATTATGTCTTTTTTTCTCTACTCTTTGTAAAGTATCCTTGGGTTTGTAAAAGGCACTATATGAACTGAACTTTTATTGTTATTATTATTATTATTATTATTATAGGACAAATCAGCATTAGGTCACAACAACAAAGAACTTACTTCCCAGTGGATTACACTAGTAGTGCTGCACTGGTACAACTGGATTTTGTACCAAAGTTATTTTAGAGTTACTTAACGAAGGCATTAGAGAAAACAGAACTTTTTCAGTGCTTTTGTGATAAAACGTCAAATACTGAGATAGTGTGTACCTCTACATATTTGTTATTAAATGGCAAACTACATGCTCCTAATGTTATTGTTGTTGATGTTGATAAACCTGTATGTTACTAAAACTTTTTTGGGACCGTTTAATTCTATTTTAAACTGATCTTCTCACTCTGATAACTTCATGATTAATTGGACTGCATTTGGCTCACTTTCATCATTAAATCATGAGCATGCACTAGCCATTGATCTTTACTGCAGTGTTTAATAAATATTTAGCCCCAAGCATTACAATGCATTTGGTGGATCTCCAAAGCACGGCAGCATTTATTAGTGGTTCCATGCACTGAAATTAAACTTAGGGAGCCATGGGGCAGATAAAGCAGAAAGAAAAAGGTAGTTTTCCCAACAGACTCTCTCTCTCTCTATCTCTCTCTCTCTCAAACATTTGATTGTACAGCCTCAAGCACAATATTATTTTGCCTTATTGTGGTTCAATCTGTTCTATTTACCGTTACTTAAAACAAGCTGCTTCTACCGTTGACTAGATGTGTTATCCACCGGAAAGTACAGCTAACGTTCATGTTTATAAAAATTTCTGATGTGGTCTATAGGAGTTTCCAATTTTTTCCCCTCATATAATGAAATGGTCATTTAAAAACTTTTTTGTTCCCTTATGTTCTCATTGTCTTCTTCAGGGGTTGTTTAGTAAAGGCAATGGTTGTATTTAGAACCATGAGTTCTACACTCTTAAAAAGATGTTTTTCAAGGGTGCTTTAGTAAAGGCAGCTGTTTTAATTAGAACCATGAGTCCTATATTAAACCATTTCATGCTTAAATGGTTCTTTGCATGGTGGAATGGTTCTGATTGATGGAGAACATGTTGTGTATGGTTTTATATAGAACCTTTAAGAAATTGAACATGTTTTGCTATTATGATATCAAGCAACTGAAAAATCCTTTAAAGGTTTTATATAGAACTATATACAACACATTCTTCATCAATCTGAAGAACCATTTAAACATGCAAACAACCATTTCAGCATGAAATGGTTCTATATTGAACTCATGGTTCTAAATAGAACCATTGCCTTTACTAAAGAACTATCTTTTTTAAGTGTGTACCTTACATCTGTTTGAGGATCTGAAACCATTTAGTGACAGATTCACAAAAATAGAGGAAAACGGAACAGAGAAGGTTTAGAAAAAATGCACGGTTGGGATAGCTACAGAAAAATTTGTAGCTAGCTACTTTGTAGCTACTTTCCCAAAATTTGTAGCTAGCTACAATTTAGATACTTCTCCAGAAAAAGTAGTGGCTACTTGAAAAGTAGTGCACTACTTTTTAGCTACTTTCAAAGCATGATTGTCAGAATGTGCTTCCACCTGACACACCAAACAAGGCCAACTGATAGTGTGAACAAGACACTGCATTTACTCATGTACCAGAAAGAAACATACAATTGAAAAGCTGCAAATATACAAAAAGGTCACCAAAAAGTAAGTTTAAGTGTCACCAACAATCAAATGTACACAACCAACAAAAATTTAGACTAAGTAAAGGCAAAGTCAGTCATTCTGGGTTTTTCCTAACAAAAATCAACAAAAAATAACCATATACAAACCAAACAAATTCGTACAAAGCATTGTCAACTGTAGAAATAAAACTGCTCCAATTTAAACATTTCAGCAAGATATGTACAGATATGTCCAGTTAACCTTCACTTTAGCCTCAATATTCTCACCAGTGACCCTGGCTCTGCGCAGCACTATAACAGTCTATATAATATAGACTAGATTGTATATATATATATATAATAGTCTATTATGAAAATGTTTTTTTCTGCTTTAGTCTCCCCTGTTGCGGCTCCATGGGAGAATAAGATTTTTAGATAAAATAAAATAGTCCTCCTTTGCTGTAAAATAAAGCTCTGCTGATAGTTCAAACACAATTTTCACAATAATTGGTCTTAAATGCTGGAGTTAATGTGTAACTGCAAATTAACCAACATTTAATGCTGAAGATTGCAAGTATCAGACTGCTGGTCACACAGCGATGCAGACAACCTCGCCTAGCTCATAGATAACAAAATGGCAAAGAGAAAGATTTAAGATGAACATTGATAATTTAGAGACAAAAGGCATTTATAATCACTCCAGCTGGTTTCCTGATACATTTAATCTGCCACGAGAAACTGTCAAGCACTAAGTCGTGAAGTCAGTTTCTCTTTTGCCAGCTTCTCGTTCAAATTTTCCCGTTCCACCTTAAATAGTGCAGCAGTACATTCTGGTGCCTCAGGGACCATTAAAGGTGGAATGGGAAAATTAAATCAAGAATCGGGCAAATGAGAAGCTGACTTCAGCCTCATAAAAAGTCGAACGTTGAGAGACATTTTACATTTTAAAGTTTCCTGACTGATGTGCAAAAAAAGGGGCTATAGCTGACCTAAAGCTTAAATCAGAGCAAAGTAAGTCTGCATTTGCGTTTATATTATATTTCTAGTCTGTACTAGCACATCAGCACACACTGAGACATATTGGTATGACACATTGCCATGATGGTAAAACGGACATAACATAGTGGATCCCAAGCTGCTTTTATTTTTGTTGAAAGGCCAAATGGCTCTTCTTAAGCCATTTTGTCCTTTCAGCAAGTGGGGATCAGCATGTGGGGCCAGCGTGTGACCGTTTGCTGAACTGTCCATGGCACAGTCGCCAGTAGCCCAGTAACGACCGCCTTCTATGGTTCAGATTTTGTGCGGATTTCCTGTAGCCTATAGCGAAATTGTAGTGAAAATTATTGCTATAGCTACACAAAAATTTGTAGGCGCTACAGCCATTAGCTACATTTCATAAACCTAGCAGCTACAGCTATTAACTACAAAAAGTAGCATGCTTAGCTACTCCCCCATCCTTGGATAAATGTAGCATTGTGAAATTGTTTCTATAAGTGATGTCCACATTGGCACTTCAGTATAAACTTAGAGGCATAGAACATCAGTATTTTTGTTAGTATGAATGTTGCAACAAAAATACGATGTTGTATTTGTCCCCCCAGCGTCCGCATCTTTGTCCAGCCCCTATGACGTAAGAATGATTGCGGTGGACCTGAACTACACCCTGCAGTGGGCCTGGAGCGACTCACAACTCAATGACTCTGTCAACTTCACCGCTGCTTATGCCTTGTGAGTTCTTTCAGAGAAGCATCTGCTTAGAAGGCACTAAACTGTCAAGATATACACTAACAGTCTAAAGGTTGAACTCTCTGATTGAATGTATGTTTTTTTTCATAATGTTAAAGACATCTTGATGTAAGTTTGTGTATGCCTATGTTTTGGACAATGACTACTAGAGCTAGGCCTTCTGTTTGGGTCATAAATGAAAAAACCTGGTCAAATAATTAGAAAAAAAACACCTCTACAATTATGCTAATTTATGCTAGCATAATTGTAGTGGCTGAAAAGAAAGCCAATAATAGCCACTTTCAAGAATCTAAAATAGAAGATATTTTTAAAATGGAAACCTTTCGCTGTAAAGTTAGTTACTGAGGTGCATAAAACATTTGAGTTTATTGAACAACAAATAGTGAGTTAACAGACCTTAAGACACAGTTTGTTGCTTGCTATCAGAATTACTTACTATACTCACTAATTCTAATGTACTTTCTTACTATATGTGCTAATTCTAACTGACTATTAAAATTATTTACAATACTCACTAATTAGATCTCACTATTAGAATTACTTACTACAAACCCATTTCCAAAAAATCTGGGACACTGTGCAAATTGTAAACAAAAACAGAATGTAATGATGTGCAAATCATTTAAACAACATATTTAATTGAAAATAGTACAAAGCCAACTTATCAAATGCTGAAACTGAGAAATTTTATTTATTTATTTATTTATTGATTGATTGAATATATGTCCATTTTGAATTTGATGCCAGCGACACATTTCAGAAAAGTTGGGACGGGGGCAACATAAGACTGGTAACATCAAATAATGCTAAAAACTGATAGAACGTCTCATAACTAATTAGGGTAATTGGCAACAGGTCAGTAACATGATTGGGTATAAAAAGAGCATCCTAGAGAGGCTGAGTCTTTCAGAAGTAAAGATGGGGAGGGGTTCATCACTCTGTGAAAGACTGCATGGGCAAATAGAGCAACAATTCAACAATGGTGGGCTGGATAACTTATTATTAACTTATTACTGGCTTATTTATCAATGTTTCTCAAGGTAAAATAGCGAAGAATTTCATCATCTGCAGCACATATTATCATTAAAAGATTTAGAGAATCTGGAGAAATCTCTGTATGGCCGAAAACCAATATTCTATGGCTGTGATCTTCTGCCCTCAGGTGGCACTGCATTAAAAACAGACATGATTCTGTGGTGGAAATCACCGCATGGGCTCAGGAACACTTCTGAAAACCACTGTCTGTGAACACAGTTCATCGCTGCATCCACAAATGCAATTTCAAACTCTTCCATGCAAAGAAAAAAACTATATAAACAGGATCCAGAATTGCTGTCTCCTTCTCTGGTCCCTAAGCTCATTTAAGATGCACTGAGGTGAAGAGGAAAAGTGTCCTGTGGTCCGACACTGTGTCCTCCAGGTTAAAAAGGAAAGGGACCATCTGGCTTGATATCAGTGCGCAGTTCAAAAGCCAGCATCCGTGATGGTATGGGCATGGCATGGGTGACTTGCACGTCTGTGAAGGCACCTTTAACGCTGAACAATATATGCGGGTTTTGGAGCAACATATGCTGCCCTCCAGACAACGTCTTTTTCAGGGAAGACCTTGCATATTTCAGCAAAACAATGTCAAACCACATTCTGCACGCATTACAACAGCATGGCTCTGTAGTAAAAGAGTCCAGGTGCTAAACTAGCCTGCCTGCAGTCCAGACCTGTCACCCACTAAAAACATCTGATGCATTATGAAATTAAAAATACAGCAAAGGAGACCCTAAACTGTCGAGCAGCTGAAATCCTATATGAAGCAGGACGGGAAAAACATTACACTTTTGAAACTACAGCAAGTGGCCAAATCAGTTCCCAAACACTTACAGAGTGTTGTTGAAAGAATAGGTGATGCAACACAGTGGTAAACATGCCCCGTCCCAACTTTTTTTAAATGAGTTGGTGGTATCGAATTTAAAATGGGCACATATTTTTCAAAAATAATCACAATTTTTAGTTTCAACATATGTGGTCTTTGTACTATTTTCAATTAAATATAGGGTTTAAATGATTTGCACATCATTGCATTTCTGTTTTTATTTGTACAGTGTCCTGACTTCTTTTGGAAACAGGATTATATAAAATACACAAATTCTAACTTACTATTTGAATTACTTACTCTACTCACTAAATCTATTTTCCATGAGAATTACTTAATTAGTTCTTACCATATGCACTAATTTTAACGTATTATTAGTATTACTTTCTTACTATATTTATTAACTTTAACTTCTTATTAGAATTACTTGCTATACTCAATAAATCTAACTATTAGAATTAGTTGATTAGTTCTTACAGAATTCACTAATTCTGACATACTATTAGAATTACACACTATATCCACTAATTTTAACTTACTATTAGACTTGCTTGCTATACTCAGTAAGTCTAACTTACTATAAGAATTAATTAATTACTTCTTTCTATGTTTGCTAATTCTTACTATTAGAATTCCTTTCTTAGGATATTCACTAATTGTAATGTACTATTAGAAATATTTACTATACTTTTAGTCTGGTAACTAATGTTTAATTTAAAATCGTTTTTAACAGTGTATGAGTAGATGTGACCAAACTTCTTTCTGCTGCCTTGTATTGCCTGTGTGTCTGTACGAGTGAGTAGCATTGTAGCATACAAAAAACATTCAGAATTCATCTTTACATGACTTCTCTTTATCCCTTAGAATTCAATAAGCAATTGATGTTACCATGCTTTTAAGATTGATATATGTAAATGATGTGTTCTGATTAACTGTGCTTATGGGAACACTCCTTAAAACTGTGTAGTTTTTGAGACATCACAAAAACAGTGAATTCTGAAACCAGCTGCTTTTGCAGTTTAGTTTCCATATTCGGACTGTGTGGAACAGTAAGTTTTGAAACTTTAACAGCGTTAACATACTACATTTAAAAAGTGAGAAATATTTGGTTTTCCGTGAAATGGGCCCTTTAATGTCCACATCATGATCAGTTCAATCACAGTTTCTGTGTTTTGTCTTTCTCAGCTGGAACATTAAAGACGACGAGGGATCGTATAAGCAGGCGTGTGCTGGTTCTGGAGAACACTGGTGTGATTTCACCCACTGCAAGCTACACTTCAAGGGAAGCTTCCAGACAAGGGTGAGGGCCGAAGCTGCAGGCAGGCATTCAAATTGGACTCACCTGAGATTCACGCCGGACGAGCATGGTGAGTGAATGCCAATAGTTCTCTCTTCCCAATTAAGGTCTGCTTCTTAACATTTTGTTACCTGTTGGCAAGCATTTAATAATGCCCAAAGAAATAGATGGGGAACATCTGTAAGCATGTTTAGAAATTAGTTATAAATCTATTTATATGATATTTAAAAAAGATCTTCTGTAAATTATTTAACTCTTTGTTGAGTGATGAATTAAATGTTAATTAATTCATTAAAAGCATACTTAAAATGTCTTTAAAGACGTATTAATCAAACAATATGAACAGATAATAATTATCTGTATTAACAATGACCAGACAGGTCATGTTTCATAAACACACTGATTTTGACACTGTGATTTTACAGTAACTTAAAATACAATTCACAGGAACAATGTTTAGTTAAATTACAGTATTTCATTGTGTTTTGCTGAAGAAAGTCTGGGAGATAATGTCCATCCTTAACAGTTTATGACCTGGTAATATTATTATAAGCTTTTAATTATTTGACCACTGTTTTTAAGTAATACGTAAACATTTTTTGTAAGCTCCTCCTTTAATAATCTCACTAGGTCAGAACCAAGATAAGCCAAATACAACAATAGACAAACATAACAAGACAAATCCAGGCAAACACAGTCCATAGAGAGAAGGCAAAAGGCAAAGTCAAAAAATACAAGGGGTCAATAAACAGGTAATCTAATAAAGAAATAACTTTTGGAATAGAAGCAATACCTCGCAAAGAAACTCTGGAACACCTTATATAATAAACAGGTGCAAAACATCAGTACTCAAGTGAAGCAGATCTGTGGTAGGCTAATGACTGTGTGGTAAGAGCCACATGATCACCAAGGGAGTTCTGGGAAATTGAGTCCATGAAAGAAGCAGGCCTGGAGGGATGGGTGACATCTGTATGCATTACAGGCCTCAGCAATTTATTATTACATGTTCAACCACAGTGCTTTAATAATCGTTGTATGATTAGTTGTCAGTTGTTTATATACAGGATGTGCAAATGTATTTAGAACATGTGAATATGATGTATGTTTGCAACTGAACACAAATATAGCCATAGGTTCACGTCTCGTCCCTCTCACATCACTGTAAACAATTCTGACTCAGTAAATTTCTCTAGAATGGAGCATTTCACACCAAACCACTCTGAATGACTTCTCAACCAAGTAATTATGCAGAATTTTTGAAAAACTAGAGGAATTCCCCTAGTACAGTAAAGTGTTACCACTACACCTAAAAGTGTTTTCTACACCTAATTTGTTCTAAATCTTTCTCCTCTGTGTGAAAATAATTTCCTTAACAGTGAATCTTGTGATTGCATTCTTTCATTCTTTCTGTCAGGTTGATTAGGAGACAGATCACCATCTCATTGCAAAAATAATATTGCTGGTCAGGACTATTGATTTTGTAACAATATTATTGAAATATGGAACCTTCCCCAGCTCTGTCAAGCCTTTTGTCAGACCTGAATTCAGGTGTGTTAGAGCAGCAAAAACACAAAAAAACAGCAGACAAAAAGAAGCAAATAGTGCTGTGGAAAATTATTTGTTCTCTCCTGATTTCCTCTATTTTTTAACCAGAGATCAGTGTTTCAATCACCCTGGTGGAGTTTTAGCCCAGAAAAGCTTTAATTCAGCCACTTTGGAGGGCTTTAAATTGCCCATTTGAGGTCTTGCCACAGCATCTGAATTGGGTTAGAGTCAGGACTTTGACTCGCTCACTCCATAGCCTTCATTTTGTTTCTTCCAAGTCTTTCAAAGGTAGAGATGCTCTTGTGCTTTGGATCACAGGCTGTTTCCTGGATGTTCTCCTGCAGGTTCTTCTAATAGAGAGCAAAATTCAAGTTTCTGTTAATTATGTCAAGTTGCCCTGAAGCAACGGAGCATCCCCTCACCATCACACTACCACCATGTTTCACTGTTTGTATGATGTTCGTATTGTGGAATGCTGCGTTAGCTTTATGCTATATGTGATCAGTCGCTCAATCAACCTTTATTTCGACTTGAAGGTACATTGAGGTTGACCCTGATCAAAGTAGCCAGGGATTGAAAAATGTTAAAATAACTTTTATCAATTAAAACAATCAAAATCAGCAAGTCATGAATATTTATAAAGAAATAAAAGTAACACTATAAATAGGAAATAGCAATTGAAAATATTAAAAAAACAATGAATAAAAATTAAAATAAAATAAAAAAGAACCAAATAATATAATAAGCAATAAGAAAACTTAAAGTCTTAGAAATAAAGTTATTTAATAAAAAAAAGTAAAATAAAATTGAACTACAAAGGAATTAATATCAAATAAAACAGCTGCAGGCTGAGTGCAGGTGGTTAGAGATTAAAAGTTTAAAATGGTCCAGTGACATCAGCAAGCGAAGCTTTTGAGTTTCCTTTAATGCATTCCAGTTTGCTGGTGCTCTACAGCTAAAAGCGAAAGTAATGGGTTAGTAAGGGGCTTCCATCTTCCAAAAAATTGTACTTTCGACCCACTGAACATTATTCCAACAGGCTTGGGGTGTTTCTTTTTTTTTTTTGCTGAACTTATCTGAGGAGAGTGAGGCCTGCAGTTCCTTAGATATTGGCCCTGGTTCTTTCATCCTTCCTTCCTAGATGAATCGTTGCTGCGCTCCTATTGTTAGGCTGGCTTCTTCTGGGAATATTCACTACTGTTTCAAGAATTTGAAATGATTATTCCTTCTTTTTTGCTTGTGGTAAATGGTAGAGCAGTGCACCCAGTGCCCTTAGTGATTGAAATTTCTCTGGATGTACAGTCTATGACTGTAAGTATAGAGAGATCTCTGAGAACTTGGGCTTGAATTGGAGTTTATTCTGGAAGGCAGGACTCCCCCATGATGGACAAAGACATGGTAGTGGCAGTGTTGCTGGTATTTCCACACAGTGTCACTGCTAGGTTGAAAGCTGTCCACCACACAAAAATATCCCATGATGCTCTCTTTTACATTCCCTTAAGTTCTTGGTATCAACCAGGTAAGTGAGAGGTTCAAACTACAAAGCACTAGGTAATTATTTTGGGTAACATGATGGTAAGCTCCAAGGCAGTCTAACTAAAAGAAAGTAAACTCTACAGTGTTGTGCAATTATTGTGGCTAAAAAGTACCGGGTAGTAATGTGATGTAGAAAAATTGTGCATGAACAAATTAGCAAGAGCCTAACTTATTATGTACTGAATTCAGATTTTTAAAAGTCGACAGTTATAAGTCAATCGACGCAACTAATCACTGACAACGTCATAAATAAAATCACAAAAAAGTTTCATGCTGGCGACTTTTGGCTGCCTTTGGAAAAGCTCAGCACTGGTTTCATCTGAAACATGATTACAATGTCCCTCTTTACAAGTGATTACAGTTTTTTCTGGGGTGTTTCTAATTTATTTTCCTTCTTAAACCTGTGACAGTACAGTGAAATTTAGTATATGTTTGTACTTACCATCTTGTTACTCCAAAAAATTAGGTAATTTACTTTGTCTTTTTTCAGCTATAGTAGCTAGAACCTGTTATGCATTTTTTCTTTCCATCATGCTACCCAAAATAGTTATGTAGTATTTCGGGGTCTGTATCTCATAGTTTCCTGGTTAATGCCTAGATCTTAGGGGACTGTAAAAGAAAACATAATTTAATATCCAGCCAAAAGTAGCTCTGTGATCAGAAACTGGCCTATGATTGAGAACGGCTCACGTCTCAAATCATAGGGGTCCAAGCACTATCAGTCTTCATTAAGGTTGTTTTTCATAACTGATTTATTTGACCTTCAGTGTCATACAAAGCTCTGAGGATACAAACTTCATAGTGCTTCAAGTTGTCTTTTGTTTTGGTAAGGACAGCTCAGGCAGGATTTGAACCGAGCACCTTCTTATTGGAAGGGAGATGTTTTTATGGTGAGCCACAGAAGCACTGCACTTCTTGAGACAAAGTTTTTGTAGGGAGCAAGAGGAAAACAAGCACCATTCTGGGAACTAGTTCCCAACTTTCAATTATTGTGATGAATATAATCATAAAATAATTGAAAATAATTCACAATAAACCCTCATTTTGTCATAAATATATAAAACATTTCAAATCTGGTCATACTCAGACAATTACTGATGTATTTCATCATGTTTGTAGCCCGTTAAGTCAGAATAAGCCAGGTCACACTCATTTGTACCTGCAATTCTTGCAACCAAACTATGCAAGAGTAACAGTCATGATGTTTTTGATAATTATTTATTTTCAGACTCCACGGATTGTTTTAAGACTAATTTTGCGGTAATTTGATAAAAATGCTAGGAGTAGTAAGAAAACATCCATTTTACAATTTTATCAATTGTGGAACAACTGCAACTTTTTCTAAAGGATTTGCACAATTGTCAGACTCAGTGGAACGCATGACTTGGACCAATTTGTTTTTCCACAAGATAAATATATTAAGGGGTATGACTGCTTCTGTGTTTTGAAGTACAGTATTTTACAATTACTGTTGAAGTGACTGAATAAGATACTGCAATATTGTGTAATTTAGTGGTCATGGATTAAATCAATTTGCCTGACTTGCTATGACATTTAGAAACATACATACATTTGCAAAGTTTTAAGTCTTCATTAGGTGTGTTGTGTGTTATACATTATTGTTTTTCTTACTTTAATCTTAGAGAGATATAATGATATTTTAGTTTATTGGCACTAGATTGAGGTGGCATGGTGGCGCAGTGGGTAGCGCTGTCGCCTCATAGCAAGAATGGCCTGGGTTCGATACCCGGCTGGGCGACCAGGGTCATTTCTGTGTGGAGTTTGCATGTTCTCCCCGTGTCTGCGTGGGTTTCCTCCCGGTACTCCAGTTTCCTCCCACAGTCCAAAAGACATGCGGTCAGGCCAATTAGACATGCTAAATTGCCCCTAGGTGTGTGTGTGAATGTGTATGTCTGTCTGTCTGCCCTGTGATGGACTGGCAACCTGTCCAGGGTGTATCCTGCCTTCCGCCCAGTGACAGCTGGGATAGGCTCCAGCACCCCACCGTGACCCAGAAGGATAAGCGGTTTAGATGATGGATGGATGGCACTAGATTGAGCATTGCAGGGGCAAGCTAAGGCTTATTCAGGTCAAATTACAAATGCTTCCTCAGATGATTATTATGCACATGATTTATTTCTTCGGGTATTAAGATGCTTAAAAGGCAAGATTTTTAAAAATAGTTATTGACCTTGAGACCAGTAGTTTTAAGACCAAGTTTGAAAGGATGCAATTGAGTTTTTAAAAAGACTTGTATTTGCAAAATGGTCAGGCTCAGTGTAATACAAAACATTCAGAAACTTTCTATGCCACAAGATAAATATAGTAAAGCTTAAAACTGTTTGTATGTTTGATGTTTGCAATTAGCTGAAGCTCCCTCTGGTGGCTGGAAAAAATATAACCATGTCTGGTTCTGTAACCAAGATGGGTTTAAGTCAAACTGCAATCTTTCCTTTGCAATTTTGGAACATACATATATCTGCAAAATTTCAGGACTTAATGAGATGTCACCTTTGAACACATTAGTGTTTCTTTATTTCAATTATAGAAAGAAATATTGACCTTTAATAGGCCAAAATGTAAGATGTTGCTCCATAGCGCCACCATTAGGCCAATATGAATCTATTCACTTGCCTAAATAGTAGGGGGAGGGCAGGCATTGCTACTACACCTACTCTCCAATTTTGGTATTTTGATGACTTATGGGGTCTGTTTCCCAATCAGTTTTAGGAAAGAAAAGGAATAATAAGAAACTTTTCAGCAAAAGCAATAAGGTTTCATGCACCTATGGTGCTTGGACCCCTAATAACAGTTGGGCCACAGTCTGTAATTGTTTATAGTGGATCGATAAGGGAGGTGGTTGGTGACTGTCCTGTTATGTGTGAACTTTTCAGTGCTGCTAGGGCCACCCAGTGAAGTGAACATGCAGGGAGATGTAGAAATGGTAATCCTAAATATCTCCAAGTCGGTCATGAACTCCTTGATGAAGGTGCAATATGAAGTGCAGTACTGGGAACAACAGCAACCTGACCAGGTAACGTGAACTTTCCAATGCACAAATCTGCAAAATGACACCACACACATTGCAAACCTACCTCCATTCTTTTTTAGTTTTTGTTAAGACAAAAATGTGAAAAATGTGATACAGATGCATGTGGGTTATTCCACGCAAACTCACCTATGGCCTGGAAGGTCACGCCATGGATTTCCATGGAAAAATGTCTAAATAAGTCAATCAGCAATTAGAAAGTAGGTTTTTAGTTACACATTTCTAAACTTCACCTCAACCACATCTTAAACATTGAGTTTAATGATGGAAATTAGTTATAATGAACAAAAGTTTTTTACTGGTTGTAAACCAGTGGGCCAGGGGCCGTACAACTAGGCCTATGCACCATACATAAACCAGACAAATTCTTCAAAACCTTTATGAATTCTTCAGTCTGACTTCTCAAATAATGGTGAGAATTACAAAGTTTGCTTAGCAACCTAATTAGCTTACTGAGACTAGCTTTACTGAGGCGAAGTGCATTTCTATTAAACAATCAGCTCCTCATCGATTTGTGTAAACTAGAAAGGTATGTTGATGCATCAATTGATATTTTCAGAATCATTACTTTATAAAGACTTCACTAAGGTTATATAATCTAATTAATTAATGTATTAGTACATAGTACATTAGTACATTAGTAATGTTAATAGTATCATTAGCATTCATGCTAGCCTTCACAGAACAAGTGTTTTTGCTAATATTTTCTTAATTTTTTCATCTACTATGATGGTTCCAGCTGTCTTTCAAGCAGGTGGAAAATGAATGAGGACTAGGAATGTGAGTGCTGTGGTTCCCATTCTCATGCTCACTGAATAAGTAGCCGTGTCACATGGTGACTTTGGATATAAATTATAACTGTAGTAAAACAGATAAGAGGGAAACCCCTAAAGTTAGATAACTGCTGCAAAAAAACAAGGCTGTTATATACCCATGACACATAAGGCTATGAGTTTCCATCTTTGTGTTGTGCCACAACTGCACAACAGTTTTGTGTGACTGCAGAGTACATAGAAGCTGCAGGCTTAACTTTATGAAATTGACCTTTAGATAAGAAAATGACATAAAATTGTGGTTTGTGTATTGAATAGTCCTTTAAAGCTATGCCTATCCCTAGTGTTCAGTTTTTTGACACTCAGCTACATTATTTAAATGTAGCAAATGTTTTTTGTTCAAGAAAACTCAGAAGATCAGAAAATAGCAGTTTTGCTTGAGTGCATGTCACTCGTTGATTTCATTATTGATCTCTTATTTTATCTTTACTTTAACTTTCATCTACAGAAACATCTGAAGATCTACAATGACCCATATGCTCCACTGACCTCACTGAAACCTTGGACAGAGTACTGTCTACAAGTCCGTGTTTTTAACAAGGACTACAGCAAAAATAGCAGTTTCACATCTCCACGGTGTGTTTCTACAACAGGTGGGAGCCTTCTGGCTTTGTTCTGGCTTTATTATTTAAATGTTTACACTGCTTTCTTACTGCCTTTCATCTGTTATCTGATTTTCATTCAGACTGTTAATGTTCACCTCGTTCTGCTAGCGTTTATTTCTCCAAAGAAAGGTTTGATGAAGTTAAAAATGCTGTTTTTTTGTCACTTTTAGGTCGACGTTTAGTCTGGCTGAAAGTGCTCACTGCGCTGTGCTGTATCTTACTGTTAGGAGCTGTAGTATACATGTGCTGCAGACTCAGAAGAAAGATCTCAGTATACCAAACCCCCAACAGCATTCTAGTAAGAATTTGTTGTGTGTGAATGTGTATGCATTGGTATGCAAAGGTTTGGGCACCCCTGGCCAAAGTACATATTTTGTCTTTTTTTGAAGTAAAAAAAAAAGTAAACAAAACCTCATCAGCAAACTGTTTTAAAAAATAAAATTTGCACAGTTGCTTTATATTTTATTAAATTAAAAAATATAAATTGTGGCATATACAAAAGCTTGTAAAGCTAGGAGACTTTCTGTTCTTGTTTCAGGAATTTTCACCCACTCTTCCTTACATAATGCTTCTAGTTCTGTGATATTCGTGGGCCGTCCTGTTTAAGATCACAGATTTTTAGTTTTCTTCGGGTACTTTTTTGCCTCACAAAGTCTTGCATGTATCCCCCATCATGAATGGTTTTTAAGGCAAAAACCTGAATTATGCATACAATTTTTAAAAATCTGTGGAATTACTTTTAAGATGTCACAGCAGAAAATATCATATATCTGTCCTTTGTTATCCTCAGTGTCTTCCATTAGACCACCCACCTCTCCTAGAAGCTCAGGAACTAAGATGTTCCATAGTATTTGTGTCCGCACCCACCCCACGGCTAGAGTCTCCACAGCTCCTCCTGCAGGAGCAGGATGGCACAGGCGAGTTCCAGGCAGTGTCCTGCCAGGGGAGCAATGGTTCTGAGCAGGACTCTGGCATTGGCTCTGGAGAGGAAAGCTGAAGAAGAACTACTGGCCTTCATATGATCTTCTGAAAGGTTGAAACAGGGAAACTTAACATACATTTATATCAAGTAAGGCCAACCTTAACCTTCAGGACAGGTTTAGTCTCTCTGGGATCCTAACATCCAGAACCCCATCTGTGTGTAGTTTTGAGTAGTTTTTGGCAATTCATCAAGAAAGAAAGAGGTGGAAATCTGCTTCTCACTCAGGAACTTAAAAATTCAGTGATGTTTAGATTTTGAATGCAATTGTTTGGAACTACAATGAATTTTGCACTTTCCTTGATTTTATTTGTTATTTAATTGTCTCAAATTGTTTCAAAACCAGCATTAAAAACAGTTACAGTCAGTTCTCTTTTTTTGGTTCTGTTAGTGGAAAAATCAAGAAATAGCTTGTTTCACAGTTTCACAAATTTATCATAAAATCAAATAACAAACAAACAACAATGGAATAAAGGGTCTTTTTTTATTTATTTAAATAAAACAATCTATCGCCTTAACCGGAAAAAGACGTGCAGAGTGCAAGCTCTCAGAAGTCTCGTGGGCATATGGACACAACAGGTTACAACAGAGGCTACAGAATAACACAAATAACACAAATAACACATAAATACATTTTAGACTAACAGAACAACAACATGACACGGGCATGAATGTTGACAAGATAGGCCCAGTCCCGGCAGTTTTGGAGATTACGTTTTTATAGGTGTTTGTACGTCTGATCTAGCTATCGTATCTGCAAAAACTGATGCAATATGGGGAAAAGACTTTACAGGACTCCCGCCGCCATTTAACAGCGAAATCAAAGAGAAACGAAAGTTATCCTGCCCAATAAAGATGAGAAAAATTAATATTGTAATGTTACGTCGTCAGATGTAAACTTACAGCAGCTGTGTTACAGCTCCAGACTTAAGAATTAAAGCTGTGAGCTGTGCTCTGTCCTGTGTTCATATTGTTCTTATAATACTGTGGCAGCTGCCTCTGCCACTTCGAACACGTTGCGGTTTGTTAAGCCTCTTCTAATTTTTTGGTACAGAACATCAGTCTAAATGTTTATGAATCTCAGCAGCGCAAAAGCTACGTTTACACAGCAAGTAAAAGTGGCCCAAATCTGATTTTCTCACCAAATCCGATCTTTTTTTGGATGTTGGCATTATCTTTTAAATGTATGCGACATTAGTCTGAACAGATCAGCTCCTAAACCGACCCGCATGCGCAAAAGAACAGTGCTTCACGTGGCGGCTCGTCCAGAGGTAAACAGTCATGACAACAACGAACGCCAGTCGCTCCCGCAGCTTTCAGTTTCTTCTTCACCAGCATCACATGAGCGAATATAAAGTTCCAGTGGTTGACAGCTGGACACATCACCCAGAATGTATTCGAGTTCGCCGTAAAAAGGGCACGTTATTCGGCTACGGCCACTTCTTTGGTTCGTGTCCTCGGATTCTTTAAACTGTTCTCTCACGCTGCAGCCTCGGTCTCCTCCGATGTTTCATTTGAACACGGAGCGGTTGCGTTAAGTCTCTTCTAATTTTTTCGCGCCGAAACATCAGCCTACATGTTTGAGTCTCAGCAGCGCGAAATTATGACGAATGTCCAGTTGGAATTAAAGTCGCATGAACTGAAATAAAAGTCGCATGAATTCTGATCTGGCTGTTCAGACTGAGTCGCACTGCCGCAGATCGGATACGTACCGGATTTCAGTACCACATATGAAAGCGTCTCAAATCGGTATTGAAAATGTCAGATTGAATGCGTTTTTTGCTGTTCACACTGGCACACATATGACACGTCTGTGTCACATACGGAGAAAAATATCGGATTTGGGCCACTTTTACCTAAACGTAGCCTGCGGTACTGAAATCCGATACGTATTCCAACTGCGGCAATGCCACTCAGTCTGAACAGCCAGATCGGAATTCAAGCGACTTTTACGTCAATCTAACTCGATATTCGTCATCATTTTGCGCTGCTAAAAACTCATAAACATTTAGACTGATGTTTCTGTACTACAAATTAGAAGAGACTTATTGCAACCGCTCCGTGTTCGAAGAAATACTGAACGCGACCGGAGAAGGCTGCAGCGTCAAAGAACAGTTAAAAGTCTGAAAGCAAACTTTAAAGAATCCAAGGACATGAACCAAAGACAGTGGCCGAATAACGTGCCTTTTTACGGCGAGCTCGAACACATTCTGGGTGATGAGCTCAGCTGTCAGCCATTGGAACTTAACGATCGCTCCTGTGATCCTGGCGAAGATGAAACCCAAAGCTCCTGGAGCGACTGACATTCGTTCGTAGTCATGATTGTTTACATCTGGATGAGCGCGCCACATGAAGCAACGCGAAGCATTGTTCGTTTGCGCAAGCGGGTCAGTTTGGGAGCGTGATCTGTTCAGACTTATGTCAAATATAGATCACATTTAAAAGATAACGTGAACAGCCAAACAAAAAATTTCGGATTTGGTGAGAAAATCAGATTTGGGCCACTTTTACCTGCTGTGTGAACGTAGCCTTAGAGACGCGTTATGCAGAGCTGCACTTGGGCTCCGCCCCGTAAAAAGGGACGTTGTTGTGGTTTAATGTAATTAATGTTGTTGTTCTGTTCGTTTAAATGTATGTGTGGGTTATTTGTGTTATTCTGTATCCTCTCCTGTGTCTCCTTCTTCACCGAGACACTCATCATTACGACTTAAAGCCATTCAGTCTTCCGAGCGCTGCACAGGGGGAACATCTTTAACCAGAGCACTAAGAAAATTGGTTTCCCCTTGGAGAGATACAGCTGGAGTATATTTAAAGTACAGCAATGATGCTGATAATCTATATCTGTGCATGATCAATTAACTCGATAACTTTGTCACATTATACCACATTTACACAATAACAGGATTATTATAGTACTTGTATACCCTGTTTTAGTATAAGGAAAGGAAAATAATTATTATAGTACTTTTATAGCCTGTTTTAGTGTAGGGAAAGGAAACCATTTACCAGGAACACTGAGCAAATTCATTCCCACTTGGTTACTTACATTAAACATGGTAACAGATAACATAGTAGAAATTAAGCAACAAGAAACATTACAGTGTAGTACACCTGCATGTAGCAATCATTCAATTTGAGAAAAATGGTAAAACAGATAATCTCAGTTTTTTTCATTTAATCCGCCACGGTTTAAAATCTTGGACACACTACAGTTACTGTGTAAACTAAAAAAAAGCAAAAAAAAAAGGTTTTGAAATTATTATAGTATGTTAAACTGATCCTAATTTTCAGTTTTCACTGGAAATTACTTTATTTAGGGGAACCGGGTAAATCTGTTCTACCATTTACTCTCTGTATATAAAATTTAAAAACAGAGAAATATGATAATAGTGCATTAAATCTATAACAGCTGTAATCGACTAGTACACAGAGAATACCTTTCTCTCTGTATTCTCAGTATGAAAGTGATATAGGTTAACTGTTACAACCCGTTCTAAGTGCCAGACCAGAAACCAGACAACATGGAAGTCAGAAAATGGCTGGTTTATTTACTTTAATTTATCAAACATAAGTCGGGTTGGTGGCTTCAGGGACAAGCTTATACAAAACAAACAAAACTACTAATGATTACAAATCTAAACCTGAAAAAACTAAACCTGAAAAACGAAAGAAACAAAGGTATGTATGGCTACTCTAACTCCCTACCTTAAACAGGAGAAAAAATAACCAAAACAAAGTGGCACCCATCCCCTACTTTTCCAATGTTCACAGAAAGTTTCATAGAGTCTAAAAAACTTCCATTGACTTTACAAATGAAGCAAAGCAAAGTGTGTTGTGAAGAGTGCCAGGCTGGTCTGAACAGGTGTTCTTCCAGGTCATGTCAAAGGGGAAAGAGCCCTGAACATCTCCCAAGACGGTGGCTTGGCGACCTCTTATACATTAGTGTGCACCCATGTGGCCAGTCTTGTACCTGCATGTAAGGGGACACAACAGGGAAAACACACAGAATGCCAGCAAAAGGCACACAAAAGATGTACTATGACCAGGGGTCGTAACATTAACTAAAACTAAAACTGTGTAACATGATAATACAGATACAGATTATCTGCATCATTATTGTACTTTAAACACACTCCAGCTGTAATATACAAGGGAAAACCAGCTTCTCAGGGCTCTGGTTAAAGATGTCCCCCCTCTCATTGTAAACGTGGTATAATATGACTAAAAGTTATTGAGTGAAATGATCATGCACAGATATAGATTTTCAGCATCATTATTGTACTTTAAATACACTCCAGTTGTATCTTTCCAAGGGCAAACTACTTTCCAAGGCTGCCAGTAAAACATCTTTCCTGTTGTGTTATTATTAAAGGATAAGGATAAACCTTGCTGTGTTCAAAGGTAAAACAAATGCTCACGATCACTATTGTTCCCTCTGTGTTCTAGTGTAAAACAACTGTATTGATAAAAACTACAAAGAAAAGACACATTACTACCATAACAGTAAGACTTCAGCTTCAATAGGGAAACCAATTTCTTAGGTACCCTTAGATAAGCAGTCTAAAAATAATAACACAGACTAATTACTGTGCTGTATAATGCTGTTTATTTATTTCAACAACAAAACTTTCAAATGTTTCAAGTCTATTTACACAACTTAGCGAGACTGATGAGGCTATGGGACATACACAACATACCTTAAAAAAATCACTGAAGTCTGAACAATAGCATGTGTCTATATGTACAGTAATTAAATTAAAAGTGGTGCATTAAATCTGTGTTACTCAGAGTAACGTTAAGTGAAAACGGAACAAAAGCTAGCATTAGCAAGTTTACCCGCCTTGTGTTTGAGCAGTAAAACCTCTGCCAACAACACATTTTGTACTTTAAAACGTTTTAAACTACAAACCATTTTACAAACAACATGAAAAGTCGCTTACTACGAGGAATAGAACGAAATAACGATACAAACACAAACGAGTTAAGCCTATTTAAGCCCTGCAGTGCAGCGTCAGGTGAAGAAGTCATGATTTCTAAATGTGCAATGAGGGGAAAAAAGGGGGAACTGAATTTACCATAGCAGGCCAGTGTGTTACAAATGCAGGCTATAGCTAGCTAACATTAGTTCGTGTTCTTCTTCGTTTTCAGAGTTTCATTTGAGTACTCGACCACAAAATTACTTGAAATGCCCATCCCTTAAAATATTACTTGGCACTCACTTTCTGTAAACTTACTGTGATGGTGAACGTGAACTTAATTTTAGGTGCTCTGCAGGTGAAGAAACAGCACCAGAATTTAGATGGATGATTTCGTTCAAGCAGATAAACCAGTTTCACCTTCATAAAGCTGGTGAGCAGGGCATCATCAGGGGGCAGTAACGTCAGTTGACTGATTTGCATACTGTGATGTGTCATCTGTAATGTATTCCGGGTTTCTCAAACACGAGAGGGCACTCCCATAGATATACATACCTATTGATATGCATACCTAGATGCTGCGTGGCCTGTTGTTCTCAATTGGAGGCTATGCGTCTGCGCGTCCACCATGTTGGGGCGGTCAAGATCCGCTTGTGAACTAACTTACTTGTATTGAGAGATGAGTCTCAGGATTAAATCGGCCACAATTTCCTTATTACTCAACCCATTTTCACCTAATTTGATTTGTTATAATCCTCAGACATAGATTAATCTAGGTTGCACTGCTTTCAGTAGCTTAACGCCTAACGTTAAAAAAACGTGTTTAGCGCGAGCTCCAGTAGAAACATCAGCAAATCCATTAGTTTGTGAATCACTTCTAATCTTAATACACATAAAAATAAAATGAACCCCCAAAACACAGTAAGAAGGACAAAGCTGAAGCTGACTTCCTGTCAGCTAGCTTCTTCTTCGAGGTTCCTGTTCCACCTTAACTGGTGCAGCAGTCACTTTCTGGTGCCTGAAGCTGCACCAATTAAATTGGAATGGGAAAATGCAAACAAGATGCTGGCTTATGCACCATTTGAGGGTGGAACGAGAAAATTTAAACATGATGCTGGTGATGCATCAGTTAAGGTTGAAATTAGAACAAGAGGCTTGCAAATACGAAGCTAACTTCAGCTTTGTGTAAGAAGGCGCTAAAGTTAATCTATTATGAATATCTACACTGTTTTAAGGAATGCTATAATTTACCTAGCTACAAAGCAATAACTATCATTGTGAATAAATAACTAATACATCAAGTTAAGATCCCCTGAATAGACTATTAAATGAAATAAGCTTAATATGAAACCAGAGGAAAAACAATCACATCAACAGGTTCTCTGTGCATCACCAACCACACGGCCATATCTACACGTAAACATCACACAAACAATGTGCATCACACAGACATGAGCGTGGATCGCTTCGTTTCCTCTATTATATAATCTTATCCCACTTTCTGAGTGCAATATTGTTGAAATAGCATAAATTTGGACAGTATCTTACTTGAACTACTGCTCTGTAATGGTACTGAATGCAGTCCAGCAACGATGTTGACCGCCCTAAAATGGCGGCGCTGTTGACGTGCCTGGCTGGACCCAATGCGGCATCTAGGTATGTACATAGATATACGCTCATGTCTGTGTGTCACCAGCCAGCATCTTGTTTGCATTTTCCCGTTTTACTTTAAACGGTGCATCAACCAGCTTCTTGTTCGAATTTTCCGGTTCCACCTTAAATGGTGCAGCTTCAGGCACCAGAAAGTGACTGCTGCACCAATTAAGGTGGAACGGGAAAACTCGAAGAAGAAGTTGGCTGATAGGAAGTCAACTTCAGCTTCGTCCTTCTTACTGTGTTTTGGGGGTTTATTTTATTTTTATGTGTATTAAGATTATAAGTGATTCACATATTTATGGATTTGCTGATGTTTCTACCGGAGCTCGCGCTAAACACGATTTTTAACGTAAGGTGCAGACTGAATACTTTCTGCTGGCCAGGACGGCTAATTAGCACAATGAGTTATTAAAGAAATAAAAGCTACCGAGAGCAGTGCAACCTAGATTAATCTATGTCTGAGGATTATAACAAAACAAATTTGGTGAAAATGGGTTGAGTAATAAGGAAACTGTGGAAATTTAATCCTGAGACTCATCATCTCTCAATACAAGTGAATTAGTTCACAAGCGGATCTTGACCGCTCCAACATAGCGGACGCGCAGACGCGTAGCCTCCAATTGAGAACAACAGGCCACGCGGCATCTAGGTATGTATATCTATGGGCACTCCCCTCTAGAGTTGAACCAGAGGGGCGCGGCAGAGGCGGAACTGACCACAATACAAATGTTATTTTTACAGTTTGGAAAGATGAAAGATTTTAAGCAAGATTGGCCTATTTTATTATTACAGAGCAATGCATTTCAGCTTTTAATAAAAAAGGGTCTTAGGATGTAGTTACTTTTTAAATAAACAATATACACTGATAAATCCCTCTAATAACCTTCCATCACTATGCCAAAATTTGCTAACTTCATGCCACCATCGGTCTCATTCTGCTCTGATGTGCGCTATGCTGTTTAACGCCAACATGTAAATGTAGCTGTCTTTATTCACCAGAGGCCACAAAACAAAAAATATTGTTAATAAATTTGCTTGTTTGTTTGTTGTTTTACAAGAGCAGGCATGCAACCTTAATCATCACATGTGCCACCAGCAAAACAGCAAAATAAAATCACATCTTAATAAAAATAAAATGTTTTGGTAGTACAACACTGTTTATGTGTTCATTTTTATGCCTCACAAATATAAAAAATTATTATATTTTTAAATATTATGTATGTTAAATTATAGTAGCAATCACTTGTTTTTTCTTCTGATAAAAAATAAGTATGATCCTCCATTTGTTAAAATTTGTAAAACTTCTCAGCAAACCAAAATGGTTAGCCAGCAACCAGTAGCTAGCTGTGTCCCAATTCAGAGGCTGCGTCTTTCAGAGGCTTGCGACACAGCGCTACGAAACTAGGCTGTCCCATTTCGAAGGCTCCTTCATATACGGCCGAGAAATGTGACCTTTTCCATGGTAAGGAGGGATCCAACAGGTGAATCCTTCGCTAGCCAACATATCCCCAGGTTGTGTGTCGGCGTGGATTCGAGAACATGGCAGCATCAGCAGAGGAGCGAATGGCGACTGAGAAGTACACTTTTTAATGTAAACTGAGTTGAATAGCTATCGATACAAATGTTTTAAAAAAACAACGTGGTCTAGAGCAAAACTTACACTAATGTTTCGTTTTGTTTTAGATGAAATGAAAAAAATAAAAACAAAATAAAATCAGTATTTCGTTCCATCTTTAAAGAACTTTAAAAGAACTTGACATCCGACGTAGAGCAGAACTTCTCAGTTCAGCCTTCGTGGGTCTACACAGCCTTCGAAGGACACTCCATTGCGCATTCGTGGACCGTGTCCTTTGAAGGATGCAGCCCCTGAATTGGGACACAGCTACAGATTCTTCTTCTATTCGTGTCTTCCAACCAGTGCTATAGCGCCGCCAAATTCAAGCTGCTGCTTTAACCTAAAAACACGAAAGGCGCTCTTTAGAGCCAGTGTTTGCTTTGTCCATTCTGGACTACTAGCGGCCTCTGTTTAAGAGTAGGCCACAAATTGATATATTGAGGCCAAGAATGAATACATTAAGGCCACAACCTAATATACAGAGGCCATTAATTAATATATTGGGGCCACGAAGTAAAATACTGAGGTCATAAATTAATATACTGTAGCCACAAACTAATATATAAAGGAAATGAATTAATATGTTAAGGCCACAATTAATATATTGAGGCCACAAATTAATGTATTGAGGCCACGTTGCCACGAAAAACTTAACCTGGGCCTTATTAATTCGTGAGCAGGCCTTATGAAAAAAATAATCCCCATGTCACCTTAGGGGCTTCGTAGTTGGCCTACAAATAAATCAGCCTGTATCTACTACTTATGGTCCAAAAAAAACGAGGCATGGAGGATTACACGAGACTTCCGAGAAGTCTGGGGTTTCCAACTCATACTGCACCATCACGGTTAACACTTCTGTCCACAGAAACCGCAGAGTGTGAACTGTAGTTTACTCACACACACTGAGATTGGAAGGCTAGTTCAACTCTACCCATTGTAAACACAAAAACACCGAAAACACGTCCCCCTCACACATTAAGTCAACAACAGCCAAAGCCCGATGGTTCTTATAAAGATAGTTATTCTTTATCACGACCAGGAAAGGCTTTAAAAACGGGGGGGGTTGTAAAGGAGACTTGCTGTATTTTCACTTTTTGTTTAAAGCGGAACCAGCTAGCCAGATGAGTGAGTGAGTGAGGGGGCGGTCAGTCAGTCAGGGACACACAGAAGAAGAAGAAGAAGAAGAAGAAGAAGAAGGAGGAGGAAGAGGAGATCTCCATCGAGCCAAACAATGGATTTTATGTGATCAATTCTCTCTTCGTTATGGATTTTGGATATTGGAAAACCCCGTTAATCTCATTTTTGTTCGTACTGATTTTCCGCAGCGGTAAGTTTGCCACTGATTAGCACAAATTCACGAGGCAGAATTTAGCTTTTTATTCGAACTTTCCGTTCCACCTTAAATGGTGCAGCAGTTACATTCTGGCGCCTCATTTAAGGTGGAACCGGAAAGTTCGAATAAGAAGCTAACTTAAGCCTCGTTTAAAAACTATAAAAAGTGTAGGTTAAGACGACAAATACCGTAGGGACGTAACCGTAAGTGTAAAATAGTGTGTGTTTGAGTAAGTGCTTTTTTAAATCGCCGAGAAAGCTTGTAATTTCAGGCCAGCTAACATTAAACGTTTATCGCTTTCGAGCTAACGTTAACGGTTAGCTGTTTGCTAATTTTGCTTTAACTCGGAATTGAGCAAGTTAGGATCGAATTGAGGCCTAAAAGAACACATTTAAACAGACAAAGTTGCGTTTCCTTTAGACTTATAAACGGTGCAGTCGCTGATATAACTCGCCTAGTTAGACGTCTCAAAACGTTTTATTAGTACACACTGTTAAAAAAGATGGTTCTTGAATGATTCTTTCGTAAATTTAGAACCATGTGTTATATATACAATCATTTCATTTCTAAATTGTTCTTTTGCATGATGAAATTGTTTAGATTAATAAAGAGTGTGTAGTGTATGGTTCTACATAAAATATTTGTGGTTCTGTATAGCACCAAAAAGTTTGTGAAGCCTGCAACAATACGATGTCAAGCTTGTAACAATAGGAGAACCCTTTTTTTTTTTTTGTTTTTTATAGCTTACAGAACTATTTTCAAAAAGGTTCTCTGGCACTTTGAAGAAAGGAGTTAAACGTATACCCCATTACCATTTTAAAAGCAGTAAAGTGACTGTTGTTTTTTGTGAAACAAAGTTGTGAAAGTGATGGGGTCTGTACTTTACCTTAAAATATGAAGATTAAAATTAGCTAGCAATTACAAAAACACGTAAAATGTCTGTATCCACATTTAACCTGGTGATTTTGGGCAGTCCACTGTGTCCACTCACTGTCCACCCTATTAGACACTCCTACCTTGTCAGTCCACCTTGTAGATGTAAAGTCACAGGCTGCATAGTTTCTGTTGGCCTCCTCTAGTCCTTCATCAGTGGTCACAGGATGCTGACCACAGGACGCTGTTGGCTGGATGTTTTTGGTTGGTGGACTATTCTCAGTCCAGCAGCGACACTGAGGTGTTTAAAAATTCCAGCAGCACTGCTGTGTCTGATCCACTCATACCAGCACAACACACAGTAACACACCACCACCACGTCAGTGTTACTGCAGTGCTGGGTCCACCACCCAAATAGTACCTGCTCTGTGAGGGTCCATGGGGGTCCTGACCACTGAAGAACAGGGTAAAAGGAGGTTAACAAAGTATGCAGAGAAACAGATGGACTACAGAAAGTGCACTAATATAGTAAGTGGAGCTGTTAAAATGGACAATGAGCGTAAAAACAAGGAGGTGGTCATAATGTTATGCCGGATAGGTGTATATTTATATATGTTTAATTTATAGAAACCATAGGTTATTAGCGGTTAGTATGCATCATATGCACCCTTTCAAGCTAAACATTCTTGAATGGTGCTTGATTTAGGCTAAATTCACAACGCTGTTAACCATTCTTTTAACCTTTAGTTTTTCTAAATAAAAATGAAATGAAAATGGCTTGAAGAAAGGATTTTAATGAAAAAAATTTCCATCCATCCATCATCTAAACCGCTTATCCTTCTGGGTCGCGGTGGGGTGCTGGAGCCTATCCCAGCTGTCATTGGGCGGAAGGCAGGATACACCCTGGACAGGTCGCCAGTCCGACGCAGGGCTGAAAAAAAATTGATTTTTTTTTTTTGTTTTTTCCTTCCGCTCTATGTTGTATGTTGTATACTTTATTTGCTTTTTTTATTTTACTGCATTGATGCATAAGAAAAAATGATTTTTGGGGAGTTTCAAGACCTAAAATGAACTCTTCACAGAATGAGTCCTATATAGAACCATGTACAACACATTCTCCATTAATCTGAAGAACCATTTAATCATGCAGAGAACCATGTAAGCATGCAAATTGTTGTATATAGAACTTTTTGGAAAACAGTTCTGTGTAGCATCAAAAGGGTTGTTTTATTGTTTCAATGTCAAGCTTGTACCAATAGCAGAACTGTTTTTGGTGCTATATAGAACTATATACAATAAATTCTCCATTGATCTGAAGAACCATTTGACCATGCACAGAACCATTTAAGCATGAAATGATTCTACACTCTTTAAAACCTTTTTAAAAAGGGTTCTATATAGCGCCAAAAAGCTTGACATTGTAACAACAGAAGAACCATTTTTGGTGCTATGTATTCAATTTGCAACACATTCTTCGTCAGTCTGAAGAACCATTTCATGATGGAAAGAACCCTTTAAGCATGCAAATTGTGCTTTGAGTGTTCAAGGTTCTATATAGAACTGTTGTCTTTAGTAAAGAACGATTGAAGAACCATCTTTTCTACAAGTGTATATAGAACTCATGGTTCTAAATAAAGCCATTGCATTTACTAAAGAACCCTAGAAGAACTGACTTTTTTAAATGTGTAGTGCATATAGAAGTGTTGATAGACTTTCCTGCAAATAATGTGATTGCTGACTTCTTTAGTCATTTGGCTGAATTTACTTTAATTCCTAAACTTTGATCTTTGAAGAAGAATGACCCTCAAGTGCAACTACTGCAGTGCAGGTTTAAGGTCTTTATTTTAACCTCAGTAAAATCAATAAAAGGCTGGGTAATAAGCTGGGCTGAACATTTTAGCTAAAAATAACATTTAATAGTATTAAAGAGTCTCTCTCCAAGTTGAGATGATCATAATAGGCGAAAGCTTATTGGAAACTGGGTCCTGATGAGTTGAGGAGGGAAAACACTAAAATGTGTAGTGTATGGTTTCTCCAGGCACTCCAGAACCAGGGTTAAGAAACAGGAGCTAAAATTAGGGGTGGGCAATATGGAAAAAATATGGTAATAATGACAATAAAAAAATCTGCAACTACAGTGACTTTCACACACTGTTTTTACACACTGCACTAAATCCAATTAAGTGAGCCTAAGTAATTATGCTCACATTGTAATAAAACAATGTAGTTAGTCTGACAGTAAACAAAATGTAGTTAGTCTGACAGTATCCACTGTATGCTCAGAAAAGCATACTATGATGTAATTTATCATGATAACGATGCAATATTGTCATATTGCAGACCCCTAGCTAAAAGAAACCAAAATTTAAACTTCTAATTTACCCTAAATTTTCTCAGTTGGTTAAAGCCAAAGTTTGCTTCTTAGTTTTGCAGTGCAGCTGCGCAAGGTTAATTTAGCTTAGAAGTAAAGCCATTTTTCGGTGACTCGTATGTCCAGTGGAAAACTAAAGAAACAATTTTAAGGCAAGTGTTTCTCAACCCTGATCCTGGAGTCCCACTGTCCTGCTCATTTTAGTGCTTTTCCTGCCACTTTATTGCAATAATAGGCTGATTAGTTGAATCAAGGGTGTTGGGAGCGGGGAAAATAGTGAAGTGCAGGGCAGTGGGTCGCCCGAACAAGGGTTAAGAAATATTGCTTTAGGCAACTTCTATTGGCTGATCTGCTCTGCAGTCCAGACAGGAAAAACAGGCCTTTTAGACAAAGTTTTTTTTTGCTGGTAATAATGAGGTTATTGCTGGCTGAAGATTGACATTTGCTTAGACGTCTCAGTGGCCCTGTTTACAGTTGACTTTAAAATGGAACACGTATCTGGATGCTGAATGCTGCCCATATATGCATTTAAAAGACGACTGTGACGACATTTATGATCAGAATGTGTTTGAACTAGGATTGCACTGATACCTGAACATAATGGCAGCATTGGTAGTATGACAATATTTATCGTAATCGTAAAAACTCCTTCAACACTGTGACACAGTATGCTTTTCTGAGCATATCATGGATATTGTCAATATTTAAGACCCTTCCCTTCTCAATGTTTGATTACAAAGAGAGCATTATTAGTCATGTTTAACTGGATTTAGTGCAGCACAATGTGTGAAATGTTGGACACAAATCATTCTATACATAGTCTTTTAAATGCGGCACTAATTTGTCTTTTCCAATTCATCAGATATCAGAAAAAATATATGTATTGTGACATTGTGACATACCATGAAAACGGATTGTGAATATTGTGATCGTACATAGCGGTATCGGCGATGGCATACCACAAAGCAATTTGTGATATGCACACGTTCCAGTGGACAGAACTTTGTTTTGTGACATAATTTATCACGATGACTGTATATATTGTCAATTGCCCAGCCATAGGTGATGCAGTAGCTGGATTGTTTTTGGCTCTGTAGCTACTTCCACAAAAGATCACCTTTCTAATTAGAAAGCATAACAGTTGATACTTGCAAGCCAAAACTCCCCTCACTGAAGGTAAACGCCAGGAAATGTAAGCAGATGTTTATTATTGAATAGCTGTCATAGTGTCAGCTGGGGCTAACTGTTTTGGGGACGATTTTTCTGTCTAGTATTGCGATTGCAATTTAAATATGATTATTATTATTTTTTTAATCGTGCTCCCAGGCTCCCGCCCCAGCACATCTTTTCTTGGGCTTGAACGCTGAATTGTAGTGTGACTGCCAGTTCACAAGCTCTGCTTTATTAGGTTTAATTTCCCCATTAAAACTTAAGACAGTGTTGAATAATGTAGGATAAAATTAAAATTGCAGCTCTTGCGACTTGAAAAAAAAAGCCATTCTTTCAAATTGCAATTTTGATAAAAAAAACAAAAGGATAAATCATTCTTTTTTAGATTTTTAGAATGATATGAAATAGAACTCCAAATGAAAGTGTCAGCTTTGGCTGAACAAGTTTGAAAATATCACTTGTTTTTTTAAACTCTGTTCTCTTTATTTCAGCATGGTCGACTAATCTGTCAGCACCAATACTTAAAGAAGTCAGGTCATCGGTGTTGTCATGGGAACCTTCAAAAGTCAACAACGTGACGTATACTGTTCAGTACAGAGAGTAAGTCTTTTGGCTGCATTGTTTGTGTCATCATCACTGGGTTATCTGTTTAAGTTAGGTCTGTATGATAAATCATTTTGTCATTATGGCCATGTGAGTTTCTGCATCATCAGAGCTGCGATGACAGAACAGATCAACTTACCTCACACACGCCGCACCAGAGAGACATTGTTACATTACAGCACAAACCATTAGAAACCTAATGAGGGCTTCTTTGTGCTGGAAAGGAACGCTGCTCTCCCTCTTGGGGGACGAGTAATACTTAACGATTCAGCTAAACAGGCAGTAACAAAACACGTGTGAAGCTCAAACACTCCTCCATTTTGAACTACACTCTCGTAAAAACTCAAGTGTTAGGATTGTTCTCACACCTAGTATTGTGTTTTAAGTGTGCATGGCAGTAATGGTAACTTTCACAGCAAACATATTTAATGCATAAAACACAAATAAAATGACCTCTCACAAACGTAATCTTGCCCATGTCGGTTATTTAGTTTTTTTTTAATCCTTTCCCTACTCTGTGTGATTATGTACTGTCCCCTTAAAAACTCACCACTGCGTATATAGTCACGTAACTCTGCCACATCCACTCTGCCACGTCCACTCTGCGACATGGAAGATAAGACTATGTTCACACAGCAGGTAAAAGTGGCCCAAATCTGATTTTCTCACCAAAACAGATTGTTTGGCTGTTCACAATATATTTTAAATGTGACCTATATGTGACCTATATCTTTTAAATGTGACCTATATGCAAAAAACCCCAAAAATACAAAATAATCGCTCATTAATCGTAATCAAAGTAAAACATTCAATTAATGATATTTTGATATTGATTTGAGGCCATATCGCCCAGAACTATTTGTGAGATTTGACTGCTCCGATTTATTATCAGCTGTCTGTAATGGACACAAAACAAGAAGTAAAGTAGAGCAGCAAGAAGTAAAGTGTTAAAAAGAACATTTTTATGTGAGTAATAATAACACTCACATAATTTTTATTGAGTAATAATAACTCTTAGGTGTTTGACTGGACCCCCCGAATGTTTAAGAAAGCAAGACAGAAACAAGTACGCAAGGCTGAAGTACGCTGGCAAATAAAATAAATGTGCACTGACACTGCTGGTGGAGGCAAACAACAGTATGAGTAAGTATGAATATAGGTTAAAGACAAAAAAAAATGTTTTGAAAGAAGGCAGAATTAGGATTTTTATCTTGTGCTTGTGTAAATATATAAAAAAACTAAATCAATCTTCATGTTTCATGCTAGAGCCATTTGTAGGGATGTGGAAGTTTAAACATGTGCCATCGTGGGGTTGGGGGTGAATGGGGCTTTTCCAGGTTGTTGCATGATCACATATAAAAACATTCTGATGTAATACTAGTTCAGTGCATCATCAGGTAATTAGTTACTAGTTGTAACAAGCCCTCATCCACTTTGCTTCATCATTTCCTCTCAGGGAAATGCCCAATGCTATCTTAAAGGCTGTTCTGTTACTTTATTAGCTGAAGTGAAGGGTGTTAGATGAGCCCACAGAGGGATGAGGGATCAAGTGAACACCAGTGTTGATTTTAGGGGCAGAACTTACTCAGAAATCATTGCGACCTGGTGCATTTCAAACCGCAAAATAATGACAAACAGAGCAGTTCATAAGCTACAGCAATAAACTATTTTCAAATGCCTAACATTTCAAAACCATAACATTCGATTTGCTGGGCTTTGAATCACAAACTACTCCATCTGTTGTACACGACTGCTGATATAGTTTCATTACTTTTCTCTGCTTGCTGGCTCGTTAGCATGCTAAAGACTACATGGCTGACAAGAACTAAACGAAAGGCTTAACAGAGCTCTATTCCTCTTTACTAGCCAACTTTATATACACTACGTAAAAACTGTTTGCATTGCAAAGTTTGCATGGCTAGCCAATTAGCTCACTGAGTCTAACCTGCAGAGGATGAGTGTGTTCTATTTGAATAATCTGCTTTCACTGTGCCCTACCCCACTTCTGCGTTGAGTGGACACTTGTGTAGCACAAAAGTAGCACATCCGAGTGGTGAGTGGAAGTGGACGAAAGTAAGTAAAAGAAAAATTGAAACAGGACTTAGGTGTGCAGAATAAGCCCTCTGCAGTGTATTAGCCTTTTTGTGTTTGGTGCCATTGTGTTCTTTTATTTACATGGTTATCAGTGTTATGATTGAGTGGAGTCAAAGAGATTTAACAAAACTCTTTGTATGTCACAAGTGCAGCCTTTTGTCAACAACAGAATATCCAGAATAGATATTTTGTGCATTTACAAAGATGACTGATTTGTAGTCTAGAATGTAGTAAAACTGTCTGTTGCCATCACTGGAAATATAGTTGTTCTAGGCTCACATAGTCACATACCTTTTAAACTGTAGGGATCCTGGGCAAGAGTGGCACTACTTGTGTGGCTGTAATCAGCCACAGTTCAGCTTCGCAGATGGAGATTTCTACGGGAAGATATTTCGCGTTCGAGCAGAGAGAGGCAACCAGACAACAGTTTGGCAGGAGTCAGATAAGATCCAGTGCCAACACAGTAAGCCTCCTTTTTCATCATGGGTTTTATTTCTTTGAAATCATGTGTATATATACACATTCATCTCTATTCATGCTGACTAACAATTTGCGCTGTTTAACAGCTGATGCCTGTGCTCCCCTACTCAACCTGACAGTAAAAAACTACACGGTGCTTCTGTGGATGGACGATAAAGACAAGACCTTAAAGAAAGAGTTTGGGGGCCACATCACCTTCAGAGTTTCATACTGGAAAGAAACCAGCGCCTCTGATAAACAGGTCTGATGGATGCCTCATACATTGACCTCCATAAGTAACCGGGCAGTGGAGTTAAAATTGTTGTTTTTGCTATGAGGAAAGTTGAATTAAAATGAGAAAAGAAGATAGTAAAAGAAAACAAAGCAATTAAAATTCTGAGAGAATTTGTGAGAGACAAAAGTATAATTTTGAAATGTGAATATAAAAAAAATAAACTAATAAATAGCACTTTCATGATTGAAAATGTCCAAAAACATTTCTGTAAGTGCTTGACATAAATGTGACATTTAATAGTTTTGCCATTGTTTTTCAGTCTTTAGCCAAAACAGCTAGACTAAACATCACTGTCCAACTACTTTTGAAGGGTTCTGTACCAATTTGTTCCTCATGAAACATGTCAGAAATAAACTAATTTTTTTTTTTTATAGAAACATATCCAGAAGCGTGATGCAAGTGGCAAGACCCTGCGCATAGAGGGCCTTGAGGCAGGACAGAAATACTGCTTTAATGTTGTCTATGTGGCTTATAATAAGCCTTATGGAAGTCCCAGCCGTGTGCTATGCGAAGTCATCCCTGAAACATGTAAGTTTTGGGTTTTGTAATATTTTTTTTGCTTTTATTGCACTATGATTACTATTAAACTCTGATGGTTTTTGCCCAAGTTCATAATTATGTTAAAGCAAAACCTCTGTATTGTACAGGGGTGCTTATTTTTTTATATTTTATAAAAAAATGTAGGAAAAATTATTATTATAATAATATATATTATTATAATTATAATTATATATAATAATAATAATAATAATAATATTCACCAACGCAGGGTTTTTGAAAGAATTCTGATATAAAATTCATGGTGTTTTTTTCATCAGTGTTGAATAGTTGATTCAGTTCCTTGAAGATTGCTTTCAAAATGATTAACATTTTCATCAAGTTACATTTGAAGTTCATACGATCCAGTGGTGGAGAGGTGTTCCGGCTCATTTTAATCCCTGGTGTTAAACCTCATTAGCGGAATGTAAATGTCAAGTGATAATACAACATGTAAAAAAGGTTGGATAGCACAATGAATAACAATATTGCCCTACACACAGGCAATAAGGTGTCAATTCATCGTTCAGGCAGGAATGCTACTGCTAGAGACAAGACTTCTAATATTGCATACCACCTTTTCTAAGTTCCTCTGAATGAGTGTCTGCTAAAAATGTAATGTCTGAGAGTGATACAAGTAGGGTTAGGCAGCTCTTGCCACCTCAAACAAAAAGCCCTTTGTAGTACAAAAAGAAAAGGGAAAAGAAATATGATTGTATACCATTGTTCCTTATGGTAAGTTAATGAAATATGGACTTTTTAAAAAGATTTGCAGTAGACATTTTAATCTACTTGGCAATAGTTTGTACTTGACAACAAGAAGTTTGCATGTCATTACATTTAATGAAAAATTTGAAATAGTGAAAAAAATAGAAGTTGAAAAACTTGAAATAGTGGTTCTGGTTAAAAACAGATCACTCCTTTGAACCAATTCAGGCTTAATGACCTTAAAGCTGGCAAATCTTCATGATGTTATGACCATGCCTGGCTTTTAGTAAACAAACAAAATTAAAAAAGTAAATTAAACATCTGCTATGTCAAATGATTTATGTTCAAACTTAGTCAGGTTGAACATGCTAGTACTGTTTTGATCAGTGATTAGCATATGATGTCAAGCATTGCTAAAGCATATATATTTTTAGAGTAATATTTTGACTGACTGACTGACAGTCAAGAGGCTTCAAGAACTTATATGTGATAGCAAATTGATAGCTCATGAATTAGATACTGCTGTTTGTTCAAAACTAACAGGAAATTCTGACTTTTTTTTTTTCTTCTTTGTTCAGCTACGGTGCAAAACCTTCGGATCATCATATCGGGCGTGCTAATAATTGCGGGGTTGATGGTTTTTGGATGTTGCTTATACTTTGTTTACAAGAATTATAAGAGAATAAAGACATTTCTTCAGCCACCTCTGGATATTCCTGAGCACATTGAAGAGGTGAGATGTCACCTTTAGATTAGTGTTTTTATTGTTCTTGGGTGGATGATATAGGTCTGTCCTGATCATTTAATAGTGGTTGACGATCAATTGCAATTGAAGTAGTTTGATTTCATTTAACAGTGTCATTTTTTTTTTTTTTTATTTGAATATTGAATTGTATTACAGCACAAACCTAAAGTGGTCAGATTAGCTGATTAACTATCCTGTTACCAAACTTATAACTGTCGACAGACTCAGCAGGAGTTGAAATTAACAAACATTAAAGGTGTTGTAGCACCAGTCAGAATTTAGAACTCTTTATAGACGCACAACATGGTTCAATGACGAAATGTGGTTTGTGCTTCCTTTTATTAAGTGCATTTGCTTTAACCTAACTCCTGAAAATTTTGAACTCTTCGTAGACCCATGACATTGTTCAATGACGAAATGCAGTTTGTGCTTTCATTTCAGTGTAAATGTATAATTATAAAAGCTAACAACTGTGTAAAATAATTGCGATCAGTTCAAATAATTGCACTCAGTTCAAACAGTTGATCAGGCTATTATGTAATAATCGTGATGGGCCTAGGGAGAAATTAGACAAACATTGTATGCCTACGAAGGTATACTGAGTAACTGTGTATATCTCAAGTTCACTGCTTAACATCTGTGCGTTTTAGTGCTTTGTTTTTTTTACAGAAAACCTATAATTCCTAGATGTTTTATAATTTAGCTTTAGAAGGCTAGTGAGCAAGTTAACAACTTGGGAATGATCCAAATGGCATTAGTCACACATATGAAAAGAGCTGTGAGCCTGACAGTGGTAACATTAGCCGCCTTCCAAAAGCTAGGCTGTGGTTTAGGTAGGGCAATTGATTAAATTTTATTTTCAATTAAGATTTTGGCTTCCAAAGATCATGAAGACAAGATAATTGAGGTAAAATGGTCATTGTATTCCATTTTGCAATAATGATCTCATTTTGTCTTGTTATAAATCCCTTTTCCTTTATTTTTATGTTTTTTAAAAGTTTAATAAATGCATGATGTTTCTAAAGTCAATGAGTAATCAAGTTAAATAATCGAGATCTTAATATTGACTAAAATAATCGTGATAATGATTTTTGCCATAATCAAGCAGCCCTAGGTCCAGGTGGGCTGGATTTCTAGGCTGCTGTGTCAGCCTACGTCAGACAGTTTTAGAGGACGCTACCATGTCTGAGTGTGTGTCATTGGACATTTCTAGCGAGGCCCCATCTTTTTGGGCTGTAGCCTAGCTTTTGGAATGCGACCTGAGAATGTGTTCTGATATAATGTACAATTTCTTCTGTAGAAAACGTATTACTCATTCATTGAACTGTTTTAAGGTTCTTTTTTTTAAATTGATAATGTACGTACAGGATTATAACAAATTGCATCCATTTTTTATTTCTGCAGTTTTTTTCTGGAGAGTTCTCTCACCACGAACTTGTTTGTATCGGCAGCGAAGAACTAGGAACGAATGACCTTATTACTTTAGTACCAGAACAGATCAGAGAAGAGGAAGAGGGCAGAAGTGATGTAAGGGAAAATTCCATCTCTCCTGACACCGCTACATAGAGTGTATGTTTTTCCAGAACAACATTTCAGTTCTTTATCGTCACACGTTTTTAATACTTTATATTTTAGTACAGTATTTTGTTTCACTATTGTATTTTTGCACTTTTGGCTAATTTACCAGTTAATTAACTTTTTTTATCTGTAGCCCTGAATAGTTGATGATTAATTGTTATTCGTTTCATTTTATCAGTTAAATATAAGACTGTTAGCTTGGATGCTTTGGAACAAACCACCTCTTTACATATGTTTGTCAGCCAGCCTCCAAATTCTGGTTTGAAGGCTTGTGACTGTGTTTTAAGGAAATAATCCCACTTAACCGAGTTGGGTTGTGTGTAAAATGTTATTTTTATTTGGAGCATGAGAAAAACAAAAGTGATTTTAGGAGTTAAAAATGGAACGCTCTGACATTCGTAGTTTTACACTAGGTAAATTACTTGTTTGTTACAAGCTACTGTTTTTGAAAAGCGTGGCAGAATTATGTTAAAAGGTGGGTGTTACTGTTTTCTTCCTAGAATTTAAAGTGGTGTCTGTCTGCTGTTCTTTTAGTGAAACATTTGTAAAAAAAGTAAAAATATATTTGGCAGGAAAATAGGTAAATTGGAGATATACAAAAGTGGCAAAGTGGACCTGACTGGGCTAAATGACCTAAAACACCTTCATTGTAAGATGGTAGTTTTTCTTTGAGAGTTGTGTCTTTTAAAAGAAGAAATCTTTGTTTCTGCTGTAGTAGCTTGTGACAGGATGGCTACAAGAGCTAAATTTCTGTTTTAACTCCTGTCTCTCCTCTCCCATTTTGTATGGATTATGTTATTGTTCAATTGCATGTGTAGAATGTGGTTTTTCCAAGCAATCAATTTAGCACTCACAGGTGTCTGATGGCGGTTTTCCGCGGGGGTGTGGTATAGTTACAAATCCATGAGTATTTATTTTAAAGCTGTTTTCACTGCCAAGTAAATTGTGCTGTACCAGAGTATGAATTTGGTTACTCATCTTACAGTACTTAGCGTACCCAGCTGGAATGTATGTGTGGACCTAGAAACCTAGAAAAATTTTGTACAGTGTAACTGGATTTGGATAAGCAAACATACTGTGCCGTATATCACATTGTCCAGTGGAAAAACGCCTTACATAGTAAACCAAGGATGTGGACTCGTCTAAACAGTTTGCATTTGCTAATGTTTCTTACCTTCTTTTGGTTTCTTTTAATACGATTTAATGCATTGGATACATTTCATGCAATGCTTCCTTTAACAACTAGCTATTTTGATGCTTTAAACACTAAAGAACAAGGATAAGGTCTGCACCATTATTTTCAAACCAGTAAGTGAGTACTGAAAACCCCTTTCAGTATGTTTGAGAGCTTAACTGATGAGTGTCTGAGAAAGTACAGATCTTCTTGAGCCTTTGGCAGTTGTTCTAATGAAGACTACTAAAATCATTAGTTGCCTCTCACAGCGTATTAATTGTTTTACCAATACAGCCTTAATGAAGTGTGTCGTGGACTACTGAAAGTACTAGAGGAACAGTACAAGGTTTCCTGGAGAGCTTTATCTGTGAACAGTTTATGTAGAGTGCAGTGTTTTTATTTGAATTTACTGAATTTTCAGCTGGAGCCATAGAGCCTTACATGTTTTCACAAAATGGCCAAGCCTGTTCTTTTAATTTCATGTATGAAAAGCAAATAGATCAACAATATGAACATACCTTTGAGGTAATATGTGTGTAGTAATTTGCATCTAATGACTTCAACAAATGTTTGTTTACAAGAATCATAATTAAAATTAAATTGTAGATTGGATTTGTATATACAGTTACTTGTATAACTGTAATGGATGCTGGTACATGTCTTCATAGTGTTTAAGAGAAAGTGCTTCTTGGCCCTGGGGTTCAGTCTGTTATACAAATTAATGTTAATGATAATGTTAAATGTAATGATGTAATGTTTGGTAATGATTAGCTTATATTTGTGAGTTCAACTAATGTAATTAATCATGATCTAATTCAGAGTTTATGTAGAACAAAATGCTTTAATTTGTGTTGTACAGTAAATGATGAGTCTTGTAATTTTTTATGTGCTGTCATACAATTTGTTACCAGAAATATTACTTGAATAAAATTGACTTGTAATGGTCTACTATACAATTCCGCTACCAGTATTTTACCGCTACCAGTATCAAGACAGAGCTAAATAAAAATGATGTGAGTTTTTATAGAAGATACATCATTTTGCCACAGTTTAGACCAAATTGCAGTATAAATGTCTTTTCTTGTATGTAACATTGCCAAAAACGGAAATACTAAAGTACAGATTCTTTGTCACAGCAGTCATGACTGGTCTAAAGTCCAGTAAAGTACAGTAATAGTTCCTTTACTTATCAGTGTTATTGGTGAAATGATTAATTATTAACTAAATACTCCTCTCATGAAACCTCCATGTCATTAAACCACTTTTTCCAGTTTCAGTATGCTTCCAGCAATAATTAAACTGTTAACAATAGAAATATACAGTCGAGAACTGTTAAATCATTATTTAGGCAAAACCTACTCCTTATATCAAGGAAACCATTTTCATTAATATGAAACCAGCATACCATTTTACCAAAAATTTTTACTCTGCTATATCCTGCAGTTATCCAATAATGCTTTCACACAAGACATAAGTAACAAGTAATTAGCGCATTTAAATTTTAGTAATTACATTATTATTGTAATTGTGCCATTTGAAAAGGTAATTAGATACGTGACTTGTTAGTGCCAAAGTAGTGGAATAACAGTAACGCATTTAACTTTGTAACTTGTTCTTACAGGTTACAGATTCTAGAGGAGTCAACATGGAGTAATCCCTCTTAAGCATGCAAAGTGAGGGAAGGTGCTTTGCATCCAACATGATTCATAATAAGTGACTGGACGGCATTATTTTGACCCAAGTTATTAATCTTTAATATAGTAATATTAAAACTTTTTTATGTATCACTTTTCGTACATTAAATGCATGTCAGATTGCTTCACATAAAACAAAAAAGAGGGCGTAAAGCTAAAACAAAGATTACTGAAATTTGGTTTACAGATTAAAGGAAAAGAAGGGATAACAAGATATGTAGAGTAATCAGCTGTTTAGACAACGGATAAAAGCATTGAATAAAGATATATTAAAGAATGAATTAAGCAAAATACAGCAACACCATAAAACCATTACAACTATAGAATTAAATAGGCGATCTATTTTTCCTTTTTTTCCAGTTTAATGTACTTTCCAGTGCTCTTTGAAAGAAATCAATGATGAGTAGAGGAAAGATGCTTTAATTCAGCTTTTGTGTAGTGTGTTTAACCTACACTTTGAAAAAGATGGTTCTTTAGGGATTAAGTAAAGATTAAGTAAAGTAATGGTTCTATTAAGTAAAAGTAAAGGTTCTATTTAACATACATTCTACACAGAACCATTTTATGCTTTTTTCAGATTGTCGAAGAATGTGTTTGTATATGATCTATATAGCACCAAAAAAGGGTTCTTCTATTGTTACAAGCTTGACATTATAACAATGGAAAAACCTTTTTGCTGCTATATAGAACTATTTACAACCCCCTTTCCAAAAAAAGTTGAGATGTAAACTCTAAAAAAAATGTAAACAAAAACAATGCAATGTGCAAATCATTTAACCCTATATTTAATTGAAAATAGTGCAAAGACAACATATCAAATGTTGAAGCTTTGAGAAATATATACTTATTTTGAATTTGATGCCAGCAGCATGTTTAAAAAAATTTGGGACATGGGCAAGAAAAGTAAAATTGTGTAATAATTCAAGCAGTGGAAAATTGCCTTGTGGAATGACGAATGAAAATTTAAAATTCTTTCTGGAAATCATGGACACTGTGTCCTCCGGGCAAAAGAGGAGAGGGACCATCTAGCTCATCAATACACCGTTCAAAAGCCAGCATCCGTGATGGTGTGGGGCATGGCATGGGTGACTTGCACATCTGTGAAGGCACCATTAATGCTGAACGATATATACAGGTTTTGGAGCAACATTTGCTGCCACCTAACACATTTTTTTCAGGGAAGGCCTTGCTGATTTAAGCAAAATGATGCCAAACTATATTCTGCATGTATTACATCAACATGACTCTGCAGTAAAAGAGTCTGGGTGCTAAATTAACCTGCCTGCAGTCTAGACCTGTGACTCATTAAAAACATTTGGCAAATTATGAAACGAAAGGTGACCCCAAACTGTTGAACAGCTGAAATTCTGTGCCAACCATGAATGGGAAAACATTTCAGTTTCAAACCTGCAGCAATTGGTCTCCTCAGTTCCCAAAGATTTTGCACAGTGTCCCATCTGTTTTGGAAACTGGGTTGTGCAACAGAATTGTCTGTTAACCTAACAAACTAAAAAGTAAGCAGAACTTTTAAAAGTAGAGTACTGCCAGCTCAGTGGATACCATTTATAATGATTGGGGTTTTTGAGTTTACCTTGCTTGCTGCAGAAGTGTCAATCCCTGAAAATTAGAACATATTTATAATTAAATGTTAAGTTATTAAAAGCTTGAATCTGTTAAGTAGCTTTACTTTTTTTTAAGGCAGTAAGTTTAGATGATTTTTGAAGTCAACTAATTTATGTTTACAGTGTACAGTGGAAAAGGCTTCACGTATGTAAAATGCACAGATAAACCTGTATTCTTCATTTGCTGTGTATGTTACTGTGTATGTTACATGAATGCTGCTTAAAATCTCTTAAGAGAGAGGAACCCATCCTCCTCTGGTCAACACCAGATAGCAGAACAGTGACACAAACAAGAGCCATACGTGTAATAATGAACAAAGAAATAAAGTGAGCCTAATCATCAGACAGAAAAGATTGTGAATGAGAATTAAATCCATGACTAAGGTGAATGCATCTTCAGCACCATGTATCAGAATATTGTTGAAAGTGGAATTAGAGAGAACCCAGATTTGGACCGCACTGCTGTGCAGGGATGACAGGCATCATGTAGCGGACCTGCTTCCAGAAGTGAGAGCTGGGGGAAGCTGCTTGGCGACTCCCCTCGTTCCATTTTAGCGGCGGGCTCTTCTGCAGGAGATGCTGCAGACCCAGGGGCAAGTGAGAGTAATCCTTAATTTCTCCGAGCTGGATCAGAATCATGCTTGTTTCTTGCTGAACCAGCACCCGATGTAACCCCACCTGCCAGTCGTAACCCTGTGCTGGGGTCATAAGATCTTGTTCTTGGCTGAACCCTGGAGTTAGCACCACTATCAGCCTTCGGCTGAGCTGCATTCTCATTTCAGTGAGCTCAATGCAGTCTGCTGACAGAACACAAATGAAAGTCAATGAGCACAGTTTCACTGTTCTGCTGTTTTATTAACCAAACTGAGTATATATGGACCATTCTACTGAATTAGTTTAAACTGCAGCCCCACAGTAAAGAAAATGAAAGAAAGAAAGAAAAACTATTATTGGAGATAGAAATAAGCTAAATATAAGATCATTATTTATAGGGTACTTTCTATTGGGAGTTGTCTGTACCCCTTAAACCCTAACTTTTCACTTGTGTAAAAATATGTATGCATAAAAAAGGTGAAGTATGATGGAGATTATGTAAATTACATTTTATTCACAAGAATTTGTACTGGAGCCAGTCATTTTGGCTCATATGTTTTTTGAGTTCAAACCTCTAGTGCACATAAAACATTCTAAGCTGTCTTTTGGCTTTAAAAGTAACTTCAAATTTCTGTATGTGCACTCACAGCATTAGCACAAGACAGTAGATGCAAGTACCGTTTATTTACAGTGTTGATCATTGGACCATTTAACAGATTCTCCTGTTGGGCTGTGTAAGTCATTGTTAGTTAGATATGCATTTACGCAATTGATGTTATACCTTATATATTTATATATATGTACACACACACATATATATGGATTTATACTCCACCTTCTCCAGGCAGGTCGTCTCTGCCGTGGATGTAGAGTTTAAAGCCACAGTGGTTTTCCAGGATGGCTGGGAGAACACTGTTGATGAAATGAGCTAACTTCTTTTTCATTTTCTCATCGACATTGTCCTTCTGGTAGATCACATATGCATCGTATATTTTTCCATCTGAATTGCGGAAACATAGATGTCACTTAAAGGGCCTTATAAAATTCAGGAGTTTACTCTGAACTGTTAACTTGGCACCCCAACAACAAAGAACTCCATTTGTCCACTGGCACTTTGCAATGATTCCTAAACTGTTGTTAAGCCAGGCAAAGACACATCAGCCTTTTATTTCAATTATTCAAGCATTCTATCACAGCTGATACAATGTGAGTGTATGCTGCTGCACTAATGAATGACTCAGGCTGACAGTGAACAAGGGTCTGATCACACAGAGAAGCGTTACTGACTCTATGACAGTCAGACACAAAGTCACTTTATAAGTTCAACCATGGCAAATTCCCACCAGCAATACACTCTGTAATTCACAACCACTTCTCTAACACAGGTGGATTCACATGGATACACATGGCTTCACAAGCGAAGGCAAAAAAAGTCAAAAGTCTGTCTTTGCTGACTTTACTCTCTTTGACTGAATAGAATAGCGAGGTATAACCATTGTTGCAGTGATTTTATTTGTAAGGCTGCAGAGAGACTGTATTGTCCTACCATATACATCACCATCTGGTTATAGCATCAGTGCTCAGTGTTAGCAGCAATGATCAGTTTCTCAGCATGTTTACTCAGTACTCGGTGAGCAGTGTGTTATTTCTTAATTTGAAATTGTCTGTTGACTAGAGATTGCACATAGCATTTTTGTACAGCAAGAGTATATAAATTGTATGCTTTGTCCGTGCACAACGGTACAACCAGAAGACTGTCTAATACTGAAAAATATGTACTCGGTCTGAAAAAAATTGCAAAAATTGTATCGTAAAGAAAAATTGTATTGATGCATCCCTAATTCCCACTGCTTAGTTCAGGTGTTCTGGGGAGCAAACATATGGACTACCTGAAAATACTGAACTGTATGTGTAGAACCTTTGACTTAAATGACCCCATTCTCTATAATAATCTAAATAGACCTAAAATTTCTTTACCATTTCTTTTGTTCTGTACAAGTCCTAAGCCTCTGAAAAACAAGGCCAGATCCATGGCATACCACTTTGTTGTACCAGCAGCCAGCAAAATAATCAAAAAGATGCACAAAAACATCACAACCAATGGGAGCACTGATTCTGAAAAATGAAGATTAATAAAAGTTTATTATCACTTATAACACTGTATGGCAAATTCATTTCAATCCTAAAAATGATCAGAAGTAACAAACCTACCCCTGGATTTGAGAGTAATGATTACATACATCCATTTATATGGGCTTATAGCTTTGCAGTGAAACTCAGACTGAAGGTCCATCTCAGAAACCTTATGGATAGTGAGGAATGAATGAAATGTTTCTGTTTCCTTCCTGAAAAATAAAAGCAAAGTATTGTAACTAGCAGCTGCTATGGGGTTATGATAGCAAGAATAATCTGCTGTAGAATATTGGTTGAAACCAGGGACAGTGACTTTGACCTTAAAGAGTAACAGTTCAGCTGTCCGATTACTTTGCATTAGTGGCAAAGATGCAGTGGCTGGCTTTACATGACTTAGAGGAATCTTGTGCTAGCCTTCACCTTCCCAGCACTTTTTTTGTTATTAGGGAGACCTAACCAATGGGTGGAATTGGACATGACCAAAGTTAGACATGACCAATTGGAGAATTTGTGGCCAGAATTATATAAACAGGTTCATCGTTAACAGGCCTGCTTTAGTAGAAAACACCAGTCAAGTGTACTTTGTAAAAGTAGTGATGGCTGAATACTGAATACACTGTCCTAATTATGTTCAGTAATGTATTCCATTACAATAAATAAAAAGGTAACACATTCAGAATACATTTAGAATCCATTTACAGCACATTTTGGTAAGGCATGTGGGAATTTTTTTTTAATTCATACTGTTCCTTGCTGTTACTGGTTGGCACCTTAGTGTTTCATTACATGAAGATCTGGCCATGCCAACCACTAAGAGCAAGGAACAGAGATAAAAATTCACTTATCATTTAAGTTCTGAAAACTTTTTTTCTCTCACCATCTGCTTTAGTCCACTGTGTAACAGTGAGTGCATATACATGCACTCAATAATCTGATCATGATTCGATTTTTGCAGTTATCTGATTATTCAAATGTTCATGCTAACAGCATACTCCAAATTCTGAGATTGGAGTAAGGTCTACAAATCCGCTTAAGAAATCCATTAAAAAGAGCTGGATTTTAGCTCAGTAATCAGATTTCTCAGGGCATGTAAACTCTTACCCGGATTTCGGATGTCTCAGTCTGCACACGTGCGAAACAGACAGCGATACCGGATATAAGCAAGCAGCGTTGCCACGAGATGGCAGTAAAACACTTTTGGAGCGTCGCTGAAACCAACTACATGGTTGATGAAATGAAGAATTTAAATTCTCTGCATCTTCTAGATGATGTATCTTCATAGTTTCAGGTAAAGTGGCGCGATGTGTTTTGAAAAAAACGCTGTGGCATGAAGTTTGAGTTTTACATTATGTTTACATCACGTCTTCTTCTGAGTTTATTGGCTGGTTGCAAAGCAGAAATCTGATTATTGCCTGACTCATGTGGACCTGGAGTTTTCCATTATCTGATTACTCAAGTGCATGTAAAGGCGTTGATCAGATTAGTGACAAAATCAGATTTTCTGCAATTATCAGATTATCAAGTGCATGTAAACACACTTATTGATGCAAAACGTATCACATGCAAACATGTCCACTACTGAGGACATTATTAGTTTAATAATCCCTCAAAAGAGTTTATGAACACTGAGATTAGTAACTTATCAACACATTGTTTTATCAGTCTGCTCAGGCTTTAGCAGAGCTCAGCAACACTGAGATTAATAACTGATCATCCAATTGATTTATTAGTCTGCTCAGGCTTTAGCAGAGCTCAGCAACACTGAGATTAATAACTGATCATCCAATTGATTTATTAGTCTGCTCAGGCTTTAGCGAAGCTCAGCAATACTGATATTAATTTCTAATCACATTGATCTATCAGTCTAATCAGGCTTTAACAGAAACTTCAGTGTTTGTAAAAAAGCTGTTAAGTAAAGTCCACTTTACTTAAAGTTTGTCTAACTAATATGCTTGCTGCATGCAGTGATTCTAAAATACAACCCCATTTCCAAGTTGGGACGCTATGCAAAATGTAAATAAAAATAAAATGCAATGATGTGCAAATCATTTAAACCCTATGTTTCATTGAAGATAGTACTAAGACAACATATCAAAGAAACATCTGAGAAATTGTATTTTTTGAAAAATATTTGCCTATTTTGAATTTGATGCCATCAATCTGTTCCAAAAAGGTTGGGATGGGAGCAACAAAAGCCTGGTAAAGTTGTGTAATGCTAAAAAAAAAAAACACCTGATGTTTAATTGGCAACAGGTCAGTGACATGATTGGGTATAAAAAGAGCATCTCAGAGAGGCTGAGTCTTTCAGTAGTCAAGATGGGGAGAGTTTACCAGTCTGTGAAAGACTGCACGAGCAAATAGTGCAACAATTCAAGAATAAGGTTTCTCAGCATAAAATAGCAAAGTTCTGCTTTTCATCATCTACAGTGCTTAATCATTAAAAGATTCAGAGAATCTGGAGAATTCTGTATGCAAGGGACAATGCTGAAAAACAGTATTTGCTGGCTGTGATCTTTGGGCCATCACGCAGCACTGCACTAAAAACAGACATAATTCTGTAGTGGAAATCACTGCATGGACCACTTCTGAAAACCACTGTCTGTGAAAACAGTTTGTCACTGCACCCACAAATGGAAGTTAAAACTTTAAAACGCAAATAAAAAAATCACATATAAACAGGATCCAGAAACGCCATCACCTTCTATGGGCCTGAGCTCATTTAAAATGGACCGAGGGGAAGTGGTTCTGTGGTCCGACAAATCAACATCTGAAATTCTTTTTGGAAATCATGGACACTGTGTCCTCCAGGCTAAAGACCACTCAGCTTGTTATCATTACACAGTTCAAAAGCTAGTATTAATGATATAGGAGTGCTTTAGTGCACGACAAGGATGATGTGCACATCTGTGAAGGCACCATTAATGCTGAACGATATATACATGTTTTGGCAACATATGCTGCCATCCAGATGATGTCTTTTTCAGGGAAGGCCTTGATTATTTGAGCAAGACAATGTCAAACCATATTCTGCATGTTTTATAATAACAGTGCTCTGTATATAAAGAGTCTGGGTGCTAAACTGACCTGCCTGCAGTCCTGTCACCATTGAAAACATTTGGAGGGTTATGAAATGAAAAATATGACAAAGAAGACCCTGAACTGTTGAGCAGCTGAAATCCTATATCAAACTGAATGGGAAAACATTTCACTTTCGAAAGTACAGCGATTGGTCTCCTCAGTCCCCAAACGCTTACAGAGTACTGTTAAAAGAAGAGGTGACATTTCAACATTTGATATGTTGTCTTTGTAGTATTTTCCTTTAAAATATGGTTTTCATGATTTGCATATCATTGCATCCCTATATTTGTTTACATTCCGCACATCGTCCCAACTTTTTTGGAAATGGAGTTGTAGAATCACTGGTGGTGTTTCTTTTGAAGAGACTGTTAGGGGGACTGTAGCCTTTGCTAATGGTTATTTTTAAATCTGTTTTGTATTGGAATTCAACAGTAAAACTGATCAGCTAGTAAAGAAGAACCAATCAAGAAAGATCTGCTAAAGAGCAACCAAGAGCTCAAGAGGCATCTTATAAAGAATGGAAAACCCTGACCTTTTAGGCATGACTACATATAATATGATTCACTACCCATTGTTTTACCTTTCATAAACTGTATACCCCTCCGCTCCATCCAGCTGGGTGTTGTTCCTGAGCCATAAAACCGAGCACTGATCTCTCACGTTGAAGCCAAAGAATGCAGAGCAATTCAGTTCCACCTTAGAACCTGTAAGAAGCAGAATGAGCTTGAGTTGTGTCTTACTACAACTTCATATTTTTATTTAACTTGTTTCATATGTTCATTTTGACTCAGAGTCTCACCCAGATCTACGAACTCTACAGACATGTTATTTGGATACAGAATCGTTGTAGGAAAATTTGTTGAAGGTTCTGTAAACAAGTTTAAAATGCAGAAGGTTAAAATTCACAGACAGTGCAATCAGATATACAGTCTGTGGTGCTTTAGTTTGGGTGCATAGAATACCTGTGATGTGCAGTTGGCGGGATCCACTGGTGTTGTATTTTATGCCATTATGCTCCCAAGTACACAAACAGGTGTAGATGCCCTCATCTTTTTTTGAAAAATTAGAAATACGCAAATGTTCCTCAGATCTCCCAGGGATCAGATGGAGGTCCTCCAAAAGAAAACAACATATTAAAGAAACAACAAACAGGCATTACTTATCCTACAATCAGTGATATTTCCTGTGGGAAAAATACTGTAAAATAAGTGAAGTTTGGGAGAAAGACCATGCCTGAACACCCTCTCGCCACCCTGTTTCCTTCCTATACTGAATACAGTCTACTGAAGATAGTTAATGACAACAGATTACAGTATACTACTGCAGTATACTGAAGACAGTCAATGACAACAGATTAGTAATGTAGTGGACATTTAGGAATGTTCTGGATAAGTGGTGAAGAAGATCTCCATATGCTCCACCAAGGCACCATCATTGACTATGGCTACATTCATTAATCACCTTTAAACTTGAGTCCTAGATAGTGTTCCTTTAGTTAGCCTTCTATTGTGACATTATCCATACACAGTGCCTATCTCTAGTTTAATTTGCCTACTGCAAACAATTCAGATGAATTTTTGATGTCTCTTTTGCTAATGCAGTGACTGCTAAATACGACAAACAGGACACATTCAACCCGCATGTTTTAAACAAGGCTAAGTGTGCAGATTTCTTTGTGAAAAAAGCACAAAAAGTTTGAGATGACTTTGTGACAAGGTGCATAAATAGTCCATGCGCCACCCTGGGAGCTGCTCCTAATCATTGTTTGCACTTGCAGCTTGTTTCTCTGCTCATTCCTGGACTACCTATTTTGAGACTCTTTTGCAAAGTCTTACACTTTCCCATGCATCTGTTGCTGTGCCAGTCTCCTTGTTTAGTTGTATATCTTGTTTGTCATCCCTTATGAAAAAGCAATATACTTTGACACAATATTAGTGTACTTAAACTATATACAGGATGCTCCAAGTAGATTTTGTTATTTTCTACTTCACTTTTTACCTACTGAATCTATATTTTAGTGTACTTTCAAAAGGGTCATTCTACAGAAACGTCCATTTTGTGTCCCTAGTGTTTAGAGATATATTACACTTAAAAAACATATTAGGGTTACAATTTATTTATATTTTAAAATAAAGCAGTAAGTTATTTTAACAATTACACCTTCTTCAGCCATGAATTTAGCAATCTTGTTTTTTTAATCAATTATTAAAAATTATATTTATATAATATTTGCAATTTAACTACATTAATCTATACATGACTATGGAATATATAAATTAAATGACATAAAGAAAGCAAATGGCAAATAAATATTTTAAAATATATAAAGAAAGTTGATGTCCCCAGGAGTTGTGTCACTGGTGTTACCGCATAGCAAAAAATCTCTTATTTTGAAATAAAAATCACACTGATGACATCACTTGACTTCCTTTTACCTATTTTCTGAAGATCTATGAAAAAAGCACATGGTAAATCCACTGTGTTTTGCAGTTATCAGAAATTTTCTCATTTAGCTCATGATATCATATGAAGCTTATATGTAACACCAATGAGGATTGGTAACACCAGTGACACCTATGGATAGATAGAAAAGTGGACGTTTCTATAGAATGACCCAAAAAGTATACTTCACTTTGGTGTACAAATTTGGCACTTTTTGTGCTTTTTTCTGCACACTTAGGCTTGTTTAAAACATGCGGGTTGAATGTGTCCTGTTTGTCATATTTAGCAGTCACTGCATTAGCAAAAGAGACATCAAAAATTCATCTGAATTGTTTGCAGTAGGCAAATTTTTATGATTAAACTATACTTTTGCAGAGTGTGGAGAAACGTGTTATTGCGGTATTAAAAATGTACTTCAATGAAGTATGCATGAAAAGCATATGTAGCCAGGTGATAATTAGATCCTATCAGTTTCACCTACATTAATCTAGAAGCAAGAAAAATAGGTTCCTGTGCCTTTAAGACCTCATGGGGGTGCTATTTCACAGAGCACAGACAGAGCGAGTGCATTCAAAGAAACCAGAAGAAGCTGGTTAGAGCTGCGGTACGCTAGCTGTGGGAGGAAAGGTGAAAATATTTGAATTATATTCCTGTAAACAATAAAATAATTTTAAACAATAAAATTTCTTTGTTTGTTTCAGTTGGCCATTATACTTTTGTGATGGTGAGCTGAATTCCCCTCACTACATCAAATCTTTGAAATCCTGATAGAAAATACACGGACCCAATAGCTTATAAGTTCCCCGGGCTACAATTTTTGGTACCAGGAGTGGGGTCCCTTCAATTATTAAAGAGGAATTTTCAGTTTTTGGTTTATGCAAATATTAAATTCGGTACATAATACAGTAGTGGTAAAGAGCAGGTTGTAGAGCCCTGAGACACGGAAGACGAGTCAGATGCCCAGCAGTTGTCGTGGTGGCGCTACAGGACCACGTCAGTACTCCAGAGGGCGACGCTGAGATACTGAGACCTAGAGACCTTGTTCCACTGTGATCATTGTGTCAGCTGCTGCTGGTGGACTTTTTATCCTTTGACAAGTTTGTGGTAGGGACTGAAAAGACTGTACTACTGTATCTCAGTCAGGTGATGCACAACCAGAACCAAACCTCCAAGAACAAATCAGAGAGTTGCCTGCTAAGCATGAGGAAGCTGTGGCAACTATAGCTACACTCAGTAACAGATCCTATGTTTATGTTCCATGAGAAAGACACATTGCTCCTTTCAGTGGTGAGTTTGAAAAAGATGGCAGGCATATTGATGACTTTATTGAAGAAGTTGAACGTGTACTTCGTGCTAGAAATCTGTCTGATCAAGACCAATACGATTTTGTTATGTCACTTTTAAGAGGCCCAGCTTTAGAAGAAGCACGGATGCGTGGTCATTCTGATGAAAGTAATGTTAGTGACTTGTTTGCATACCTCAGAGATGCTTTTCACAACAAACGCAGTACACCTCAGTTGTTGCATAGCGTCTACAACTGTAGGCAACAAGAGGGGGAGGGCATGAGGGAGTTTTCACACGCTTTGGCACAGGCCCTTAGCTTGTTATTGAAATGTTCTCCTGATTTCTTAATTGATGAGAAATTAGTGCTGAGGGACCAGTTCGTAGAAGGGGTTAGAGATCCTTCTCTTAGGAGAGAGCTCTGCAAATATGTTAGAAATCACCTGAATCATCTTTGATTGATGTGAGGGAAGAAGCTCAGTTGTGGTTTCTAGAAGAATCTTCTGCAAAAGCCAAAACAGTTAAACTGAAAGGTAGTAGCAGTGGCCTAGCACAGTGCTCAGCTCTCAAGGTGCATGAACCACTGCCTGTCACCCTAGAAGATGTGGTAAAAGTGGTTGTAGAGCAAAGCCATGCCGTAAGTGAATTAACTCAAGCAGTAAAGGATCTTACAGTACAGAGGTTTACAGAGGGTGAAAGTAGTACTGTCACCAAGCCTAAAGTAAAACCAAAGTACACAGAAGATGGACAGCCAATCTGTTTCAGGTGTGAGACTCCAGGGCATATAGCCAAACACTGTCCACAAAAACCAGGTTCCAGAAAGGTACCACCAACCTCTACTAGCTCACAGGGAAACGAGACCCCCTGGTTGTTGTGAGTCGGGCAATTTGGGGGAGCCCTATAGACTCAGATAATGTACAGTCTTCTCGTGACCACTTGCTACAGTGTGCCATAGGAACATGTCCAATAGTTGAGCTTGAGATTGGTGGTGTATAGACCCCTTGCTTACTGGATACAGGTAACCAAGTGAGCACTATTACTGAGCAGTTCTTCAGAAAGCACCTGTCTGGAGAAGATGATGATATGTTTCTCACAGCTGGTTGGCTTAAGTTGACAGCCGCTAACGGCCTACCTCGGATATCTAGAGCTGGAGGTTAAGGCCATGGGTCTGAGGATGCCTGATTGTGGTTTCTTGATAGTCAAGGATCCTCGTGACACTGAACAGTCGGTTCCATGTATCATTGGTATGAACATTATCAGCCAATGCAGACAACTGGTGCATGCAGAATTTGATACTACCTTAGGAGGAAAGTTGGATTCAGACTGGAGAAGTGTTTTCCATAAAATGCAGAAGTGTGAGATTGATCGGAAAGAGGTTGACCGAGTAGCAGGAAAAAACATGGAACACATTCACACAGGATCGTTGGTGACCCTCCTAGTGAAGAGAGCATCAAAGAGTGCAGGTAACAGTCAACGAATGCAGCTCGAACCGCTTAGTGTGCAACTACCAGGAGGTCTTATAGTTGTTCCCACGCTCGTTGGTTCTAGTGACTGCACATTTCCAGTACAGATATTAAATTTCTCACTGGAGGATGTTTGGCTCTCCCCTCGTACTCGGCTGGGTATCTTGTCAAGAGTAGAATGCGTGGATAATGAACCACAGTGTGCAGTGAAGTTTCAAAGGATTTTAGCTGACATTGAACAGATCATGCTTGATGTGGGTGAAGGGCCTAGTAACTGTGAACTGCAATCTATTCTGGACAAACTTGACATTGGTGGCAGTGCTGTTTAGCAGACCCACTTGCGAGCATTACTGTCTAAGTACTCTGATATCTTTGCAGTAGAGGATGAAGACTTTGGCTACACTGACAAAGTTAAGCATGAAGTACATCTAGTCGATGACAAGCCAGTTACACAGCCTTACCGCTGGGTTCCGCCGAATCAGTACCGGGAAGTGCAAGAACACATTTCCAAGCTGTTAAGGAAAGGTGAGCAGCAGTGCCTATGCATACCCCATAGTGCTGGTCCAGAAATGAGACGGCAGTATAAGGTTGTGTGTTGATTACCGGAAATTAAATCATAAGACCAAAAAGGATGCTTTCCCTCTACCACACATCGATGAAAGTTTTGATGCCCTGCGTGGAGCGCAGTACTTTTCAACCCTAGACTTCGCCAGTGGCTACCATCAGGTAGCAGTAGAGGAAAGTGACAGACACAAGACTGCCTTTGCAACACCGTTTGGTCTATTCCCTGGGATCAGAATCAGATTCAGAGGACTCAGAAGTTGGTGTTATATTTATGGACAGCAGGCCCCAGGGGTTGATGCCATGTCAAGACCCAGCCACTTAAAAATGCATACCCAGATGAGGAAGTTTGAAACTGATAATGGACAAGGAGTGCAAAATTTTGCCCCTGCTCCTGTTAGTAGGACTTCAGAAACGGTAGGGGCCTCTGAAGAGGAGAAGGAGATGCCGATGCCAGTGGTAAATACTCCAAAACCTGTTCTGGATGCTCCTGTAGCTGCACCCCATAAAAGTAGGAGAGTGAATGCGGGACAGCACTCGAATTTGCACCATGAGCCCAAGTCAGTCCTAGATACAGCTACCTGTAGCCAGGTGATAATTAGATCCTATCAGTTTCACCTACATTAATCTAGAAGCAAGAAAAATAGGTTCCTGTGCCTTCAAGACCTCACAGGGGCACTATTTCACAGAGCACAGACAGAGCGAGTGAAGAAACCAGAAGAAGCTGGTTAGAGCTGCGGTACGCTAGCTGTGGGAGGAAAGGTGAAAATATTCTAATTATATTCCTGTAAACAATAAAATATGCTTCATTAGTTCAAGTTATTCGTGTGCATGGAGACTTTCTCAGCAGTTGAGCAGGTCAGTTTGCCTATATAAACCGTGTTAGCTGTTAAAAGCTATAAGGCAGCTCCTTAATAGAGTTTTATGTTCAGTTTATTGGTAATGTAATAGGAATGCAAAATATTGTACTATTGTCAGTTATGGTGGTGAATATTTCCATTCTGTTTATATAGTTACCGTGAATGAGAAAAGCTAAACTGGTCTAGGTGGTCTAAGCTATATGTGTTTTGGTGTTGCGCACACAAGCAAAGTGAGTATTGCTTTTTCTGAGAAAAAAGAAGAATTAAAGTAAATGTGGTATATTGATGATTTTGTACAAAACAAAAGTGGTGCGGTTTTAATGTTGTGCTTATTTTTACAACACCCACTACCGTATTATTTGTACTGTACATACTTTTGTTATTTTGCATAATTGTTTTCTTTGTGCTGTATACGTATGAGGCTGTGGTGGACCGGAAAAGTATTTAAGCCCGGTCCACTGAAATTTGTATTTTTATTTTTTTTTTTTATTTCTTTGTTTGTTTCAGTTGGCCGTTATACTTTTGTGACGGTGAGCTGAATTCCTCTCACTACATCAAATCTTTGAAATCCTGATAGAGAATAAACGGACCCAATAGCTTATAAGTTGTCGTTCCGTGTGTGTTTTCCCGTTTTATCATTTTTGTTTTGAAACAGTGCTTCATCAAATTATGCTTACGGAGAACTGTGTTTTTGTGCTTAAACTATACATTCACAAAAACGCTTTAATAAAGTATACTTGAAAAAGACAAATTTTGCTTACAATGAACTATGCTTATCTTATGCTAAAACTACACTTTCACAAAGTATTTCTAAACAATATGTATTATTTATGTGTTAAATCTATACTTCAACTAAGTGTGCTTTAAGCAATCCTCACAATGAAATATTCTGTACTAGCAATATGATATTATTAGTGATAAATATAAAGTCTGGCCATGTTGAATTTATAAATATAAAATACAAGTACACTTCAAAGCAGCTTAAAAATGATCTTCCTTGTGCTAATTTAATGGTAATTGTATGAGACAATTTTTACATCAAATGTAGATCTAACAGTATAAAAAAAACATCACGTCATATCAATGGGATGTCAGGGTGCACTTACATCAAAGAGAATTCCTGTGTAATGTGTTGTTATTCAATGTAATACATTTTACACTACCTGAAAATTATAACATGACTCCTATTTGGAAAGGTATACTTAAGTAGTGCTTAAACAGTTATATAAGTTATGTTATATCTAAATTATCTAAATGTATGTTAAAAGTGTTCTAAAATTGTTTTGTAGTACTATCCATGTGCTCTTATTTCACATAATCAGTATATCAATTTATATATTCCTAGTATATTCCTCATATATAATTAATATATTCTCAAATATAGTACAATCAAGTATTTTTGCAGAACTATTTTTCTGCATACTCATACTACAGTGTGCTCAAACACATGCTTAGCATACCAACCTAGCATACACTGTAATAAACTCTGCCCTTCAATAAGTGCACATTCATGATTATGCCCCTCCAGGGGAGAACATGTGATATGGGGTCATATAGGTGCCCTCATAGCAGGATAAACTTGACATTCCCTACATGTGCCTTTCTGTTACAAAAAAAAAAATCATGAAGTGCCCTCTTAGATGCCCTTCCAAGTGAAAAACATGATGAAGTGCCCCTGCAATGGAGAAAAAAAATCCCAGAGCAGAAAATGAGATGCAGTACCCTACAACACACCCTCTAGTGCAAGCTTTGACCGTGTTAAGGCTTTTTTGTTCCTGTGAACCAAAGCTGATTCAAGTCAAGTGAATTTCATCTACTGATCAGAGGATTTTGTCATTGTTAGCAATCAGAGTTGTGCCAGCTTAAGTGCACACTGTCATTAAAGCAAAGAAGGGACAAACAAAAATGCTGAAATTTATATTAAAATTTAAAGATTCTACTGTTCACTCAGATTGTCATGTTGATGATGTCATTTGCAATGAAAACAAGGTTATATATTTAAAATAAATGCAAAATAGAAGCATTTTCCCCAGTGCTCTTAGACTTTTGGATCCCACTGTATGTGATACAGTCTATAAACTGATCAGTATAGACATTACAAAGTTATGTTTGTGACAGAATATCAGAAAACATAGTTCCAAAGCAATAAATAGAACCAAATGTTAAAGTGAGGCAGAAACAGCTTTTCTCTTTAATCTACCTTGTACCAGATAAGAGTTTTGTCTTGGTTTTCACACACTGGGCATGAAATCCACACATTGGCTGGCTCCTCTGATGAGTTTGAATATAGCTGATCAGTGTGGAACTCCTCAGAAACCTCAATGTATGTTTCAAATTCATTACAGTTCTCCTCTGTCTCCCACCTGCAAGACACACCACACTTACAACATACAGCACTGCGGAGACACAGCTTTCTTTTTACAATTTAACCACTCCTTTATATTGGACGTCTTAGTCACTCATTAAAAAAAACTACAAAGAAATACTGTAAACTGGCCAAAAAGGGCCTACACAATGGATTTAAGTTGTGAATCCATTTAGACTTATGGTCTACCTTTCATTGTTGCATTCAGAAATGAATAAATCACAGATTTGATAGAAATGTAGGAATATTTCACAATATCTAAATTTGGCAAAAAATTCAAAGATAAAATGTTGCACAATTAGACCAAAAAAAAGGCACCCTCCTCTAAAGGCATGTATTACTACAAAATAAAATATAATTTTAGTGTTTGTTTCCAGGTAAAAATCTCTGCTTGGTTCAGTCATTCGGTAAAAGCTAAACTTAATATTTAGGCTGCAGTTTAGAATCTGAAGGGACAAACTTTAACAATGTATAACTTAAAATGTAATTGGAGCACAAATTTGAAAGTTTACATGGTTTCATCAATCAAAATAAACTTGACTGGATAGGGCCCAGGTGTGTTGGCGTGGAATGACCCACAGGTGTGTACATGCGGGCTAAACATTTTGTATGCACATATAAACTGTGAATAATGACCAGCGTGTAATGTAAAGGCCTGTGTCATTCACGGTCAGAGGCAGGATATACAGATCTGGGCCATGATGATGGACTCGTGCACTCTCGTCTGTTGTGATCTTCTGGATTCCGTCACTTCCATTTTTGAACCAAGATATCATTGTGTGATTTGTTTCTTGGCTGCAGTCATTATTTGCACACGGACAGTGCAGTGCTTCTCCTTGTATGACACTGATGTTGTCTCTTTCTGGATGTTTGTAACACTGAACTGGAAAAAAAAAAAAACAGCAGCTCTACCCACAGCATCTCATTTCTTAAAATGAGTCAAGAGATTTGTGCAGTTACTGTCATTATAAGAGTCACTAATTAAACTGGGATTTTTAGAGACAAGGGAATCCTATTTTGTCTACTGCAAATTCAAAATTACCCTGAAAAGTGAGAAGTGAGTTTAAACAACGGTTTACATTTGTTTTTATCAGCGAGGCAAATTTTCATCTTTTTTGCTTTGAGGATAAACAAATTTGGCCTCATTAACCCCTTAAAATCCCAGTTTATTACATACTAAGGCTTATTGTTCAGTAACTAGAGGGCCTTCAGTGCAAACTGGTTGAGCTCTTCTTAGGTTATAGAAGTGTAGAATAAACCTTTGGGTCTGCCGGTGACTTTGTGTAAGCTTATATGTACACAAAGACAAACTTGAATCAAGCCAAACCAAGTTGTAATGTAGAAGCTGAAATATTTCTACACATATAAAAAGGGTTTAATATCTAATTTGAATGTCAGCAACAAAATCAATGATAATGTAAACTCTGACAGGTCTGAGAACACATACCATTTAATTTATTTAGTGATTTTAATTTATTCAGTAGCCATTCTTTCATCTAATGCTTACATCTTTACTGGAATGCCCCACGTATTTGAGCACTGCCCCCACTGACCTGCAGGGCAGTTTTTGTACCAGGCAAAGGAAGATAGTACGTGTTGATGTTAAATAGCCTATTCTCAAATATATATACATTTTAAAATAGCTGTTGATTTTGATTGTAGTGATTATTATCAGTCATTTCAATGCAGCTCCACCCCCAGTCATGGTTATAATGTGCTATTCCATGTGGCTACGTGATTAGAAACTGGGTAAAGACAGACTGGCATAAAAGACAATAAAGTGAAAATTTACGTTTCTTCTTTGGTGTGGTTTTCTGGGTGTTGAGATGGAAAATCTAATAAAGTCATCAAAGTGCAGCAGAGAAACACAAAAATATGGCAGGAGGCAAAAGTTTTGTTGCTTCACTCCCAAAGCTAACTTTGGTTTTACTTGCACAGGCTCAGGCTCAACATTACATAATGCTAGTGTTAGTTTAGATAGCTATTGTTATTACTGGATTCAGATCTGGTGACTAGGAAGAAAAAACACTGAAAAACTCATGTTCATGAAAACCATTTTTGTCTTTGACATGATGCATTTTTGTGGCCATGAAGGGATGCACGTGGTCAGCAATAATACTCAAATAGGCTGTGGCAAGCAATGATTGATTAGTATTAACTGGCCCAAAGTGTGCTGGACTGTTGATGCAAGGCAGGTTGGGTCCATGGGTTGGGTCTGCTGTAGCCTATTTTGAGATGCTTTTCTGCTCACCATAATTGTACAGCATGCTTATAGTCTTTCTGCTTTTCCACTCGAGTCAGTCTGGCCATTCTCCACTGATCTCTCTCATCAAACGAGGTGTTACCGTCCGCAGTACTGTCGCTCACTGGATGTTTTTCCTTTATTGCACCATTCTGAGTAAACTCTAGAGACTGTTGTGTGTGAAAATCCCAGGAGATCAGCAGTTATAGAAATACTCAAACCATCCCGTCTGGCACCAACAGTCATGCTATGGTTATCCTGATGGGTAATACATATTAATAAAAGAGTATTTCTTGTTGTTCCTGGCAGTTATGTTTATGTAATTCTTCCGGTAATGTGTTTCATGAAAAATTTAATTATTCATATGAATGCATAATTTTGGCTGCTATAGTCCACTGCTCCTTCCATAATCCCCCTGCCCTTTCATGACCTTAGTCAAAATTTGCCACATCCCAATAACAATAGTGTATGAAGTGAGTAGCTGTGATTTTCAGCTTATCGCTCAAGAATATGTCCACTTCTCTCAGTTCAATCATCCCTCAAAAGAGCTTACAAACACTCAGATTAATACCTGGCTCATCGCAGTTATTTATCAGTCTACTCTTCTTCTTTAGAGTAAGTTTTTACATGCTTTGTGCTTATTTTAAAATAATTAATAAACAATCACTGATGGTGTTGCTCTGAAATATGGCATTTTTTATTCACTGGGTATATACTCTAAAAGTATGCTAAAAAATGTAAAAGTAACTGTGTTCTACATACTGCCTTTACAAAATGTAACTTGGACAGAATTCAGATACTTCATTTCTGTATTCTGAATACATATTTCCAATACTTGTATTCAGTTACATGCCAACTCTGTGCATGAATGAGTATAGGTGTTCCTAATAAAGTGCTTGGTGAGTGTATATATGGTTGCATAACTCCTAACATGCAAGTAATTAGTTCAAATACCTCAGACAAACCTCACCTGTGGAATCTTTGTATGTAGAGGTCATGACAAGTTTAGTCAAGAAGAAGAAGATGATACATAGCTCTGTCATCTGCAAAATAGAGATAAAAAGTAAGCTTTGAACTCAGTTTTGTGTGCTCTGAACTTCTCACATTTTAAAGCATTTGTAAAATCTATTCACTGTCTATAGTATGAGTGTTGCAGCGCTCAGAAAGATGCTGAAATTGAGAGTTGAAAGCCAGTAGATAACAGCAACAAACAGGAAGCGTTTCTTAGAAAGTTATCAGCTACTGCATTATCAGTCATGATATTTAAACTAAAATGCCATGTGAAAGAACACTGTACATTTTTGACTGTGTAAGCACAGAAGATGTGACCAGGATTAAAATGATTTATCCCAGCTCCAGTTTTTAAGTAGGACTGGCAACAAACAACCTACACTCTTAGGTTATATATAGAAGCATGAACACTCAAAAGAACTATTTTGATGCTTAAAGGTTTCTTTGCATAGTGAAATGGTTCTTCAGATTGATGGAGAATGTGTTGTATATGGTTCTATATAGAACCTTTTTAAAAAAGGTTCTACAAAGCACCAAAATTGATTTGTTTTTGATTTGCCCTATGGTTTGTGTAAACTCACTATTGCTCATTTGCTTCTTCATTTGTCTGAACAGCTTGTTACTGAGAACTCTACAGCCAGCCATCCGTCCTGCTAACTATTTTTTAAGCATTTTAAAATTAAACTTTATCTCCTCTGCAGACCAGTTTCTGGCTCCTGACATGTTATGATGCAAATGTACAAGTGCAGAACCTACAATGATTATCTAAACTCTCAGTCAAGGTTTAGTTAACGCTCTGGACTAATGCAAAATGGAAAGCAATGGATTGACATTAATTATTGATTAAATATTGAATTTAAAATTTAATGGTGATTAGCTTGGCATACTGGGTGATATGGATGCACATCTCTCAGTCAATAAAATCCAAAAAGTATTCAGCCAAGCTGAAACCGCTTATAATTCTGGATCGCGGGGGTGTGCTGGAGCCTATCCCAGCAGCCACTGGGCAGAAGGCAGGATACATCCTAGACAGGTCGCAAGTCCATCGCAGAAGGAGTAAATATTGATTGATAAATATTGTTTGGTTGTACATCATTCTGTTTTGTACAGGTCTACTTATTCTTAGACTGACAGATGGAACAAACTGTTTTAAATGAAGGAGGATTGTAGTGGGAGCCCAGGGATGTCAGGTGTGACTGTGTGGCAATGGCAAATTGTTTACATTGCTCAAGGTCATGTAGGCCTGTTTGTAGAATCTTGCTTAGGGTGCCAGGGAAGTCAGGACTGTTTCTGCATAGGACCGAATGCTTCTGAGCACAGAGAGTAGCTGTCCTAGTGGCATTTGCACATGGACATGGTCCACACGGAATGCTTACAAATGAGCTCAACACAGTTTTCTCAACACAGCTACTCATGCTTAGGGCCGCAGAACCGATTCAGTGGGATACCGGAACACATAGCTATTTGCTGATTGGTTCTACTTTTATGTTGGTATTTTGTGCTGCAGCATCTTGCCCAAACTGTAAAACATGGTTGTAAACTAAATGAAAGCAGTGCACAGTGTTCAATAAATATCAAACCATTGTTCTAGCAACAACTGCTAAATATTAAACGCTATGTTAAATGTTCATCTACACAGATGCAAGTTTAGATAGTAATGACTGAATTCTGAGGAAGCAAAGTGGAGCAGCTGGTGTTAGAGGAATAGAAAACCAAAAAACATATCTAGTGGCCTACAGATCCAAACATTACAGTACATACTGTCTGCTCTGCTGTTACAAGTGTAGCCAATAAAAACTCACTTTTGAGAGAGCAGAGTCAAGTGACTGGTGTTGAAAGTGACAGAAAGCCGAAATCAAACCTGTCCTGTGGTGTTTTGACCTGTAGCCTACTGGGCTATGCTAACGCCTAGTAATGTTAGTTAGCAAGCTAAAGGTTCCACCCACTGCAGTACAGGCTCTGTTCCAACTAACTGAGCTTCAAAAACACTCATTTAAATGTTAAAGATTTTAAAAGCACCAAATAGAATGACTGGTGTTGGACAAAAAAATATTAACTTAATACTTAAAATCTAAGAATTAAACCTTTTCACAGTATAACCAATATAAATATAAATAGGGATGTACAAATAAAAACGTTGCAGTAGTGGCTTTTTAGTGACTATTCAGGTCTGCAGCAAACAGCTGAACCGGTCCAGTAGAAACCTGTGGGTCTCGGTCCATTTCGAACCATACCCTGTTCAGTTTACTGCTGATGGAAACATGCTCTGTGATCAAACAAGGGAATTTATCAGCTCACTTTCCTTCTCTTCTAGCAGCGTGCTGGTGCCGTACAGTCAGCATCTCGACTATGTTAAGCACTGAATCTTTAGACACTGAGCACAAGCTGCTGTTAAAAACAGTAGATGAGACATAAAATAATAGCGTTTGATTGCAACTCATGGATCATGGAACGTATATTTCGTCGAGCATCAGTGACCTGAGTGGTTAAACTCAAATTGCTAAACTGTGACAAAAAAGCAGATATCAAGTAAGATTTATCATTATTGTTAATTGCAATGATGCTAATACAAAAGCTTGGTGAGTGGAGTGAGGTTTATTTCAAATTAATCACAAAAACCCTCAAAACTAGACACATCTCGAGACCAAACAATTACTTTTCTGGGAAAGGCAGTGGAGTATTTTCAGTGAAAACACGATGGACTGCAGCTCCAAATTACAATCCACATCTACCTTGTACATTTCTTTTTTCCTTTTTTCCCACTACAACCATGTTTTTTTTGTAACATATTTTATGTTTTTTAATATAACTCCAAATTTTGCAAACCTACTGGCAACTAGAATGGCCAGTCTGATCGTTTTTTCAGGCCCTAATATTCAGGTTTTCAGTGTCAGCATTTAAGAAAAGAAAAACAAAGTTTTATTTTTTAAAAAGCTGATTTTATTTTTCCTGTGGGCAGCTATGCTTTGTAATTATACACAGGTGGGCCTTAGGGTGGAAAAGGTTAACAACCCCTGCTGTAGTATATAGCCTGTTAGCCGTCGCTGTGTGTAGTTTTCTTCAGCGTTCTCTGGTTCTGAATTAGCAGCACAGCAGATGCAAAAAGAAACTGTAACCGGTTAATGCTAAGCATCTGTCTTTCCATGACCTTCAACCAAGACTTGCTTTCAAAAACAGGATGTTACCAGCTGAAACTCAATTTGTAATTGTGATTGTAATTAACCCATTGTAATTGGATTAAAAATAAAAGTGGAGAGAATAATAAACAAATGTTCAATAACAACTTTCATAACATATAACAAATCAAATTTAAATTTAGATGAAAAAAAGAGGAAAAACGTTTTGACATACTGTACAATTAGAGGCTAAATAATAACAATGACTAATGCAAGCTATGTTTGTAATTGGCTCATTTTTTCTTGTTTTTTCTTTTTTTAAAAGAAGCCAAATGACTCATCGATACATTTCACATGACTAATTACAGCCTGACTATCTAAATCTGGTTTAATCGCAGTCTGAGTACCTAAACCTAGATTAATCACAGTCTGAGTATTGAAACCTGGATTAATCAGTCTAAGTATCTAAACCTAGATTCATCAAAATTTGAGTATTTAAACCTGAATTAATCAATGTCTGAGTATCTAAACCTGGATTAATCACAGTTTGAGTATCTAAACCTGGATTAATCACTGCCTTAGTATCTAATTCTGGATTAATCACAGTCTGAGTATCTAAACCTGGATTAGTCACAGCCTGAATATCTAAACCTGGATTAGTCACAGACAAAGTATCTAAACCTGGGTTAATCACAGTCTTAGCAGATCTGGATAAATCACAGTCTGAAAATCTAAACCTTGATTAATCACGGTCTAAGTATCTAATCCCTGATTATTCATAGTCTGAGTATCTAAACCAGTATAAAATAACTAGTTTATATAAAATGGACAAAATTTAATGAAAGCACATTTTTATTGAAAAATCATGAAATTCAATTCCAAATAAATTGCACTGAAATGTTTTTATTTTGTTCCATCAACAATTGAACTTTATGTTGAAGTTACAAACTCTGTGCATACTGAATCTACTCAATTTGATTGAATAGAAATGTGTGGCAAAATTGAATAGGTCACAGAATAATTTATTTTTAGTGAACTTGAACTGAACTATGAAAATGATTTCCAAACAACTAAACGGCTTTCTTTCAAAATAAGGCCATTTCCATCTGGAATCTCTAAAGTTCATTGAACTTGATTCACTAGTGGTAATTTAACTTATGCGGTTCCACTTTATCTCTCTAGAGTTGGTTTACTTGTGGTCACTGTTGAGAACCACACATAGCACTAGAGAATGCACAGCTAATGATAACAAGACTAAACTATAAATCAAAACAAAAAATATGATCATACATCCGATGGGAAGATAGAAAAGAAATGGTAAGTTAAACAAAAGGGAAAGACACACTTAACAGGCAAATAAGTGGAGCCAAAAGCCCAAGCCTGGATTATTTTATGGGATCTTTGGGTGCGTGCTTAGGGGCCTAAGCCACTAAGGGGGCCCATGCAAGCAACATAAATATGATTAATAATATTTATTCATGTTACAATTTTGGGTGACAGCCCTCTGCTTATAAGTCTGATTTAGATCAGCACTTTGCTGGTGGATAATCCAGTTCAGATATTTTGTGCTAACTGGAAAACAAACTTTGAGTAAACATTGAGTAAATGCGCTTGCTAACTGTTAGCCAAAACTGGAAATACAGAGTAAAAGACGTGGGTGAAAGCACTGAGCAAAAAATAAAAAAGAAAAAGAGGACAGGGAGACACTGCTATTGCCATCAATAAAAAAGTTTTTCGCACAACAACCAAATGAAGCAGATACTATCCATGTGCAGGCTAACACAACACCACTAGCTAGCATTATCAATGCAAGCAGTACCATTAACAGCAGTTCTTGCAGCCTGCAACCTCCAGCAGCTCACAGTCTACATGGTTTGATACTGTCTTTATGGGATAAAATCAACTAGTAAGCTTGCACAGTCCTTGGTTCATCACACAATGAAAACTTTCTCAGCATTTTGGAACTTATCTCTCACTTCAGTCCTTTCCTAGCCAAGCAAATAAATAAGTAGCACAAAAATGCAGGGGCAGCACATCATATCTTTAATTCAACAGATGGGTGAGAAAGTGAAGGTTGTAATAGCTGCAGAGTTACAAAAGGCAAAATATTTTTGGTTATAGTAGTCTCTACTCCTGATATGTCACACTGATCAGCTTACCTTAATTTTTAGATTTGTCAGCTAAGAGGCGGAAATAGTTAAACACTTTATTGGCTTTGAGTCGACTGAGAATCAGGAGAAAGCCTTGCCAGTGCAAAACTGGACACTCTGGAGATGTCATTTATTTTTTGATTTTGGGACTGTGTCTTAAGCCAATTTAAAGTGACAGGCAATTCACTACAAAATACTGATATATTCTTCTTAAATCATTACGTTAATATGTTGCATCCCTTCATGACCCATTTGAACATTTTGTATGCCAGCCACTCCAGATGAATCAACACAGCATAAAGTAACCCTAAAAGGGTGTTAAAGATTCAAGGTAGAGACATTCAATGTTATGACTGACAAGTTATTCAGCTGTTTAGATCACAAAATGGATACATACAAGAATATTAATAATAAGTTTTGGGTTTTACTTAACATGGATATGAAAGATGACTGATGTTCTTAATGAGCTGAGGCACTCTGCTTATAAGTCTGATTTAGATCAGCACTTTGCTGGTGGATAATCCAGTTCAGATATTTTGTGCAGACTGAGCAGGATAAGTCTCCCCAACAGCTGCTGCAGTTACTGCTGAAACATGGACTGCAGTCAACTGTTCTCATGTCTTTTTAACCCTATGAAATTTTTTGACACTGACATTTTGTAACAAACTGTGAAGGAAATCAATCATTCTTACAGATGACAAGGATAAAACCTAATGCCAAAATTAATCACAAAGCAAACACACCAGTACGTTGTCACTAATGGCTATTGAATCTGAGCTTATCAGAGACATTGATGACGTTGTGACTAAATGTGCTAAAAGGAAAGCCAGGAAAAAGGTAACATATTTGGTCATAATTTTTCTGATTAGCACAATGCAGATGTGTAAGAGGTGTGGATTATTTGGTAGAACACCTAACTGTTAGACTTACAGACTGAAATGAAATGTTCCACATAGCTTTCGTGTAACAAAGTTGGCTTGGAAAAGCCAAAATACTGTTCTGGGTAATCTTATTATCTATTATCAAGTGATTTGGAAAAGCCAACTTAATGTTCTTTGTAATCTTCTTATTATTCTACAATAAAATTTTGTAAACTTTTCAGGGTCTACAGTTTTTGATGTACAATCACCAAATTTTGCATAAACGTTCCTCATATACGTGAATAGGTCACTTGTGCTTTTTGGTCAGACAGTTGTCATAAAACGATCATTCAAAGACAAAAAAAATTTCCCATTGGAAATGAATGGCAGAATATTCAGACTTCAAACTAACTGCCACAGGTGATGTCACAATGCACATCTCTCACACAGCCTAATCCAAAGCATAACAAGCGGTTGTAATTCAAGTGGTTTAAGGTAGCAGGAAATTTAAAGTAGCTGTGGATTCAAGGTATCTGTATATTTTAGGTATAAGCAAATTTAAGGTGGCAGTGTATTTAAGTTAACAGTGAATTTTAGGTAGCAGTGGATTTAAGGTTCAAGTGATTTAAGGTAGCAGGAAACTTAAGGTAACAGTGAATTTAAGATAACAGAAGGTTAATCAGTGATTTAAAGTAGCAGAAATTTTAAGGTAGCAGTGAATTCAAGATATCTGTTAACTTTAGGTATTAGCAGATGTAACATTCAAATGTTTTAAGGTATCAGTGGATTTAAGGTACCAGTACATTTAAGGTAGCAGTGGCTTTAAGGTTGCTGAATTAAAGGTAGTGGAAGATTTAAGGTAGTAGTGTATATAAGGTACCAGAGAATTTAACTTAGCAGTGGATTTAAGGTAACAGAAGATTTAGGATACCAGTGCATTAAAAGTAGCAGTGTATTAAAGGTATCAATGAATGTAAGGTAACAGTGGTTTTAAGGAGGCAGTAAATTTAAGCTAGCACTGCAATCTTTTTCAAGCCAACTTAAAGTATGTTCATGAACTTTCCCTTTCTAGTGTTATATCTATTACTTTATAAAAAAATACCCACACCACTAAAAATAGCCCACAACGCATTTGTGCCCAGGGGCCTAGAATTTGATGATCAGGGCCTACAAAAGCCAATAAAATCTTGTCTCTTGTGCAAATCACTCCAGCTGCCATTGGTAACAGATGAAATTTCAATGTTGACATTATGTATAGAATATACATAATGTCAACATTGACATAGAACATAGAATAAATCAAAAACTTTCAAAATAGTTTAGTAATGTGGGATTTATCCTACTTTAATACAACAGATGTGACTTTCTGGGTACATGTCTCATGACCAAACACAATTCATTCTTTTTTGTTTGAATTAATTGACTGTTTTAATGATTGGCTGACTTAATGTTAATTTGAATATTTACATTCTTTTAGCACTAATTCTTTAAAGGGGAATTCCACCACCATTTTTTCACATTTTAAAACCATTGAGACATAAACAGAGTCATTCAGAGTGATGTGATGTGAAATGCTTCATTCTAGAGAAACTTTTCAAGTCAGAATTGTTCAGTCATGGTGATAGAAACCAGACATCCACCTCTAAAAGCTTCCTCACAGAAAGTTATTGCATGAAATGGTTATGAATACGCTGAGTCTGAGTCTCTACAACCATACATTTCACACCAAATCTCTCTGAATAACACTGCTTACAACTCATTCAATTCTTCAGAAATGCAAGCAGAATAGTATTCTCCTTTAAGTACCATTTTAAAATTCGGCCAATTTAGTTGATGTCAACTTGATTTGTTTTTTTACACATACAAGACCCAGTTGTGAGTTTTTGGATGTAGTAAGATAACAAAGGCATGCAGGTTGCCTTCAAACATTGTTAAAACATTAAATTAGCAGCAATTGCTTGAAATGTATCCATGAAATGCAGGTTCTGTTTACTTACTATGTGAACTCAAAACTCACTTTTGAAACACTTTACAGAATGTTGATTAACTAATGTTAAGTAAAAGCATTGGTTAGCATGAACAACACATGAAGTTCTACATTAGTAGTGGTTAGCTCACATTAACTGCATCAGTTAATATTGTTTTCATATTAAGTATTGTCTAACAGGAACTAATGTATTTGTAAATATGAGATTAACAACAGTTAGCTAACTTTATTTTGTGGTGGTGTCTTGTCTAATGGAAAGGCAGAAATTGTTAAACCTGAAGGAGCTATTAACAGGACAGTGTTGACTAACATCAAGTAGTGCATTTCTAACGTGAACACTGCATATGGTACACTATTTATAACGTTTAAGTAAACAAGTAACACAAGTATTCATTAAAATAACATTAGTTAATTAGTTAACATCAACAAAATGTGAAAACAACATTGCAGTTAATATTAGCTCACCATTATTAATGTAGCGCATAAATAATAAAGCTAACCATTATTAATGTAGTGCTTCATGTGTTGTTTGTCAACAAATGCATTACTTAATATTAGTTAGTCAACACACTGTAAAGTGTTACTCTTACTTTTTAAAGTTAAAACATTAAATAAATCAGTTGTTACAATTCATATTTACTCTAATATTTTTAGAACAAAACTTGCAAAAATAAAGTTTGTTATCAGAGTGAACTTTAGATGTTCACTTTAATGCTGATTTCATGTGCCACTCACATATGACACATTAAACGTTTGCGATATGTGTTTCTGTAAAAGTTGTGTTTGCTCACCTTTTCGGTGCAGTGTTCCTCTGCAGTGAAGGCTCAGAACACACTTCAGTGGACTGAATATGCTTTATATCTCTCTCTTTCTCATGCACACACAGATGCTGAAGTGTGTGTGCTCTGATGAGAGATAAAAGCAACACACACACACACACACTTGTTTTACTGTCCTTAAGGGGTTTATTATCATGTATTACTATCACTCAGCAGCACCACAAGGACACCTAAACCTGAGCTTCACCTCAGTCTTGTTCCCTGAAAAGAAAACTTTCAGACTTTCAAATAAACCTGCCCTCTGTGTAAATAAAAAAGTCCTGTCACATGTCCCCTAAGCATCACAGGTTCTTTTTGTCCCCACAGAAGCACACAGACTAACACAGACTCACATGACAGATGTCAGATATCCTCCACTTCCTGTCTGACCTCATAAACTCTGACTGATGTTTTTCAAGGAAACTTTCCTAAGAACTATAACTTGAGAAACTGTGTGTGTGTGTGTGTGTGTGTGAGAGAGAGAGAGAAAGAAAAGTCATCTTTAGACCTCCTCAGTGATACAGTCAAGTATTGTGCTTATCATCAGGAAATTGCAAGTTTGATCCGCAGTGGTGCTACAGTCCCCTCTCTCTCTCTCTCTCTCTCTCTCTCTCTCTCTCTCTCTCTCTCTCTCTCTTTGTGTGTGGGCAGGGTGGTCCTTGCTCTTTTCCCCATCACTCAGCGTGATGCTAGCCAGCATGGGCAACTATTAGCTGATTACATAGATTAAGCAGTTAGTGTTCTCCTCCAATGATAGTGTAAAAAGATGTGGTAGACCTTCGTGTGACTCAGATGAAGCTTGCGCTAGCCATTACCCTACCTGTGCTGGCAGTATTGTGAGATTGAGGTGGATGGAGTTGGACATGATCAAATTGGGAGGCAAAACTGGGGAAAAAAACCTTCCACATTAGGCAGAGGTGTTATGTAAGTGAGCCAGCCAACCATAATTATTAAGCATCAGTTACACTTGGTGGAAATCCAACATCAGTGTCGTTAAAAGTCTGATGACAATGATATCTTGCTGTGATACGCCAATTTACTCAATAAACACATAATTGAATGTGCACTGGATCCTTCAACAGTGCTGCTCTGTGAGGTACATTATGAAGTAGGCTTCAATGGTAAGATGCGTTATCAAAAATTAGTCAGCTGTAACCGTTTATCATGCTAATTCCTTTTTACAGTTGAATACATGCGTGTTTTGTGGGTTCCCTTATACAGTGCTGAGCTATCTAAGCTGTCATGTGTAACGTGTAGAGAGAGCAGCCTAAAATACTAACTTCTACGGCCTGTATATGAAATGTTTTTTCTTAATGTTAATGTTGTGCACTGAAAAAAGTGATGCCTTTAATGTACTTGATTCAAACACATTTCCCCATAAATGATTAAAACACGTTACATCAAAGCAGTTTTATCTTTCGGTTCACTTTCGGCAATAACTGAATTAAGGTAATATTAAATTCGTGTAGAAAATAAAATGCTACAGCAAGGCTATGTTATTTATTTTTTTTCTTTTTTGTCTAGCAATGTGCCAACCCATTCTAAAAGTTCTAGCTACACTCCTGACACTAGGCCTGTCAGAATTGTAACATAAGTGCCTGATCGCAATTATTTGAGATGATTGGAATTATGCACAGTAGTTAGATTTCACAGTTCATCATATCATTTGTATATAAGCACAGTGTGAGCTGGATGAGTTTTCATTAGTTGGCTTGAGCCAAATAAATGTCAGTAAAATAAATCACTTCTTTCTTCTAACATTTCTTGTATTGACTTTAAATTCTGTGTGCTGTAACACATTTAGGGGGAATGTTTGCCTGTTAATTTGATAGTACAGCTAATGCAAATTTTTGCAGATCAAGTGTTTTTTGCTCACATTTTTACAGTTTTACAGTTCTGCAACTGTTCTGCAGCAATTGTTATGCACACTATGGCATAGTTTTTTTCTGTTATAAAAAATGTGTTTTTCATTTTGGCTTTTGATTTGAGGTTTAGTTAGTTTGAATAGTGCATTATTATTTTTAACTTTGTTTTTATTTACTGAAAAGTATTAGTTTTAGTTTGGTTTTTATTTAGTTTCAGGTTTAGTTTTATGATGGGTGCTGTGATAGCAGGATAAATGTAGAATAAAATTAACACAACAGTAGCATGAGCTCGACACTCAACACCAGCTTTCCTGAAAGACAGCCAAGCTCAGAAGAGTTGCACTTCTAAACTCTCATTAACACACTGAAAAAACTAAAACTAAACTTTTATTTTGAGTAATTCTTTTTAGTTTTAGTTAGTTTTGCAGTGGATATTATAGCATGAATTGAGCTGTCATCACTTTCAGCTTTGTTGCAAATGAACACTTTTTCACTGCTAGTTTTTGTTTCAGCAATAGTTTTAGTGCACTGTAATAACCCTGGGCAGGGCATTCTGCTGCTAAAAAGGGCCACTGCCATCAGGAAATACCATTACCATGAAGGGGTGTGCTTGGTCCACAACCATGTTTAGGTAGATCTGCAGTAGGACTGGACTGCAGCCACATTTGCAGCTGGGCTAGATGTGCTATGTGTTGTGAAACAATCATCCTGGGAGCATCATTAAACATTTGTGTGATTTGTACCACAGTAGCCCTACTGTCAGTTCAGAACTCTCCTGCCTGTTCTAATAATGCACTCTTTAATCTAACTAAAACTAAACTGAAATCAAAAGCCAAAATGAAAAACACATTTTTTTCATAACAGAAAAAGTTATGCCATAGTGTGCGTAACAAGTGTTGCAGAACAGTTGCAGAACCAACCAACGCTCATATTTTTGTGAGACTGTAAAAATGTGAGCAAAAAACACTTGATCTGCAAAAATTTGCATTAGCTGTACTATCAAATTAACAGGCAAACATTCCCCCTAAATGTGTTACAGCACACAGAATTCTAAGTCAATACAAAAAATGTTAGAAGAAAAAAGTGATTTATTTTACTGACATTTATTTGGTTCAAGCCAACTAATGAAAACTCATCCAGCACACATTGTGTTCGTACACAAATGATATGATGAATTGTGAATAATTCTGATCATCTCAAATGATTGCGATCAGGCACTTATGTTACAATTCTGACAGGCCTAGTGTCAGGAGTGTAACTAGAACTTTTAGAATGGGTTGGCACATTGCTAGAAAAAAAAAATTAAATAACATAGCATTCTGGCTGGACAGGCAGGAGAGCCTTCGCCACCCTTGCACATCAATGAGCCTTGTCTAAATAAATACATACATAAATATTACTAATAACTAACATATAAATAAATAATCACAGTAAACTGGAATGATTTTTTTATTGTAAAAACAAATACTTACTCTTTTGAAGACCAGCTAACCAGCAGCTGAAGAGAAAAAATGATAGAAACAGTTAAGTTCTCAGAGTGAGCTGCTCCAATAGTCCTTGTTCTTAAACCTGTAAGAATCTGTGGGGACTATAAACTCACAGTGAATCGAGTGTCAAAGCTGGAACAGTACCCAATACCAAAGATCGAAGATGAATTCTGTTACAAGACCTGACTCTTTTCCCTTGCTCCGAATGTAAGACTGTATTGATCGAGTGAGTTCTGCAAAATTTGTAACCAAGCTTGACTTGCTGAAGGGGTATTGGCAAGTTCCCTTAACCCCTACTGCTGCGGAAGGGTCTGTGTTTGTTACGCCTGATCATTTTCTACAATATTCAGTAATGGCTTTTGGATTACGAAATGCACCCGCCACCTTCCAGCGTCTTATGTGGAAAGTTTTAGCTAACATAGACAACTGTGAAGCATATTTAGATGATGTTGTGGTGTATTCTCAGACTTGGACTGAACACTTGACATCCTCCGAAATGTGTTTGAGCGCTTTCTGAAAGCTTCCCTTACACTCAATCTTGCAAAATGTGAGTTGGTAAAGCTAGAGTCTCCTATCCTGGTAAGAAGGTAGGCCAAGGTGAAGTGCGCCCTCTTGAGGCCAAGGTGCAAGCCATAGTTAATTTTCCTGTGCCTACCACTAAACGTGACCTCCGATGTTTTCTAGGAATGGCAGGCTATTATAGAGGGTTTTGTAAGAATTTTGCAGTTGTGGTTGCCCCTTTGACAAATCTTTTGAAAAAAGGCAAAACTATGCTGTGGACTAATGAATGTAATGATGATTTTAATGCTGTAAAGACTCTCCTTTGTAGTACCCCTGTTCTAGTGGCTCCTGACTACACACTGCCTTTCAAGCTGGAAGTTGATGCCAGTGCATCCAGGGCTGGAGCTGTCCTCCTTCAAGAAGATTCTCAAGGTGTTGACCATCCAGTTTGTTACTTTTCAAAGAAATTTATCAAGCATCAGATCATGTATAGCGCCACTGAAAAAGAAGCATTAGCTCTCTTATTTGCCTTACAGCACTTTGAAGTTTATTTGGGATCCAGTGTTTCGCCAGTAGTGGTCTATACAGACCACAACCCTCTAGTGTTTTTTATCTAGAATGCGAAATACTAACCAAAGATTGATGAGGTGGTTCCTGATGGTACAAGATTTTAATCTTTATGTTCAGCACAAGAAAGGTAGTGAAAATGTAGTCACTGATGCGTTGTCTAGGCAATAGGAAAACAAACTTTGTTTCTTTAGGTGTGGGGGTGTTATGACCCTAGGGGTCATGATGTTGTGTTCTTTGCAGTTTTCTTTCTTTCTTTGTTTCTTTTTATGTATTGCAGTGTCGTGGCAGCTCCGGTCCAGCAGGGGGCTCAACCTATAAAGGCTGGATTACAACCAGGTGGGAGCGTGAGGCGAGAGAGGGTTACACGCTGTTGCTTCCCGGTTCCCTGACCACCAACTTGAGAAACGCTTATGCTTCATTAGAGTAACTAGTATGTGAAACCTATGTTTCAAATGGTGTTGAAACTTTAATATATGCTCCAGCTCATATGGTGCTCATAATGTTACCTTTGAAGTTTGAATATTCTCCATCAAAGTCTGTGAGGCCTAGACACTGCAGTATTTTCCTCAGTTTAGGGAGGGAGGACATTTTTGTTTCTCTGTTTTCTCCTGGTTATTGCTTTAGTTAAGGAGTTAGGTTAAATTTGATGTATTTTCTTTTCTTTTTGTTGGTTAGGTTTATAAATTATGACCCAGTCTAGGGTTAGGCCATAACATAAAAGGAAAGAGGGAGAGTCACATGTGCCCTTCCTATTCCCTCAACCACGCATACAACATCCAGCTTCACATTGATCAAGATTTATTGAAGTTGAAACATAGATGAGAAAACTGAACCAAAACAACCTAACAAGAAAGGAGGGTAGGAGAAATAAATATAATAAAGCTAACTAAGTTTTAACAACTAACTAAACCTAACCAACAAAAAGAAAAGAAAATACATGACATTTTACCTTA